GTTCGGTGTCAATTTGAAATGAACTTCAATTGAAACATGCGATAATTTAACTATTAAGAATTCTGTATCAGGATCGTAGAAACGACGAGAAGTTTGCACACCAATAATTTGAATCTCCCACTAGTATCGCGTCAGGTACGAAATACGAATTCCACACCTCCTTGCGTTTCTGCTATCCTGGTAGCAATTCTCATCCGTTCAGTTCGGTATCAATTTGGAAGGAGCTTCAATTGAAACATGCGATAATTTAACTATTAAGAATTCTGTATCAGGATCACAGAAACGACGAGAGGTTTGCACACCAATAATTTGAATCTCCCACTAGTATCGCGTCAGGTACGAAATACGAATTCCACACCTCCTTGCGTTTCTGCTATCCTGGTAGCAATTCTCATCCGTTCAGTTCGGTATCAATTTGGAAGGAGCTTCAATTGAAACATGCGATAATTTAACTATTAAGAATTCTGTATCAGGATCACAGAAACGACGAGAGGTTTGCACACCAATAATTTGAATCTCCCACTAGTATCGCGTCAGGTACGAAATACGAATTCCACACCTCCTTGCGTTTCTGCTATCCTGGTAGCAAATCTCATCCGTTCAGTTCGGTATCAGTTTGGAAGGAACGCCTATTCAGACATGCGATAATTTAACTATTGAGTATTCTGTATCGGGATTGCAGAAACGACGAGAGGTATGCATACCAGTAATTTTATTTCCCACCTGCTCCACATTAGGAGCAGATGACATATCCACACCTCCCCGCGTTTCTGTTATCCTGCTAGCAAATCCTATCTATTCATCTTTGCAAGAAACGTCCGTCTGTTTGAATATGCGATGCTCAGGTACTGGCGATCTTCTATCAGGATTACAGAAATGACGAGAGGTATGTAGGCAAGTAAACTGCGTTGCAGTAGAAACGAAAATGGCGGATCGGAATACTTATCTTTTCTAGTTGGGCTCATGTGCAGCCTGTCTACATTTGTCTGAGATATCAATTCTGATCAGGAGCAAAATACATATTTGCACACCTCCTCGCGTTTCTGTTATCCTGGTAGCAAATCTCATCCGTTCAGTTCGGTATCAATTTGAAAGGAACTTCAATTGAAACATGCGATAATTTAACTATTAAGAATTCTGTATCAGCAAATCTCATCCGTTCAGTTCGGTATCAATTTGGAAGGAACTTCAATTGAAACATGCGATAATTTAACTATTAAGAATTCTGTATCAGGATCGCAGAAACGACGAGAAGTTTGCACACCAATAATTTGAATCTCCCACTAGTATCGCGTCAGGTACGAAATACGAACTCCACACCTCCTTGCATTTCTGCTATCCTGGTGGCAAATCTCCTCCGTTCAGTTCGGTATCAATTTGCGAGGAACGCCTATTCAAACATGCGATAATTTAACAATTGAGAATTCTGTATCAGGATCGCAGAAACGACCAGAGGTTTGCATGTCAGTAATTTGAATCTCCCACTAGTATCGCGCCAGGTACGAAATACGAATTCCACACCTCCTTGCGTTTCTGCTATCCTGGTAGCAAATCTCATCCGTTCAGTACGGTATCAATTTGGAAGGAGCTTCAATTGAAATATGCGATAAATTTAACTATTAAGAATTCTGTATCAGGATCACAGAAACGACGAGAGGTTTGCACACCAATAATTTGAATCTCCCACTAGTATTGCGTCAGGTACGAAATACGAATTCCATACCTCCTTGCGTTTCTGCTATCCTGGTAGCAAATCTCATCCGTTCAGTTCGGTATCAGTTTGGAAGGAACGCCTATTCAGACATGCGATAATTTAACTATTGAGTATTCTGTATCAGGAGTGCAGAAACGACGAGAGGTATGCATACCAGTAATTTTATTTCCCACTTGCTCCACAGCTTGATCATTACATTGCAGGTGTTAAATTTGGCGAGCACCTCAAACAGGAGTAGCCGATGTTGTCAGGTGGATTAATGTATATAGTAGTCTGGGGAAATTAAAAACTTTTGTACGTCAAACATTTTGAACTACGCCAACTACTTCCGTTCGAAGTGGTTGCTAAATGAACTTGTGGAGTTGGTTTCACCTGTCTATATTCCTTAATCTCCCATCGATGTCGACTACCCCCATTTCAGGGTGTTCGTAAAACGAACTTCTGAGGTTGATTTCACGATACTATATTCGTCAATCTCCCAACAAAGTCGATTTCTCCCATTAAGAGATGTTTCCAAAATGAACTTGCGAAGCTAATTTCAACTATATTCATCAAGTCACTCGTAGTCATATACGCCTCGTTTTCGAGGTATTTGTTGAATAAACTTGAGAAGTTGGGAGCAGAGAACGTAATCCATACCTCCTCGTATCAACCACATGCATGAACGTCTGTTGGAATGTAAGATATTCAGCTACTGAGAATTCTGTATTAGGATAAAAGAAACGCCGAATCATCAGTAAAGGACGCCTCCCGCACCTCCTTCCGTTTAGGTTATCCTGATAGCAAATCTCGTCTATCTTGCAAGGATCGTCCGTCTGTTAGAATATACGATACTCGGGTACTCAGGACTACAGAAGCGACGAGAGGTACGTAAGCCAGTAAACTGCGTTGTTGATATAGGGACAAAAATGGCGGATCGGAATACTTATCTTTTGTAGTTGGGTACATGTGCAGTCTGTCTACGTTTGTCTGAGCTCTCAATTCTGATCAAGAGCAAAATACGTATTTCCATACCTCCTCGCGTTTCTGTTACCCTGATAGCAAATCCGATCCATTCAGTTTGAAATCAATTTGCAAGGAATGTCTACTCAAACATGCGATGACCAAGCATCGAGTATTCTGTATCAGGATTGCAGAAACGACGAGAGGTATGCATACTAGTAATTTTATTTCCCACCTGCTCCATATCAGGAGCAAAGGACATCAACGCCTCCTCGCGTTTCTGTTATCCTGATAGCAAATCACGTCTATTCATCTTTACAAGAAACGCCTGTCTGTTTGAGTATGCGATGCTCAAATACTGTGAAGCTTCTATCAGGATTACAGAAATGACGAGAGGTATGGAGGCCAGTAAACTACGTTGCTGTAAGGCCGAAAATGGCGTATCGAACTATTTAACTTTTCAGTCGAAGTTTGTCTGAGATCTCTATTCTGATCAGGTGCAAAATACATATTTTCTGATATCCTGATGGCAAATCTCATCTATTCAGTTTGGTATCAATTTGCAAGGAACTTCAATTGAAACATGCGATAATTTAACTATTAAGAATTCTGTATCAGGATCGCAGAAACGACGAGAGGTTGGCACACTAATAATATGAATCTCCCACTAGTATCGCGTCAGGTACGAAATACGAATTCCACACCTCCTTGCGTTTCTGCTATCCTGGTAGCAAATCTCATCCGTTCAGTTCCGTATCAATTTGGAAGGAACTTCAATTGAAACATGCGATAATTTAACTATTGAGTATTCTGTATCAGGATTGCAGAAACGACGAGAGGTATGCATACCAGTAATTTTATTTCCCACCTGCTCCACATTAGGAGCAGATGACATATCCACACCTCCCCGCGTTTCTGTTATCCTGCTAGCAAATCCTGTCTATTCATCTTTGCAAGAAACGTCCGTCTGTTTGAATATGCGATGCTCAGGTACTGGCGATCTTCTATCAGGATTACAGAAATGACGAGAAGTATGTAGGCAAGTAAACTGCGTTGCAGTAGAAACGAAAATGGCGGATCGGAATACTTATCTTTTCTAGTTGGGTTTATGTGCAGCCTGTCTACATTTGTCTGAGATCTCAATTCTGATCAGGAGCAAAATACATATTTCCACACCTCCTTGCGTTTCTGTTATCCTGGTAGCAAATCTCATCCGTTCAGTTCGGTGTCAATTTGAAAGGAACTTCAATTGAAACATGCGATAATTTAACTATTAAGAATTCTGTATCAGGATCGTAGAAACGACGAGAGGTTTGCACACCAATAATTTGAATCTCCCACTAGTTTCGCGTCAGGTACGAAATACGAATTCCACACCTCCTTGCGTTTCTGCTATCCTGGTAGCAATTCTCATCCGTTCAGTTCGGTATCAATTTGGAAGGAGCTTCAATTGAAACATGCGATAATTTAACTATTAAGAATTCTGTATCAGGATCACAGAAACGACGAGAGGTTTGCACACCAATAATTTGAATCTCCCACTAGTATCGCGTCAGGTACGAAATACGAATTCCACACCTCCTTGCGTTTCTGCTATCCTGGTAGCAAATCTCATCCGTTCAGTTCGGTATCAATTTGGAAGGAACGTCTATTTAGACATGCGATAATTTAACTATTGAGTATTCTGTATCAGGATTGCAGAAACGACGAGAGGTATGCATACCAGTAATTTTATTTCCCACCTGCTCCACATTAGGAGCAGATGACATATCCACACCTCCCCGCGTTTCTGTTATCCTGCTAGCAAATCCTATCTATTCATCTTTGCAAGAAACGTCCGTCTGTTTGAATATGCGATGCTCAGGTACTGGCGATCTTCTATCAGGATTACAGAAATGACGAGAGGTATGTAGGCCAGTAAAATGCGTTGCTGTAGGGACGAAAATGGCAGATCGGAATACTCATCTTTTCTATTTGGGCGCATGTGCAGTCTGTCGACGTTTGTCTGAGACATCTATTCTAATCAGGAGCAAAATACGTATTCCGCACCTCTTCGCGTTTCTGTTATCCTGATAGCAAATCCTATCCCCCCCGACCCACTTTGTCATCATATTCAGCAATTAAAGAATCTGTACCAGGATCGTATAAACGACCAGAGGTATACAGGTTCGAGGGCTGTTACAGGAATAAAGATGGCAGATTCAAGTACTACTCTTTTCTGAGCGCTCGTGTGTGTGTGTATGTGAATTATATACACCTCCTCGCGCCTCTGTAAGGTCAGTGAGACATCAGGCAAGCTATAATGAAACAATAATATACAACAAAAATACAATTATATTTATTAGTCTTTAACACTTATTGCTTCCATATAGTTGGAATATTTATAAATTCCATCAATAAAATTTATAACAAATATATCACCTACTCAATACACATTTATACCTCATAAATGGGAGTTTTAATGTGAATAAAGCTCACTGTATCATACAAATGAATATTGTCTAACAAGATGTAAGAAGTTGTAGCAAAAATATACAACATTTTAAATAAAATTTTGCATCATCGTAGATAACACCTTGAGAGAAAGATATTTACAACAGCATCCCATTATATGCAAATTATGTACAGATGAATAAATAATAGATGTGATGTTTAAAGTGTCCACCATTAATATTGTTCACAAAAAAATATAAGAACTAAAGTGTTCAGACTTGCAGCCGATTTCTGAACCCTAGTTAGTTAGTTAATATAGTTCAATCCATTGTTGTGACTATACAAATTGCATTTAGTTCAATCCACCAAATCCTGATAGCTGATAGTTAAATTGTCTTTAAAGATGAGACTGATGGATGACGGCGAGACTTCCGCACTTTTTCCCAAGAATGATCCGGGGGGTGACTCTTCGAAAAATCCAAAATAAAATAAAACCTCCACAATTCAACAATCAATGTTGATTTCTACAGTCTGCGGAAACCAAAAATTCGCCAATTTTGGCCTGAAAAACAAAAACCTTGAAATTGCTTTAAACTAATCTCAAAATACTCATCAAGGCGGCCTCAAAAATGTTAAACGAATTTTTAAGCATTTAATATGCTCGCACGGTAACAATTTTTTTAAATAAATTACATTTTTTTGCCCGGACATTTTTTTTCAGATTTTTTCCGAACAAGAAAGGTTCCATTAACTTTTCTCTATAGTGGATCATTTTCGAGTTATGAGCGATTTAATGTCTCTGAAAAGCCCTAAAAATGTGTATATTCATTTGTAATTTTTGAGGTCGTATCTAAATTAAGGTTTAAACGTCGCTTTACAAGACCTCGATGGTTATTTTGAGTTTATTTTATTTTAAAGCGATGTTTAACCTTGTCTGTTAGGCCAACATGGGCGAACTTTCGGTTTTCGCAGACTGTACTATTGAATAAGAACAAGTTATCGAATTATAATGGACATTATGTACCAGGTTTCAATGAAATTAGCTGTGTAATCTATGAGAAATAATAAACGAAAAGAGATGTAAGGATATAAAACATTACTAATCTCCTAAATACTTCCTGAGATTTTCGTATGGTTCTTTTAATTTAGAAAGTCCCTTCGGTTATTTTCCAGTAGTGAATAGCTTATGAAAATAAATAAATAGATACATAAAGTCAATCCATAATCTAAGCCTAATAGTCATTTTCACTAATTCTATGTTATCGCATAATATACAATAAGATACTAATTCATACACACTTAAGGAAAATATAACTAAATAGTATACAAAGAATATTTTTAGAGCTTCCGAATTGTGAGAAGTCTTCATAACAATCAATAATCAATTCTTTAGTTGTAACATCATATATGAATCAAAATAAAAAAGTGGAATGTATAAATTGCACAGTGACATTTTATATATATATATATTACTAATACAAACTAAGTTATAAAAGATGCCAATTAATGCTGTAATTTTGATTTTCAGTTCTCCATAGGCCTTTATTACCACAGTTTTCAATTATATGATCGAAAAATATACTGGTGGGAATAAATATAAACACAGATCACCTAATATATTAGTAAAAAAATTCCAAAAGGAAGCTATAACCTACAATGGCTCAATTCGAAATATGCTGTAGAGGTAACGCAAAAAATGTTGTAGAAAGCAAAAACGTCAATCACAGATCAGGCGAATCCAGGAAACTGGATTTTTTTATTCTACTATGTCAAACACCTTCAACAAAGCAAAAAAATATTTGTTTATAGGAGAAATCTCTATATTTACTGCTGATTCATTCCATTGACGTTTTTGTATAAAAGGTGTAGTTTTATAGGAATTTATATATATTTTTTTGAAAGTATTTGAAAAATCTATGTAAATACTCAATATTTTATCCAATCACACATTTGTAGGGACTCCTTAACTAAAAACGCTGCATATAACCAAACTAAAAAGAGGAACAGTAGAAAAACATACATACTATAGAGCGCTATCAACTTTGGTTAGCAATGAGTATGGGTTTTCATACATGTAAAGCAGTTAAAGCTATCATACAGACGGCCCATACTGTATGAGTATTATTACTTGTGACTCATCAACTAAAGCTAAAAAGATTGCAGTATATTCTTGTGGAAGTTCACAACAGCAGTATTTTGTACTCGTAATTTTTGAAAAATCTAAAAATTGTATGTGCTCATTTAATGTCATTAGTAGATCATAAGACAAAAATCTGAAGAAAAAGTCTGTCAAAATTTTATACAAATAAAAAGTTAGTTATAAATCAATTTCATGTTAAACTGTAATCCCGACAGAATACGCCATCAGTATATGAAAATGAAATTCTGAATGACAAAGTTGTTCTCATCTAATGTTATTAAAATTAGTTTTGTGGCAATTCAAATGAATGTTGTAATTGGTGCTACAAATTCGTGTCAGTTTGAAGTACATTTCCATACTGTATTTGGGCGACAAAAACAGTGGTCGATCTCGATTCACCCAGTGGGGAGGGATCATGACCAAGATTCCCCCTGGATCCGTCGTTGTCTACTTGGCTATATTATAGGTATCCACCTATTACACAACCTTCATCAGAGCAGCTTGACTGTTAGTCCCTAAACTGGAATCGTCCAGTGAGTCCAAATCCAGCGCACTCTCGATCATCGTTGTATCCTGCAACAGCCGAAGCCTGCTTGCACTTAGCAAACTGTTCTTCTTTTCGGCGACTGTCAAATCGTTGAATTTCAGTACGTCCAATTTGGATTTGTCCTGAAGTAGAAAAGTATTTTCAATTAATTACACACTGGGCAATTTGTTCAAAAAAGGGTAAATTTCAAACTGACATTTTGAACGCGACGGAATAGCGGAGGAAAGGTCAATGACTCAACGGTCCTTGGCAGATCTGTGAAAAAGAGCCAGATTGCGATTTCAAAATGCACACTGTGTACTAGCTGTCGGTGGGTTGCACTAGCTGTGTGTGTTACATACAGTAGCGGACAAAAGTTTGGAAACAAATATTGACATTATTATGAACTATTTCATATGCCTAAATTAAAACTGTGAAGGAACGGATAATGTAAATATTAAAAGTCTACCTTTGGGTCCCGTACTATTACAAGGTTTATATTATCAATATTAAAATTCTTTGAAACGAAAAATACGCGTTTTTTAAAATACCAGAGTTTTTGTAACGACAAATGTGAGACGTCCAATACGAAAAGATTATACAAAAAGTATCAGTTGTCAACAGTTAAGCACGGTGGAGGCAACATAATGGTTTGGGTCTGTTTTTCTAGTCCTTGAATGGGTCCAATTGTTAAAATTGTTGGGAAAATGAATCAAAAACTTAGAAAGATATTCATAAGAAATGCCTTTATGATGGCCACATTCCAGCAAGATAATGACCTCAAGCACACCTCAAAATTCGTAAAGGACTGGTTAAGATGTTAATGTTCTTACATGGCATTCGCAATCTCCGGACCTAAACCCTATACAACATCTCTGGGAGCATGTAAAAGACAAGAAAAACTTTAAAAAATAGGAACGATTTATTTGATTATGTACAAAATATATGGCAAAATATCCCAACAGTAAAAAATTGCTGTCTTCTATGAGCAGCAGATATCATCAGGCAGTCTTCAGTGCTAAAGGCTATGCTACCAAATATTAGCTAAATAGATTTTTTTTAAACTTTTTATAGAGTTTTTGTATTTAATTTTGTGATAAAATATATGTTTCCATACTTTTGTCGTCTCATTTTCGGTCATAAAATAATATGAAGATATTTTAATGCTAGTATGTAGTACCACAGCATACACAAATTGTCATTTGTATCCTCAAGGCTGAAAGCCAACTATATGAAAAAAAAATTGTCCTGAGTAATAAAGAATAAAATTAGCACACTTTTTAAAAAGTATTAAGTATGTTCCAAACGTTTGTCCGCTACTGTACTTTGATATTACAACTACTCCAGAGATGACACTTGCTTTGGTAGCTCTTTTCAGCTCATGAACAGTATCAGAATCAATAGCAATGAATCTGTATAAATGCCCAGATAAGCAGCTAAATGCGATTTTTATACTCGGTCATATCTCCTCCCTCTCATCTTGTTTTTCAAAATCTTTGGGTGTGTAAATCATGATACACTATTGAAAAAATTAAAAACAAGTATTGTTGTACTGGAGCTTCACTCAATTAGTTTAAAACATATTTCAATAATCGATTTCAAATTGTAAAATTATAATTATATTTCAAATAAATTAAATAAAAAATGCAGGAATATTTCAAGGATCAGTATTAGGTCCGATCCTATTCCTAGTCTATATCAACGATTTATTAAACTTTAGCCTAAATGGTAAATTTGTAGTTTTTGCCGACGATACCACAAATATTTGGCAGGACAAGGATATAAATGATATTAAGACAAAAGTTAATAGTATACAATCAATCAAATAATGGTGAGGCATGTACTTGATTTTCAATGTTAATAAGACAAAAATTATGATATCTATCTGGATTTTGTGAATTTAAATAATGAATTGACACACAAAGCAGACACCATCAAATTATTGGGACCGATCATTGATCACAAATTAGCTTTCACTAATCATGTAGACAAATTGCTTACTCAGCAAGCATAGATTTCCGTCATTAGTTACAACGTATAGAAAAGCACAGCCTTAAGCAGTTTATTTACCTTATTTGAAAGTAGATTGGGATATAGCATTCGCTTTTGGTGTAACTATTCCCAAATTTATTTGAAAAAGGTGCTTATTCTACAAAAACGGACTATTAAAGCTACTACACACAAGCCGGCGGCAGTGACGCCGGCAAGCCGCGTAACCCGCCGGCACACCACGGCGGCTCCTTTGCGCGGCAAGGCCGGCGGCTTTGTATGCCGCCGGGTGTACGGCGGCTTGCCCGGCGGCCCTGCCGCCGGCACTGTGTGTAGCAGAATTTAGATATATACCTGAAATAAATCATAGAGCTACATGCAGGCCTTTATTTGTAAATCTTAATGACTGTCGTATCATTGTTCATTTTAGAAACAAAAACTCTTATTTTTAACAATAAATCTAAATTTGAAACATTAAATAATAGTTACTATATTGGATGAAAACAAGATCTCAAATTTACATGCGTCTTCCTAAATGGAAGAAAAGGGGAAAATTGAGTTTCTAATACCTGTAATATGACGGGATCCAGATGCAAATCTTCAATCTTAACTGTAGCATCCTTGGTGATGTCGGGTGGTGTCTTATCGTCGCAGTGATGATTGATATTGTCTGCATAGCTGTGTGATTTGCCCAGAGGAATGTTGTTGTAGAGAGGCGAATGGTTTGAGAAATGTTGCTCATCTTCTCTAACTGAGGCTTTCGGCAGTGAGCTGGCCACCGCCAGTGGTTGCTCACTCATCACCAAATGTGTCACACTACCTGCGTTACTTTCTGCAAATTATATTCGGATATGAAGACTTTAAATCCAAATTCTGTGTAGTCTAGAAAATATTTACATAAGAAATTGGGAATGGACGAAACTTATACTAGGTTCCTATAATACGTCAGAGGAAATCTGATCTGATATATATAATAATAATGGGTGATTTTTTTGCTAGTATCTTTTTGGCAACACTGTTTTTGACAGATGACGCGTGAATCGTGTCTTATTTCATTGTCAAACTTGTTCAGTTTGGTCTATAATTTAACCATGAATCGACTCACGAACGAACAACGCTTGCAAATTATTGAATTTTACTATCAAAATTCATGCTCGGTTAAGAGAGTGCATCGAGCACTGCTTTCAATTTATGGGCAATTTGGTCGGCCTACTGAGGGAGCTATTCTGAAGCTTGTGACTAAATTTCGAACCCAGTTTACATTATTGGACATTAAACCACCAACACGCAGACGTAGAGTGAGGACTGAAGAAAATATTGCGGCTGTATCCGCCAGTGTTAGTGATGACCGTGAAATGTCGATTCGCCGCCGTTCGCAGCAATTGGGCCTCTGTTACTCCACTACGTGGAAAATTTTGCGACAGGATTTGGGTGTAAAACCTTATAAGATACAGCTGGTGCAAGAATTGAAGCCACACGACCTCCAACAACGTTTCCAATTTGGTGAATGGGCGCTGGCAAAGTTGGAGGAAGATCCACATTTTTATCGAAAAATTGTGTTCAGCGGCGAAGCTCATTTCTGGTTGAATGGGTACGTTAACAAGGAAGATTGCCGCATCTGGAGTGAAGACCAGCCAGAAGCATTGCAAGAGCTACCAATGCATCCCGAAAAAATCACTGTTTGGTGTGGATTATGGGCCGGTGGCACCATCGGGCCGTACTTCTTCAAAGACGACAATGGCCGGAACGTAACTGTGAATGGCGAGCGCTACCGTGCGATGATAACAAACTTTTTTTTGCCCAAAATGGAAGACCTGGACTTAGCTGACATGTGGTTTCAACAAGACGGTGCCACATGCCACACCGCACACGAAACAATGGCCCTATTGAGAGGCGAGTTCGGTGAACAGTTTATCTCACGTTTTTGGTCGCCTAGATCGTGTGATTTAACGCCGTTGGACTATTTCTTGTGGGGCCATGTTAAGGCTAACGTCTACAGGGATAAACCAGCAACGATTGACGCACTGGAAGCCAATATTGAAGCATTTATTCGTGAGATACCGGCCGATATGTTGGAGAGAGTGTGCCAAAATTGGACCTTGCGCATGGGCCATCTAAAGCGGAGCCGCGGCCAACATTTACATGAAATAATCTTTAAACATTAAATTACATCGACCGTTCTATCGACTCAAATAAAGATTTAATCGTTTTTTCAAATTTTTTGTGTTTTTTTTTTTTTAAATCAAATCCTATACCTCTTAAAAAATCACCCGCTACAAGAATGTAGTACATGCTTATTTGAAAATTCAATCTAACTTGATGTTTCATTAATTACACAAAGTGTAAGATCAAGAAATGATCGATATCTAATTGATTAAAAAAGTTTTGTTTTTCAGACTACAATATTTTTGGTCCTTCGTCTTCTGGGTCACACTTTCCCAAAGAATGAAAGCAAAAGAGCACGAACAAATATCGACTGATTTCTAACATCTCAATTACCGAATTAAACTGAACCCTTTTTTTAATACTCGGACCTAAAGCCTAAACACCTGTGGGTGCCCTGGGGCTACAGGAGATACATGGGAAATGGGGGAACCCTACACGGACTCTAGCGACACAACTTCGGAAACTAGTATTTGTGGATTGAAATATACACGTGAAAAGTGATATAAATAGGTTTTCACAATGTAGCAAAATGTGATTAAATCTGCTTGTGTAATTAATTTGTTTGTGGTGCAACTAAAGCTCTTCATTACTGGTTTATATTTTGAAACTATGCTAGAGCTACATCAATCTACAACAAGGTGATTTATGAGGTATTGCTGTAAAGCATAGTGCTTTTAAGGCAGTGTACGAGTTACAAAACCATGTGAGAATTTGGAATTGACACGCCTAAGCCGTTGAAGAGACGTATTTGGCCCCCAGTCGGTGGACATACAAATCACCAATAACCATCAGCTTTTTAAACATGCACAAAGTATTTACACTTACCGAAATACTCCACCGAACCAGCGAGCGCAACAGTAAAACAATTAACAAAAATATTTATAACCATTATCGAAAGAAAATTTTTGTATATATCGATAGTATAAGTCTAAACACCAAGCCCGAAAAATCACATAAATCAATAATATGAGAAAAGGCAATTTCCAGGCATTCGACATAGCTCTATACAAATATACGTTGTTTAATGTTTACATGCAAAATTATTCACAGCATAATTTCATAAATTCGTTAATATTTACATAACAATGACCGTCTGGGAGCCATGCTAATTATTTTGTCTTATTTTCCTCATATTTATGTTATTTTATACCAGTTATATGTTATAGGTGGTATATACGGAATATTAATAAAGTATCTGGTCAAACACGTGCAGAAAATCAAACTGGCGTTCAACGCACGTCGAATACAGCAGACACAGCACGTTAGGAATAAATATTTAAAAGAAAAACGCAATAAATAAAATGGTGGATTCATCTACTAAAAAGGGTTGCGACGATTTAAATCAATTGATTTTTCAATTTTAGACGTGATGAAAATCGAATTATAAAATGCTGTAAGAACCAAGTCGTCGAAGCAAATAACTTAAATAATTCATCAGGAAATTCAACAAAGGTTGATTTAAAAATAAGAGTTTACATACATTATGCAAGTTTAAAAACAAAAGTAATCATCATCAGTCCAACGTAAAAATTCATAAATTAAACTTAAGAAAACTCATTTCACAACAACAAAACAGATTATAGTTTTATAATATTAGCTACATGAATAGATAATAACAAATATATTACTCAGGCTAACCAACAAAAAAAAAACACAACATATGTGTTTAGGAAGTTAATTGCAATACTTATACAGGAAAACTAATTTAGCGGTTTTTTCGGTTCCCAAGCGATTTCGAAGTTTGGAATGTACCAAACCAAATGTCGTAAGCAGTCTTTCGAAAGATGTAGCAGATATAAGTTGTTTACTGAAGGCCGTACGTTTTGAACAGCATCGTCATTTTGTTGGAATTTCTACCAATTTAAAGCTTTTGTGAGAATTTCTCCATCAACATCATGTCGGTAAAAGGATCTGGTTGTGTCAGGAATCTTTTGCGGCTTTCAAAACACAACTCTATTCGTCGCCTGCCAATAGATGTTTGGGGTTTTTTGGGATCAAGAAGAGCATAACAGATGATGGAGCGATGCATTGTTCGTATCAGTGTCTAAATTTTTGTTTTTGACATGAAAGTAAAATATGTCTCCTCAAACGCTGATTCGAGATGTTTGAACAAATTCTTGTAAGGCATCAGATTGCATCAGTTCTTTGAAGCCTAACGATGGCCACAGAAATAGGCTTCAGAATCGCTAGCCTTCAGAAGATCTTTTCAAATAGATATTTGAAATTTTATTTTCTCTCGTTACGGCATCGATTTCATTTTTATACTCCTCGCTATAGTGCAGAAGTTTTGGCTACGATTCAGTGAATTAAGTTCAGAAATGATTCGTCTCGCCTCAACCGCTCATTATAAAGGCTAACGAATTTTCAATGTCAACACAAGTTTTTTTTTGTATATCGCCGAAAGATTTTCTAACTATAAATAAAACAAATATGTTTGGGTGAATAGAGAAAAATAATCCTAAAAATCTTGTTTGAAGAGTTTTTTCGTTCCTGCCAATACTTTCGACTGACTCCCAAAAAACACGTTTCCTCATTCTTTGTTGTCGAATAAAGTTTTCCCACAAAAATTGCTGTACCCATTTTATGCGTCTATGTTTTAAATACACATTTGAACAACTTACATCAATAAAACCAAACTTTACAATTATTTCGCAAACCAGGGGTATTTTCGTCTATTATGATTAGACTACAAGTACTGACGAGCGTTTTGCATGACACGAGACTCACCTGAATTGGCGCGCTGAGAACGACAGTTCGATCGAACGCGCATCGATGGTGTACAGACAATAATGTACTGCTAACCGCGAGTTTCTTTGTAGCGCGACAAGTTGTCAACGGGTAGTAAAAATAAGTTAATATAGATATTATTAATCAGATAATGCTTGGTGCATGAAACCAAGTTTTTGTCAAAAAATGTAATTCAGAAAGTACGTGCTTGTTATCGGAAATTTTATAACAAAAATGCGATAAAAAAAGTCCTAACACCAAGGGGTAAAAATTAACAGGTTTAAGGCCGCTGACCTATATGGGTATGACAAATCGTCTTATCTCCTTAATAGTTAATTTTTAAGCGATACATCTGTTAATGCTGTATGTCAAAATTTTACTGCAACTATAAAAAAGTTGTTTCTTAAAAAGTTTTTCTGGACTTTTTTATGAACTTTTGTTAGAAAGGCCCTTTGAAGCTTGGCCAAGTACCTTATTAATAGTCTAGAACTATTTATAAAAAATCAGCGATTACAGAACTTTCAAAGAAGTTTTATTGTTTATACATATTGATCTTATTAGGTCAGTTATCAATAGCAATTTATGCCAAGTGACATATATTATGCAACACCTAGAATTTTTTATTGATTTTTGATAAAAACTTGTAAAAATATTTGCTATCATGGATGTATAAGCTGATAAAATGTTGGAGGCATTCCAAGCCATACTTTTTTCTAAAAGACCTTTTTTTGTCGTATGAGGATCCGAAGAACATGAACATGTTCACTTAATTCTCAGTGATTTTTCTGTGTTGGTTCCATTTATTTCATTGCATTATCATGCTAGAGTTTCGAGTTTGAGAGGTTAATCGGGTTACGTGACGCCGGATTTTCGTTTAGAGAAATCGCTAATCGGGGATATCTCAGCTATTTTGCGAAATTTCGAGTTGAAATTTTAATCACTTTCCATTTATCAATAGACCTAAAACTTGTAAAAGAATGCTCAAAATTATAGCACTCCTATTCGGTGTTGCATTTTCTATGTCATTTAGTATATTAGAACTACACCGTAACTGAAGGTGAAACAAACTTGAAACATATTTTACTTGCATTTCAAATCAATGAACTCACCTTAAATATTTAAAGCTGAAAACCCAAAAGACTAAGTTCAATTGAACTGGCGCTGAATATAGATTGGATTATAATTTGGCAGAGGAAAATTATTTTCTTTCGCGTAATTCAAATTTCTTTCACCATTCAACTTAACTAGAAAATATTCATCATGGTGTACATTTTCATACATCTTTGGCCGCCTCTTATGTTCATTATGTTTTACATATTGTCCATGACTTTTTTTGCAATGATCATGGTGCCTTCCCTGATCAAATACTGGAAAGTCCCTCAAACCATCTAAGTTATTAAATCTATCATTCTCTCTCCACGACTGTACATAATAACGATAAAAGTCATTGTAGTTCTCAGATTGCTCAACACCGACGATACTTTTGAACTGAGACGGTGAACAATTATTTATAAATTCATATGGAGCCTCAGCTAGAGTAGGTGGCTGTCTTTTGGTCGGCAATAGTGTACGCGGTATAGAGATCAATTTGTGGGCTTTCAACGCATTTTTGGAGGGTAAGGGGGGCTTATACTCATAAAAATAGTCCCGCGGAATGTGGTACGTACCGGTGGTTTCAGTTGTCTGGCGGTAGATCCCAGGCAGCTCAGTGGAGTTAGGAGTTATGTGTTGCGGCCCGTTCTGGATTGTAAAATAGAAAATTATAAACTCGTCAAATAAACCTGACACAAAACATATTTATCTGCCTTAAATAGTATTAATGGCATACCTGGATAGGCCCATAATATTTTGGAGCCAGAACAGCCTCAGATGTTGATGTTCCATTTATTTCTGCTGAATAGCTTTCAGTAACTATACCTCTTCTGAAACAAAAAATTACCTGATGTATACCACACAGAATGTTAACAAAAAATTGCCACAGTTTTGATTGTAACTTATTTTGGAATGAGATTAAAACATATCCTATAATCTTATAATTTATGTGCTAACCTGTCAATGAGAGAAGGTGTTACAGGTCCACACAATATGTGGAAACAGTTCAGACACACATTACCCTGTGAATACGGATTAAAGCTCTCTTGGCCCCTTTTACTGGCAAAGGACCCTTTTATCTAAAAAACAGGAACTAATAAAGTATGCCAATAGATGCTAAACTATCGATATTGATTAAAATATTCTAACCAAGGCACTCAATTCAATGGAAATACGAGGTGTGTAAATTATGAGACGAGACATATTTTTTTATTCATATATAGTAACAATTTTATATTGTCACCCTCAAAATAACTTCCTTCTGAAGCCACACAGCGGTGAAGACGGTTTTTCCACTCCACATAGCAGTGCTGGATCTCCCATACTGGAGGGTTACAGCTGTTTGAATGTTGTCGACTGCCCCAAAATGAGTTCCCTTGAGGTGTTTTTTTAACCCCGGAAAGACCGGAAAGAGAAAAAAGTCACAAGGCCTCAAGTCAGGTGAATATGGAGGCTGAGTAGCCACAGGAATGTTTTTACTGTATAAAAACTCGTTTATTACGAGCGCTACACGAGGCTAGTTCTTATTTGGCCTTGAACAGAGTGAGGAGGTTTCGCGGAGAAAAGTACTTTTTAGCCCTAAACAAATATCCTAACTTTTTCCCAACAGCTGCCGCTATTGACGAGATGATCTAGACTCCGACCAGCCAAAATTAATGGCTCTTTGGCAGAACTCATCCATCCATCGAAACCGGATGTGCGCTGGGGCGCTTCCTGTTAGTCAAGGTACAGTACTGTATTTTGGAAGCATTACATTGTAACAGATTGTTGCGTCCCAAAGCTGTAATAGCTATCAGGACTTTCGTCAGAGAGGAAGTAGCTGCTAGTTTTCTTTTATCCAGCTCACTGGCAGAGATTGGCTAGTCACTCTGAATTCCTGCATGTAGAGTGCTGTCATCAGCAAAGCCTAATTTATTGGATTGATCGTACAGGGTAGGAGTTGGTTGATTTACAAGAGGAATAATGTCGGAGCCAAGACTGATCCCTGGGGAACACCTGTGTTGACATTGTGGGATAAAGCTTCTCTGGGAGGCCATAGGATAGAAGTTTGTGAATGTCCAAATACAACAAATGGTTGGGGATCTTCTTAGAGAACATTTTAATCAATGACTATACTTACATCTTCATTTGTGGTCTGATTACTTGTGGTCAAGTATGTATGAAATCCAGCTAAACCAATAATGCTCCAGACACTAAAGAAGCATATTATAGCTACTATTATACTAGGAGGAGACTCCTTGACGGCATCTAAGAATTGTCTATCCTCTTTTGTTACTGAAATGTTTATAATGTCATATATATGTAACTGTAATCATTATGTACTCGTATATAATATACTTACTCAAAATTAGATGGGCAACTGCACAGGCGAATATAAAAACTGCCAAAAATGCTAAGGAAACTATGAACATGTAGAAAAATCTGTAGTTTCTTCTGCCCACACAATTTCCCACCTAAAAAATGGAGATATTGAATGATACAGATACATTATGTAGGATTTGTCAGGAAAAATTCTACCTTTTTATAATCTATAACATTTTTACCTAGTAGATGGAAGGTGGTAAAGTAAGGTGTGAATCCTGTTAAATTCTATTAACTACTTTAATTATTATTCTTATGTATTTTCACCTCATATATGTGACTTACTGAACTGGACTCCCTCAACCTCCAAATATATATTTTTTAGTACAGACTCTCACTCTAGTTCATTTCCTGTAGATTCATTTTTGATTTTGTCTTATCTGGTTATTCTCTTGACTGCTCTCAGGTATTTCATCTCTTTAGCTTGAATTTTGCTTTTCTGTCTCTTAGTTAATACCCACCTCTACTACCCAATGTCAGTATAGGTCTGAAGACTGTTTTATACACAGTCTGCCTGCTTATCTCTTTCTTCATTATGTGTGGTAGAATTTCAAGGCTTTCATTAGCCTTTTATTTGTTTCTTATTCTATTTTTCCATTCTCCTAAATCGAAACAGCTAGGTATTTGAATGTGTTGTCTTGTTCTATGTGCTTACCCTTAGAAACTCCATTTTACGTTAGTCATTACCTTTATCTTGGTTATGTTTATTTTGATTCTTCTCTTCAACGGCTCCTGCTGCCAGATATCATGCTTGTATTTTCAGATTGTTGGGGTACTACTAATCTAAGAAGATTCACTCAATGATTCTAAATATTCCATCTTTGAGATCTCACTTACAAGTACAGTAGCGACTCGATAATCCGGATTATTTAAAACCAGGTGCAATTCGGACTAACGAAAAATCCGGATTAGTGGGAATCATAAGGAAAACAAGTTCTTGATATTACAAACATGTTTATTTCATAAAAACTGAAACATAAATCATCTACATAGCTAAAATAAGCAAATAAAATAAAAATATAACAAAAAATTTTAGTTATTAAAAAAATCAGTTATTTTTGTTTGCCTTTTATGTTCAGAATGCTACTTAATAACAGCTTCTTCTCTTAAGTCTTTTAAGGCAAGGATTGAGGCAAGTTCAATATTGTTGTCTTCTGCCCATTTAATCCCTGCTGTAAAATGCGCAATTGCCACGTCATGTTTAACTTTTGGAACAGTAAATTGGTTTCCATTTTGTGTTTCTACGTCACACGTGAATTTTCAGAATAGTCATCTTGAAGAGTATGTTCTTCAGTTTGTTCCACCCACTCCAAGATTTCCCCTTCTGTAAATTGTTCAGATGATGTTTTTTCTAGCATTGTTGAAATGTCCTCAATAGTCTCCATTTGCTGCTTTATTTGTACGAGCAATAAGCTTAATGGTATTAAATCTTCAGCGTCATAATCTAAGTTTTCAGTTAACAACTTTTTCCAACACTGTTTAAAGCAGTTATTGACACCTTTGTCCATGAATTATGTAATAAGCAAACTGCGTCTTTTGGATTGAGGTTTTTTAAAGATTCGCTAAGGTCATTGTTTTCTTGCTCCTTAGTACAGAACATGTGAGCCAATAAACTTTTTCTATAAAATAATTTGGTTAATCGTATCGCATTTTGGTCTAACGGCTGAATCAATGCGGTGCAGTTGGGCGGTCAAAACATTGTGATTATTTTACCATCTTCAGAAATTAATCCCTTTTCACTGCAGTGGCTAGGTGCGTTATCAATTTCGGGAATGTGTTCTTTTTTCAAGAATTCCGAAACTTGCTTGCAAAATGATTTATGAAACCATTCTTTAAATAAATAAGGAGTCATCCATGCATTTTTACTATACGTTTACTCCACCGGAAAACTCGTGCCTCTGTTTTTAAAAGCCCATGGATTTCTAGATTTGCCGATTACCAAAAGTTTCAATTTGTGCGAACCATTTCCATTTGTACACGCCAGAAAAGTTGTTCTCCTTTTTTCCTTTCCGGCCTGGAGCTGATGCTTCCTTTAAGTGGACTCATGTTCGTTGCGGCATCAATTTGAAAACAAGCCGGACTCATCAGCCTTATAGATTTGGCTTGGAGATAGCCCTTTTTCTTTTATAATCTTAGTTAACTTTTGTATAAAAGGTTTAACAGCAGAATTATCGTTAGATAGTTTTCGCCGCATATTTGAAGATGCCAACCATGACGTGCCTTGAATTTCAAGAACCAACCCCTGTTGGCTCCAAATGCATCTTTATTGTAACATTTTTTGAAAAAATATTTTGCCTTTTCTGCTAGAATATCGTATCTTACTGGTATGTGTCGATCACGCTGTTGCAGAAACCAATCGTAAAGTTTCTTTTCCATTTCTTCATAAAACTAAAATATTTAATGCGTTGAATATTAAAATATTTTTTTCAAAATTCTATAACTCTTACGCATCTATCTTGCCTCTGTTTTTCTTAATATCTGATATGGTGGATATTCCCACTCCATACATTGCAGCTAACTTTTTACCACTGATACCTCGTTTTAGTTTACCTAAAAGTTCAGTCTTCTTTTGTATCGACAAAGTTATGTGAGTTGGTGTAAGAACCATGGCGTTTGTTGTTGAATAACTGACCCGTGGAAAGGTTCTGCTTTATTTGTGTCCCGGCCGCGTCGTTCATGGCGTGATATTTAACAAGATTGAACTTGTTAAGAACTTAATATCTGATCCGGACTAGCGAAACATGACAATCAGGATTACAGAGTCTGCGAGACAGGTCCGAATTATTGGAACATCCGGATTATAGCAATTCGGATTATCGAGTCGCTACTGTATTGGGAAAACCATCTAAGGACTTTACCTTGAAGCCCATACATGTGTAACTTCTCAATTAATAATTGCGTGTCAACAGTTTCAAATGCTGTATGAGAATACAAGAAAATCACACACACCAATTTTTTGTTGTCTAATGAGATTTTCCAGTTAGATATCATATTGCCTGTAAAGCACTTTCACATGAGTGACCAACTTGGAAACCAGCCTGACGGGTGGAAAAAATATTGTTTTCATTCACATGACCTCAAACCTGGAAATTAGCTGCCGTTTCTAGTTGTTTTCACACACTGGTACCATATTATCTGATCTACATGCTTCACACTGATTAGTTCCACCAACTTTTTCTATTGGAGTGATAGTTGACATTTTCCATTCATTTGGAAATGACCCAGTTTCTAACCTTTGGTTTATCATGTCCAAAAAGTAGTTATCAATGGCTTGAAATGTAAGCTCTTTTTTTATTTTTACCTGTTTTTTAATGGTATCATTCTACATTAGTTCATCAATGCTACCCCATCTCCCTCCTGCAGCTGTTGTGATCATCCAAGTGTTTACATGTTTATTTCCATTCTGTGAATTTTTGTCAATATTCTATATTTCTCTGTGACATCTTTGTCCAGAAGCTGATATGATCTTATTATTTTTGTATACATTTATTCATTGATTTTACCCTATGAACCCCTTGAAGTGTTAATGTAACCTCCACCAAATTCAACCTTTTTAAGGTATTAATTTCTGATATAATGTATAGACATAAACTATCTTAAATAATGTTCAAGAAATTTCAGTCTGCTTTTAACTGAGAGTTGCTTACCCATGGACAATGATGATCAAATCTATCAACACAGTTGTCACACAAACTGCAATGGGAAGCTCTTGGAGGCCTAAATATCTTACATGTGAAACAATATTTCAGTTTCACAGTCTGGCCTTTTACTAGCACCTCTTTTGTTCTAGGAGGAGGCCTAAATGTAGGACTGTTAGCTGAATTTGTTACTTCTGAAAATGTTTAAGTACCTATATTAAAAATGTAAAATGAGATGTTAACAGAGTCATGCTTATGTGATATAAAGTAGGTATTGTATGGAAATAAGACAGCAGGAAGTGCCATCTATTACCAGAATCGACTGTATCTACTATATCAACAGAATTAGCAGCATCTAGTGACCAAGACCAAGCCTGAATGACATCCATATTTTTTATTGTTTCATCTAATAGCAAAAGCGAACTATCAAGTCTGAAGTCCAACTATAGCTAAGAAATTGTATATAAATACTCAAACAAAGTATTTTAATGATATGTTAACAATCACATACAGGGTGTTCCTTAATGATATGCGAATATTCAAGGGTGTGAATCTACATGAAAAATTTAATGTTAGTTTGCTTTATAAACCATGGTCCAAAAATAATTCCTTACAAAAACTAGGGGTGTTGAAGTCTTTGGAAAAAATGGAAATTAATTAATATTTTCAGAACTGCTTCAGATATTTCACTGATATTTAGTACGTAGTGAAAGTTAATAAAGTTGCATATTATTCAATGCAAAAATAATCTTTAGCTTTAACAGTGGCGTGCGTACGTGTATTGACTTCGATATTTTTTAAGAAGAAAATGGTACGCCAATGGTTTTTTGCCAAATAAAAATTATTTTTGAATTCCCCGTTCAATTTAAAACAAATGATCTCTCTTGAATTGTTTTTCTTCGATGCGCCATTTTTGAGTAAAATAATAAAAACCGTTCTATTGTCCGACGGTAATGGTGAGCAAGCCAGACGGTTCTATCACCAGAGATATCCCGATCGTGCTTTGCCAGATAGTCGAACCTTTTCTAATATTCATCGTCGTCTTGTTGAAACTGGTTCTGTCCGAAAAGGAACATCTGAAGGTAGACCTCTAAGTGTGAGAACCCCTGAAATTGAGGAAGCAGTGCTGCACGAAGTCGAAGAACATCCTGAAACGAGTACGAGGAAGATCGCTAGACACTTAAATATTTGCCATCAAATTGTTTGGAGAATTTTAGTGGATTTTTTGTTATATCCTTACCATATTTTAAGAATACAGGCATTATTTCCCACTGATTTTCCAAGGCGTGTGACATTTTGTGTGTGGTATCTAGAAAAAATTACACAAAATCCGCAATTTGAATCAATGATTCTGTTCACGGATGAAGCTAATTTTTCTCGAAATGTCATTCAGAATTTCCACAATAATCATTTGTGGGCAGAAGAAAATCCCTATGCCATAACCGAAACCCATTTCCAACACCAATTTTCGGTTAACGTATGGGCAGGAATTATTGGCAACCACTTTAGTGGCCCATTCTTCTTGCCGGGACGACTTGACGGACAGACTTCCCTTAATTTTCTTCAACAACAGTTGCCTTTGCTGCTTGATGCTGATCCATTAGTAATAAGAAACAATATGTGGTACATGCATGATGGTGCACCAGCGCATTTCAGTGTAGCGGTTTTAATGTAATTAAATTAATAATAATTTTGCAAGTTAGACAATAGAATGGTTTTTATTTTTTTACTCAAAAATGGCGCATCGAAGGAAAACAATTCAAGAGAGATCATTTGTTTTAAATTGAACGGAGAATTCAAATATTATTTTTATTTGGTAAAAAACCATTGGCATACCATTTTTTTCTTAAAAAATATCGAAGTCAATACCCGTACGCACGCCACCGTTAAAGCTAAAAATTATTTTTGCATTGAAAAATATGCAACTTTATTAACTTTCACTATGCATTAAATATCAGTGAAATTTCTGAAGCAGTTCAGAAAATATTAATTAATTTCCATTTTTTTCCTAAAACTTCAACACCCCGAGTTATTGTAAAGAAACATTTTTGGACCATGGTTTATAAAGCAAACTAACATTAAATTTTCATGTAGATTGACACCCTTAAATATTCTCATATCATTAAGGAACGCCCTGTATATGATTTATTTATAGTACAATGGAAATTTTCAGTATACTCAATAGATTTATAACTAAAAATTATGTTGATACCCTCACCTATCTGCTTTTCAACATAAGCAGCTTCTTCAGATGTTGCCCTTGGAATGATTCCAGGATCAGAAAGGCCTGTCCTTAATAAAGATGACATTGTAAAAAGAAACAATAATCCTCCAATAATGGGTATAGCGATTGTCACATTTTCTGCCAAATATTTACAGCTGCAAAGAAATAGTATAGAGAAGTATTTAATATCCTTGTATCAAGCATAAAGGCTATTTATTGGACTTCTAGTGATAATTCCAGATATATAATAATAATGTCTCCCCCCGGAGGGACATAAACAGCGAAGTTTAGACAAGGCTATTCTTACACTTAACTGTTTATGTCAGTTACATCTGATGTTCAAAACATGGAAAAAAAATATATATAAGAACAATGAAAAAAAGAACACATATATACCTAAGTATAAAATACAAATAGACACAATCTATATCTGTAGCAGCAATGCATATTTAATCATATGAGGGTTGGATGAAAAGTTCTTGGCCTGGTTACAGAAGATTGCAATATTAGGTTAAAAATGGCCCCAACAAATTTGATCCAATGTTTCTGCAACATTAGGAATCCATCTCAGAGAAGCAACTATGCTGATCCTTCTGATCCCCAGTCCTTTATGCAAGCTGTTCTCCACCATTTTTTCTAATATCTCCACAGACTAAGCTATTTTGCCTTAACATGCCTATTCCAACCTTTTTGATGGTTTCAGGAATGGTCATACTTCATGTGAGTCAAATTCAAGAAACATGCAAGAAAGTTAAGTGCAGCTGATCACTTTTTAAGAGTTGCAATGTGTGTAAACTTTTGTTATCTTTGGAAGAATTTCAATTCATCCACTGGAAACCATGCAAAATATACACTTCAAAAATTTGTGTAGACTAACTACTTATGAGAACAAGTTGAAACTTGTGATACAAACAAATGATATGTGTGTCCATGAAAGGATTGTGAATGTTTACTGATTTCAGCAGCATTTCTGTGTCAGGCTGAGAACTTCTACATTATCCTCATATGCTACTACTATGCATAACTGTTATCCAGCAGTACATTAAAAAAAAGATACTTACTCAAATATAAAAAACAGTGTGCTTGTCACTGTAATAAGGAATACAGTGAGCAAGAATACTCCTGAGTTTGGAGCAGTCATAAGTCTTCCATTGCAATAGAATCTGTTCCTTCCCTGAAATACCTCCCATTTCCTTGTTAGTTTATCTCTGGCCATATTCACAGAAGAGGAATGTGCGGCCAGACAAGAACAACGGGGCAAAGGGGCAGGAGCTCTTGTTACAACTTGTGAATGATTCACAGTCATGTAACCAGCTTTTTAGTAAACACTGAAGCAACATAAATGATCCTACAAACTATTTGTGCACTTAGATGTGCTACAGCTCAATTCATGGTCCATGTAGCCTTTTTTACGCCTAAAACACTTTGTTTTTCTCATTGTTAAAGCAGTATCACTCCACTAATGACTTGTATTAACATCGTCCGCCAGTTTCTCATAATATACAAAATGAGTTGAGATAATTTGTTTATTAAATGGTAGGGTTTAATAATTAGTGAATCACTGCATAGTTCACTTATTTTATATAAAAAATAAATTGAGAATTGAACGGACACCACTCAGCTCTAATCATAATCAACCATAAACGTCAAAATATTGACAGCCAATTGTCAATCGTGACATAAATGGCACGTGTCAATGTCAAGTTAAAGCTAGTGACGTTGATTCAAGAAAAATTGGTAAAAGTCTGTAATTGGGCGAAAAAAATGTGGGGCGTGGTTTAACGACCATATGGCAAAGCATCTCATTGTTGATTGTTCAAGTTATTAATCTAACTTCCCCCCACAAAACATATACACTGAAGAAGGTTTAATTCCATGCTATTCAATGGCCAACACGGTGACATGTGTGGTTGTCAGCGGCCATTTTTTGAGGGTGCGAAATGGTTGCCAGATTGTGCATTAATATTTCGCAACGTTGCCAGCTCTACATATAAATCTGAGATTGCCATACTTTTATATATAGAAATTTGATGGGATATGCGAGATCTTATAACAGCATGTGCTATTAACTTTTTGCGCTATCTTGACGAATAAGTGCTTTTTTGTACGTTAAAATAGCAACGTCAATAACACAAGCTGTTATAAGATCACTCTACTTACTAATCTGGGAAGGTTCAAAAGAAAAACATATATTGCAAATACCTAAATATATATTCATTATATAAATCTGACACATTTTTCTACAAACAAATCAGTATTAACATCATTATGGTCCAGATGTTTTCATTCCCCAGCCTTTGTTGGCACCTGCATAAATCAAAAATTAGGAAACAGTTGAATTGTGTTGACATGTGACTACAATTTCAGATTTATTTCTTTATTAGAACAATAATATTATTGTCCATGGGTACCCACAGGAAATTTTCTCAGAGGTGCTGATCATTATCAAGAGATAACTTTTTGTGAAATTGTACCTGCCTCCAAAATTTTTCGATGAGCAGAGGAAGCAATTTTCTCAGGCAGGGACAAATCCTACAAAAATCTCAAAGTTGTTCACAAAAGCATGCTAAATATGCAAACATTAAAGTCAAATCAGATTCCCAGAAGAGACCATGGCCCCTCTGACACAACCCTGTGGGCACCAATGTTATTGTTCAATAACAACATGTGGCTTCGATTTCATTGCAACTATAGTGAGCTTTGCATATCAACCCTGCTGCTCTGAAAATAGCTGGTTTAAAATGAAGTATGGAAACTAATTTGGACAAAAAGCAGTACAAATCATCACTGGTTATTAAGTCATATAAAAACTTATAAATGTTATGGTCTGCAAATATCCTTCAGAGCTGTGCCTCTTGGTTAGATCACAAGTAATCTCCGAATTTCTGATAATTCTAACGACCTCAGGGGTTGAAACTGGCGGCTGAACTTTTCGTAGTGCTCCACTGTTCAAAAAGTTATGTGGAGATTCCAACAGGTATGATCTTTAAATATTACATTCCTCAAATGAGTAACCGCTGCATCTCTGATATTCCTCAGCATATGCAGAAACCTGGCTACTGACTGGCATCACTTTGGATCACCTTAAAAAAAGAAACAGTTTTGATTTGCAGTTTGTCTTATAGTATTTACAAATATATTACAGCTTTGGGTACTTACATTTTTATACTTCACAACTCTGAACAAGAGGCATATGTCTTGAATAACGTAATAGGGACTTTATTCAATTAAAATGAAATGTTTATGTACGTAATAAAATGGCTTGCGGAAAAAGTAAGGTTATTCTTGCAAAGCACAGGAGAAGCCCACGCAGAAACCCGCCGGAAATTTAAATCTGAACAATCAGACGTCAATTGTGAATAAGCCGCCATTTTTTGAGGGTGCAACATGGTTGTCATATTGTGCACCATCAACACTGCTTTGTTTCCCATTCGCTCATATGAGTTTCACCCCCCTGGTACCCCCTAACAGGAGCACCTAAGTCTTATACTTATATGGTTGCCAGATTCTGCATACAACAGAACTCTACATGGGAGGAAAATGGCGCACATGAAATCTAAAATAGTTACTCCACCGCAGTGAGGTTCTAGTTCTTACGCATTTGTCTGTGTTTTTACTGTCATGATTTAACTTCAAGTATTCATCACGTGGGGTCAACTGAGGCCTGACAAGGCGCTACACAGGAAATCTGGCAACGTTCTCCTTGGTAAAAAAAGCGGCCGGCAACACTGTCAATATTGATAGCGTCACTTGTCTTTCTTCAGCGTCCAGCCGTGCAGCGTCCCCGCTGTCAAGGTACCATTTTTCCCTGGTATTCATTTTGTTCTTGTTCTTGGTGGAAAAAGTGACAACAAACATTGATCTACAGTATTTGCAAATATTATTTCATTTTCCTCATTACTCAAGGATTAATAGACATATTTTAAAAACTAAATATGACTATTGGAGGAACTATAAATAAGTCATACCTCAACAAAAGGTAATTTTGTTTAAAACAGCTATTGAATACTTTCTAATGCATTGTTCATTTTCAGTAAGAATACCTATCCACCTCAAGGAGTTCGTTGCCAAAAATGCCTGGAGTATGGCCACTGGAGTTATGAATGTAAAGGAAAACGAAAATATCTACACAGATCATCAAGAACACAACAGCTCAAAAAACGTGTAAAAGCTGAAGAGGAACGAAAATCTAATGTTCCTGTGGGAGCTAATGAGCGAACAAAGGAGAAAAAGAAGGATTCAAGTGACTCTGACAGTTCAGACAGTAGTTCTGATAGTTCCAGTGATTCTAGTTCTAGTAGCTCAAGTGAATCTACAAGCAGCAGTAGTTCATCTTCAGAAGATGAAAATTAATAGTTTACACTAGTTTTTAAAAACATTATGATGCATATTATAGTGTATTGAATCATCCTAAATTAAATAATGTTTCAGCCTTTTTAATTGCCACATTTATCACCTTAATACATCGTTCAATTTTTTATTGACGTAAATAGTAAAAATGAACATAGCCATGTTAGTAACACTTAAACAAATCTTCAATTTTCATCTGCCGAAGTAAGCCTACCCATTTACGAGCAGCTAGGCCCTATTTTTTAAGGTCAGATATTTGATACTGGTTGCTCTCGCCTTGTGTTTACAACCAACGCAATGCAATATCTAAGCATGTAAAGGCTTCTAAAGCACCAATTATGTTTTCATCTTCATTATCTGAACTTGCAGTTGATGAGGTGCTAGCTGTGGTGTCAGTTTTATTAGTCATCAGATTTAATATTTCACTTTCCTGCAGAATTTGGTACCCGGGATCATCATCATCATCAAAATCCATCCATTGTTCAACTTCTTCTTCATCACATTCATCGCAATTAAGTTTTTTTAGCATACTATCATTTCAGAAATATTTACTCCTTTACTACTATTTAGATTATCACTTTCAGGATATTCCACTAAACACAAAACTTTTTCCCACACATTTTTCAAGGTATGCTCTTTTACACTGCTCCTATAATGTAGGGCGCGTCTTTCAAATCAATCTTTTTATGATTTCTTATCAGGCTTTCTTCTCCCTCCTCTTCTTTTTCCAAAAGTAACTTGCGTAACAATTCTTTTCTATAATACCATTTAAAAGTCTCAATAACACCTTGATCCATGGGCTGTAATCTGTAATAATGAGGTCACATTAAGCGAAAGAAACATGACTTTTATAAAATCGTCTTTTTCATTTAAGATGTCACATGATGGATGAGTCGGGGCGTTATCTAGAAGCAATAATGTTTTCTCTCTTTTACCATTTTTTAATTGATGGGCTTTAACAGAGGGTACAAAAGTTTCTATAAACCATTCCATAACAATTGTACTATCCATCCAAGCACTCTTTTGCGAAGTGTAAACTATAGGCATCGCAGACATATTAACATGTTTAAAACAACATGGTTTCTTGCTTTTACCAATGACAAGCATGGGCAATCGTTGGCTGCCAGTAGCATTAGCACAAGCTAAAGCAGTGATATGATCCTTGCTTATTTTAGGTCTAGGTGCTGCTAATTCACGTCGTGACGCAAGAGTTATTCTTGGCAAAGTTTTCCAATTGAGCCCAGCTTCATCTGCATTGTAAACGTTTTCGAGGGCGTAATTTTCTTCCTTCAGTAACTCCCTTAGTTTGACTTTGAATGAATCTGCTGCTGATGAATCAGCCGACAGCTTTTCTCCCTGTATTTGCAGCTCACGAATGCCATGTCTCGACTTAAATCTTTTCAACCAGCCTGTGCTTGCTTGAAAATTTTATGGCCCTCCGAGTTTATTGTTGAACTGAAGTGCTTTTTCACACAGAATCGGACCAGAAACAGGTTCTCCCTGGGATCTTTTCTGAGTAAACCACTTATATACAGCATCATCTAAATCCGTGTACAAAAGGAGAGTCGGGAGTTCGGATAAGCGGTCGTTCGGTTGATCGACGCTCTGCTGTACTTCAAAAAGTTATGATTAGGCAGTGGCCTAGCAAGGGCAGGCACCAGGTGTCACCTTCGTTAGGGTGACTCAACTTTTTCAGAGTTGAACTCCAGACAAGATAGAAGTCTATTCAAGACTCAAGCTTCATTGTTTGAGATCGTACAAACAAATGCTTTGCTTTTGGCGAATATTGAAATTAGCTACATTCATATTTACTGATTTTTATGACGAGGTCTCAGAAACAGAATTGCTCTAGGAGATACCAAGACTGTGAAGACATTTAAAAGCTGCTAATACTACAGTTTCTGAATGGGTATCTCTAGTTTTTTTAAAGTTTATTGTAGAATGGGATTTTACAGAATCTCTTCCAAATCTTATGATTGGTATAAATTGTTCATGATGGTTTGCGTGTCCGTAGCTTCATGTGAAAGGAGTTTCAGTAAACTAAAATTAATAAAAAACAATTTGTGGATAACAATGACCCAATCGCGGATTAGCAATCTTAGTATATTAGCCATCGAACACGACGCAATACAAATTATAAATTTTTATGAAGTTTTGAGTTTCCAGCTGTAAAAGCTAGAAAGAAAAGATTTTAATTGTAAGGTAATATGTTCTCGTAGTTTTTATTGTTTTGTTATTTGTTCAATATTTTAAATATAAATATTAAATGATCCATGACGTTTATAAATCATATACAATTCATTGCCAACTTACGCACCGGGTGCCACCCAAGGTAGCTATGCCACTCATCTCTTGACAAAGCTACTGTACTCAAACAAAAGGTAATGCTTTTAATATTTTATTAAACATTTTAAGTGACTAGAAAGAGCCATACAACAAAAATTCATAGTGCTTGTTATAAAAGAAATTGATAAAAATATAGTAAAGTGCTTAGCAAAATATATACACGCGTTTTTGCATACAATACTGTAGAAAAGTAGAATAAATTGACGAGCGTAAATTCGAGGAATGTCTCAAGAACGAAAATAAATTTGCATTTAGCTAGTGAATAAATTTAAATTCAACATAAATAAAATTTAACTCAATCAGAAATTAAAACAAACTAATACCTAAATTTTAAAGAATATAAAATAATATATATTATACAAATAAGTATTGTTGATGTTTTAATGGACTAAATAGTACTACTAAATAACAAAATACCAAACGCGTTAAACATGACAGTTCCAGTAAAACCATAAAATTAAGTGGGCCAGTAATGATCAATTGATGAGTAAAACTAATTTTGCACATAACTGGTCAATATTCTAAAATTTATAACTGCTGAATACCATTCACCATAGTCTATATACTGTACTTGGACGTTTCCTTACAATTTCCATCGTCACAGCCATATTGTCGTAAAAACTGATTCCATGTTTCTGCCAAATAAATTTTTTTATCCTTAAACATGACATCTACCTTCCAAGGAAAGACCACCCCTCAGCCTTCGTAATTATTCCATATACCACTGACGTCGTAATGTTTACGAGAGAGAAGCGTGCAATACGTGTGTTAGAAAGAGATAGGGGCACCTCGCTGCCTAGCAACCCGAGTGACGAGGCTTGCCGTGTCGCCACCGGCGCACCATTTCTAACATACATATTGCACGCTTCTCGCGTTTCTCTCTCGTACACATTACGAGGCCAAATTTTAACGTAATCGAATATCATATTCTCAGAATTTGACATTGACGGAAAAGGAAATTCCACGACCTGCGGCTACAGTCCGAGAGGTGACAACACTGCCGCCTAAAGACCGCGACCGACTCGTTGCGACCGACAGCAAACTTGTATGCATAAGTTGTTCGCCGCGCCACGGTACGTACACTTTACACGCAGGCATGGTTGTCAATTGGCTTGGATAAGTATCTTCAAGTGCAATATGTTAATCTTAATACCAACAACAGCAAAAACTAGCAGCTTTGGAAAAAATGTGGCTCGATAACAAAAACGTGTAAATCTTTTTTTAACTTATAAAAAATGAAACATTGCTTTCCCATTAAGCTTTCGACTAATATGTTTCACAGGGACTAAAATGCATTTCGAAGATGAGTGGGGGATAGTGACAGAAAAAAATAACTATAGCAGACAGAATGGACATATTTTGTAGACAGTACACATTAAAAAATAGTGAAGACGATTGATGGTGATGATCACAACTTATGTTCATTACAAGTGTATCAGAATTCCTCAATGAATCAATTTGTGATTTACAAAAGGATATGAAATATAGCTGACCCAAAGTAACATGCAGACAAATATATGTATATGCGATACTGGAACTGCCACATTCCTCCAGGTAATTCATTATAATCACTCAATCGCATTGAAGGCTCCGCTTTATTGAGCAATACAAGATATAATAACAACGAAACAACAAGTAGCGTGAAGGCATGACACAAGTTGACAACGCGTACGTAAAAACGTCGTAGGCATTTAAGTGCTGCTATCCATTTCTGGATCGCTTTCAGCGTCAGAACTAGAACTAACAGCCAGGTCGCCTGCCATCGCCACTCGGGCGTACTCGTCCTTGTCGATCGATTTGCAGAAGTGGATGGCGTACTTCAGCTTCTGCTGCAGTACATGCTGAAAGGCAATTTTTATCTTTGTATAATATTTCCGAACTTAACGCACCTATGGCCGCACTCAGCAGGCTTTTAAAACGCTAAGCAAATATGGTATTTCCAAATAATGCAAATAACCACACAGTCGGTTTTAGGCCGGCACCCTTATTACGTAATTATGGAACTGCAAAATGAAAGTGATAGCAACCTGCAGGGGTACTTTGTATCATGAGAAGTAACATTATGTCGGTTTTCCTTGTCACGTGCCAAAACCACGTAACCTTCTTCTACTATTTTCATCACTTTCAGTAATTTAAATTTCTCTTTTTAATTGTAGAGTACCGATTCCTAGACCAAACTTTTTTTTTAATGATTTTCTTTTGGCGAATTCCACAGTTTATTGATTGTATAACTTCTCACGTATTATATACAGTAATGGACAAAAGTATATAGACAAATATGAATATTTACTTAAATATAAATATAAACGAATTCATACTTCATTGCTCCATAAACAAATGCGTTATTAGTAGAAAAACTAAATTCCCTGTTTTTACATTATCTGCAATGAACACAATACAAGTCTGAATATAAGCACTTTTGAATGAGGTACAAAAATATGTAGACAAATTCTTTTCAACATTAGTTTAGTACAGTTTCGTGTCAGAAAAGGATTAGTTTGTGTTCATCAAGTATTGTGGAATAAGTCGAGTCATTTTAAGACCATGCCGCGCGGTCCAGAAATTTCTTTCGATGTGAAAACTAAGATCATTGAGTTATTCAAAGATGGTCAATGTCAAGTCGACATTGCCAAAAATTTGAAGCTGAAGCGTAAAGCAGTTTGGGCAATATTGACCAAAAATAAACAAAAAGGTATCTTGGAAGCCTTTAAGAGAAGTGGTCGGCCTAAAAAACTAAGTGCTAGATCAGTTAGATTAATAAAAGTAATTTCGTCCAAAGATCCGTTTGAAATCCCAAGACAAATAAAAGCCGAAATCGAGACAAAAGGAATTGTCAGTGTTTCTACGAAAACTATAAGTAGAAGATTAAATGATTTGAAGTTATTTGCACGTCACCCGAGTAAGAAGCCGCTAATCTCGAGGAAAAATCGTAAGGACCGATTACCATTTGCACGGTGGCATCTTGATTGGAGCATCTTTGACTGGAAGATGGTATGTTAAGTGACGAATCCAAGTTCAATATGTTTGGATCAGATGATGTTCATTACGTTAGACGTTCTAGTGGACAAAGATTGAACCCCAAGTACACTTTGCCCACTGTCAAATATGGAGGCGGGTCTGTTATGGTTTGGGTGTGCTTTTCGGGGTTTGGGATGAGAACTTTACATAGAATAGATGGCATTATGGATAAGTTTGTATACACAGACACACTAAAGCATGTCATGTTACCCTATATGGAAGACAATACGCCCTTAAGATCCAGCAAGATAATGACCCGAAGCACACTTCAAATCTAGCAAAGAAATTCTTTCTGGATGAAAAAATACCAGTTCTGAAATGGCCTTCACAGTCTCCCGATATAAACCGCATTGAAAATCTATGGGAATACTTAGATAAGCAAATACGAGATAAAATTATTCAAACAAGGATGAACTTTTTGCCGTTTAGAGCAAAAGTGGAGACAGATTGATGAATCTTATATCAATAAACTTCTACAATCTATGCCGAGACGATGCCAGGCGCTGATTGATAATAATGGTTATGCTACAAAATATTTCACAAACATGGTTGGTTTTCTATAATTCAATGAACTTTGCTTCTTTTTTTATAATTGTTTTGGTTTGTCTATATATTTTTGTCGTTCATATTTCCAGTTTTTTCAATTAATTTTTTATTGAAGGGAGTCTAATGAATTTATTTATGTATAAGTATTATGATATAACGAATTATGTATACAGGTTGGTGTATTAATAAAACAAGTTAAAAAAAGAAATACAGCACAATATTAATTTGTCTATATACTTTTGTCCATTACTGTATGTCATTCTCAGCGACTCAGTACTGTGTCGAAATATTTTGGACACTAATGTTATAGTATTATTAACGACTATCTTCGAAATTTTCTCATAAAATATCGTTGGTCCCTCGTAGACAGATTTGGTTCTACCTACAGTCCTACAGTTTGCCCATTAGCAACCAGCGCAGACATCACAGGGTGGTCTAGGAATCGGTACTCTACTATTAAAAAGAGAAATTCAAATTACTGATAAGTGATTAAAATAGTAAAAAAAGGTTACGTGGTTTTGGCACGTGACAACTTATAAGATTTCAACTTAGAACTAGCTGTTGCTCACGTATAATTATTTTTTTAAATAAAGCCTTAGTTATAACTAAGAAAGAACACATAAATAATACGTCCGACACAGTTAATAGATATATACTGAGTGAAAAAAAGTAAACACCTACGTATGTCTATCCGATTTTAATAAGTTTTGGCATATATGTTCAGTGTCCCTTACTAGCAAAAGGATTAAATTTTCAGCTTATACACAATAATGTGTTGAGGAGCCACGATTTCTTATACACTCATTGATACGCCTGGGCATCGTGCTGATAAGGTGGTCGATATCCTGTTGGGGTATCTCATCCAGGCTACTGCAACTTGATGAGTGAGAGCTGCTAAAGTATGTGGAGGGTGTTGTAAATTCAAGAGCCTGCGACCTACCATGTCCCAGACATGTTCAATTGGAGATAGGCCAGGCGATCGTGGTGGCCAAGGTAAACGGTTGATGCGAAGTTGATCCATCAAGGCTAACGATGCTCTGGTAACAAGCGGTCTGGCATTGTCTTGCTGAAAAATCTGGTTTTAGATGGTGTTTAGGTATGCAATAAGATGAGGCTCCGCTACTTCCTGAATATAGCGTCGGGCTGTCATATTGTCTCTGATGACAATTAGTGATGATCTGCTACCATAAGCAATAGCACCCCACACCATAACTCCCACGGTGTGGTGAACGTGATAGCAACCAATTGGGGCGATAAGAAAAAAGGCCAAACTGTCGTATTCGACGATATACTGTTCGCATACCAACCGTCCTTCCATGTACTTCAAACTACTGATTAGCGATAGCCCGAGTACTACTGAATGTGTCTCTCAGAGCCAGAAGTCTTAACCGGCGGTCTTGTCCTGTAGTCCTTCTGGGACGTCCAGAACCCCTCGCTCGCTGTCCTCGGCCCTCCTGAATCCACGCTCGTTCACACTGCAGTATACTGCGTAAGGATCTGTTGGTCCTCCTAGAAACTTCTCTCTCACGCAACCCGACAATTCGACCCCTCCCAAAGTCACTTACTATAGCTGGGACACCCGGCGAATTCTATGCACTCTAGGCATTTTGAGCAATCACAATAAGCTACACGAAATTTAACATTTATCTGATAACGTAAATGTACGACAAACTGAATGCTTCTCCATCACCAAACAATACACGCAGCCACCACAAAAACTTAACAGAAAAATCTGACCATTTCATTACTTTGTTGTACATGGCAAGATAAATCGATATGTAAAAAATTCTTCTAATAAACATACGTAGGTGTTTACCTTTTTTTTATTACTCAGGATACTTCATGGGCAGCATATTCAGTAATAATTTTCTCACATAGCAAATATCACTGATTTTATACACATGCAGACCAATACACACAATCATCCAGATGCAATCTTGTCTTTGTCTCGGCATTCTGCAATCAATAAAGCGTGCTGGCAAACTGACTTGCAGCATGGTCGTTGAGACATTCCTCCATGGGTGACGCTCACAGCGAGCAAGAGCGGTATGAACTATAGCAGCAACCTAGTCAGCAAGTCGAATTTTTTATCATTATAGGTTTGTTACGTAATAACCCTGCCGATCGCCCTAACTGTTACTTTGGAACTAGCTATCATTCACTTTATGTTCACTTGTAGTAGGTGTGTGTGTGTTGCCTAAACGTCAAGATATTTGAGCTAGGATGTAACATCTGCTTTAGAGATAGCACTAACGGAGGCCATTCATAGCGTCTATGACCTAAGCAGTAAATCGTACACTATAGGTGTGTATATACATTTCCTCCATAGGTGGCGTTCACAGCGAGTACGCGTGGCGTGGGTTAGCGACTAGCTAGTACACAGGTGGCAAGTATGGCGATCAGATCGCTATCATAACGATCATTTTAAGTAATACGTATGCCGGTTTATCAATCTCAGGCTAACTGTAACTTTACTGCTAACCGGAAATTAACTCTCTAAAAGTATTTTTCAATGCCAATTTTGCCTCTAAATGGTAGTTAACTTTGATCATTTTACGTAATGCGTATGCAGGTTTATCAATCTCAGGCTAACTGTAACTATACTGCTAACCGGAAATTAACTCTCTAAAAGCATTTTTCAATGCCAATTTTGCCTCTAAATGGTAGTTAACTTTGATCAGCAGGCCATTATGTGCGGGCTAACTCCAAAGCCATAGTTAAACCGCAATGAACCACCTGTTTGATAGTGACGTGGGTTGTCACGGGTGATGCGCAACATCAACATCGAGCATTACGAAGGGCACAGTCTGCGCGAATTCAGACGTAAAAGCAGCGAAACCACAGCAACAATAATAATATGTATAAATAATTATAGTTAATCGTGGAGGTTAACTTCTGAATGAAACACTGCGCCTAAACACACTGAGGGTTTTTGAGAACGATAATGGCTTCCATGATTTGAAGAAACTTAGGGGGATCAAATTTAAACAAGCCTTTTAATAAATATTTGCTATTCAAAATTATCGTTTATATATAGTTTGTTCCTCTCACAACTGTCCGACATTGGAACAATTTTGTAAGCCCATTAGGCGCCGGTTTTCAATCGTAAGTTAAGGCAACTTGCATGCTAACTAGAAGTTAACTTTCAAAAAGAGTTTTTCTATATCAAGTTTGACCTATGGCGTTTTCAATATCAAGTTGAACCTAAGGTGGTTGTCAACTTCAACCAGGGGACCATGTATGGGATAACTGGGCGGCGTTCGTGAATTGTTACAGAGTGTATGTACTTTGTGCTACTCTGTAACAATTTCAGCGTTCGTAATTGTTTGACGTACCTGTTCCATGCGTTCGGAAACAGAACAAAGTAAACCTTCTGAAACGTCAAAAGGGAACTTTTGTTCCCCCTCAAAACTTTGGGAATACGAGAGTTGGCACTTGTCATTCCTATGGGTCATTGGTTGTTTATTTGGTTACGAGTACCCATAAACAATTTAGGTGTTCTAAAAATGAAGTTTCACAGTATTCCAGAGTAAAATGTCATCTGTCAGTCAATTTAATAATGGATAAGCTTCGTTACACGTAATGTAAGGGTACTTTTCTGGAACTGTGTGGGTGATTAGTGCTGAATTTCAGAAGTAATAAAATGTGTATGCATCTGAAACTTGATAAAAATACATTGACCACAGCGGGTTTCGTCGCACATCGGGTCTACTACTCATACTACTGATAATGCCAAGTGTGTGACATAGTCGCTGTTATTATATTTCACATGGAGCCCTTTCCTTTCCTGTCCATTATCGACAAAGCAGACTTTTCAAGTCGCCGGCTGGCACATAATTGAAAAAGGCTCGTTTTACATTTGATTCTCCAACCTAATTTGACATTCATCAGTTACAGGTGATCGTGTCAAGTTACCAATCATAAGTCTGCTGAATACGGGAAATGTTCGTCTTATACATCGTAGTATCAGAAATATTGGGCCAAACACCTTGCAACCTAAATAACTTACCTTGCAAGAGTACCTAGGCATCTTAAGCAAAAAGAAACAGGTATAGCTTTCTGGCAGAAAATGATCGGGAGGTGAATATTTATCAAGAATCTGTATGACAAAATCTCGTCCTCTAAAATCGGCTATAGTTCTTGGCAGTCTCGTCCTTCCCCACACAAAGCGCAGAAATAAAGATCGTTCTTGATTCGTGAACTCTTCCATCACTTCCCAGAACCACTGGATGAGTGGAGCAGTGTAGTCAATACCTAGAATATTCGAAATATTCCTAGTTGTATAATCATTTTGTCCGGTTAAAGTCTCATACATTACCTTTATATGTTGCAACGGACTTTAGTAATGACAGTGGAATATCTGGTGAACCGCAAACCATCGTTTCTAGCTCATAACCGCTGAATAGAGACAAAAGCGGAACTGGAACAACTCGCGACATTCCATCTCTTACGGCTTTGACTTGTTCGTCGAATTCATGTAATCTAAAAAGTTATTGACTACATTATGTACTTGCAATGTACTTGTGAGGTCTTACAAACTAATGTATTAACTATCCGAGTGGCGTCATAGCATCAACGTACTCATCAAATGAATGGAAACAGTGATTAAGCAATGTTTTTTTTAGCAAACTTTGAGAAGTAGCGATAAGATATATTTTCAAAATTAGGTTCTTTATTTGCATTGACCAATAAATTATATAATGTATCTATTTTTTTATTCATATTCAGCTGCGAGTATGCATTCCTTAGGTAATTTACATTACGTAGTGCATGCGTGTGTATTTCTGCAAAGGTTTGATATTTAGCCTAATCATATTAGCAAATTTCGCCGGAATAATTGTAAAGTCTGATTTTATTGGTGTTGTAGGGGGTATTTAAAACATGGACACATAAAATGGGTACACCAATTTTGGTGGGAAAACTTTATTTGACAACAAAGAATGATAAAACGTGTTTTTAGGATTCAATCGAAAGTGTTGACAGGAACGAAATACTTTTCATATAAGATTTTTACGTATCTATGAGACCTACAAAAACAGACAACACGTAAAAAGATCCGACTAATAGTAAAAATGTTATGGCCGAAAGCCGAGGCAAAATGCAGGTTTTGGCACTTGTTGGTAATGCGACGATAATTTCACGCAATTACTTGAAATTTTTCAAATGCGTAGCAATCATGCTTCTAAATAACAACAAAATTGGAGTATATTGGTCAAGTAGCGTTTGAGAATGTCTAATTGTTTATCCCAAAACACCTGTTTTCCTGCTATCATTACTAGTTTACTGAGCAATATTCAGGGCTCGTTCAAAGATCATTTAATAGCAAAATACACGTGTTTACCTTGCCGATATGAATAACAAACCATTCCGAAAGATATGTTATTTTTATGCGAAAAACAAAGGTTTCGTTTTTTTCTTCTAAACAAATTTAAAAATTTCGAATTTGCGAGTAATTGAACAAATGCGTTACGATATTCGAAAAACATGCGTTACTATACACACTTTAAAACAAAGCGGATGTGTCTATCATCTTTTGTTGTGAATTACTTACAAATACGAAATGTTTGAATTTGTTTATAAGAAAAAAAAAAACACACCTGTTTTGGTTGATTTGTGATTCATATCGGTCTCATATGTTGTTTCATTTTGTAGGTCTCATAAATACCTAAATATCTTATATGAAGAGTTTTTTCGTTCCTGCGAACACTTTCGATTGGATCCCAAAAAAACACGTTTTCTCATTCTTTGTTGTTAAATAAAGTTTTAAATATACCCCCTTGGACAACTAGCAGCAATAAAACCAGACTTTACAATTATTTCGCAAACCAGGGGTATTTTCGCCTAATATGATTGGACTAATTTGTTTAGATTTCTGTGTAAATAACACGCGACTTCAAAAATATAACTTGATGGAAGTGGTCATATTTGTAAATTTTTTAAGGGATTTTTGCCCGATGATCCATAACAGTAATTTGTAATTATTTTGAAAGCCGTTTTTTGTAAAATAATTTTGTTACATGCGACTTAGTTTCCCCAGAGCATTGAGCCATATGTAATGTAACTATGGATCATGCTAAAGTACACGACCCGCAAAGTATGTGCATCTGTGCAGCTACCCAAGAACAAATAACTGTGTAGACAACCTAGAATGTAAATAATGAATGTGGTATGTCTAGTTTAGTCATGGTTATAGCTCCTCACGCATCCATTTCAGAAGTTAATGAATGGTTAGAATATCTCACCTGAAATTTAATGCAAGTCTAACATATTCTACCCGGTTTTCGTAAGTGATGCGCTTGTATCTAGTACTAAGAGGCACATCTATTCCACTAGCTGAGGGTGTCGAGAACGGCATTTCCAAATTTTGGAACAATTGTTCTTCAGGTGCGGCATCTCGTATGCACAGCAGTCCCGGTACGTATTCCCTATCTATTTCCGTCAAATCTGCTGGGGTCAGTTCCATGCCTATTTGGAAAAATAACGAAAGACAGATTAAAAACAAACCAAGTCATCAAATTTCAAATTGAAATAATGTCTAATAGAAGTTTTCAAATCAATAGGTAAGGGAGATTTGGAAAAATCCATTGAAAAAAGTTAAAATTACCACTTGCCTGAAAGTTGCTTCCAAACTGGTTCTGCCAAGCTCAAACTCAAAGGCGACCCTGTTCGTATTGCAATCCCCATCAGTACTCCCAGAAACCTATAATATCACTCAACATTAACAACACGTTCCGATATTTTGGAGGTTGTTTTAAAAATAAGTATGCCTTACTTATACATTTCCCATTTTTTAAATATGTTACTGGAACTATACATTTATTGTTCCGTGTATACAAGCATAAATAAAGTTTAAATGTTTGTGTTGAAATACGAGGGTGGTCCCAGAAGTACCCGGCCTGACGTAGAGATGGCGATAGTTGTTTGAAAAATATCATTGTATTAGAAAGTATGCAACCTATAAAGCATATCTGTCAAGTTTGAAGACGCCACGTTGTTTAGTATTTGTTTGGCAGCCATCAATAGTGAACGTTTTCAGTGAATTTGTGAAAATGGTGAAAATTGGTCATCGTTATGTGGTACAATACTTTTATTTCAAAGGTCTCAGCCCAACCCATATAGCAGTGGTCGACCAAATGAGGTGACGACTCCAGAAATGGTGAAGAAAATTCTCAAAGCGGTACTGAATTATCGTCGACTGAAAGTGTGCGAGCTAGCAGACATAGTACGCATTTCAAAAAGTGCCGTTGGTTCGTCGCATATTATCTGCAAATTTGGGCATGAGAAAGCTGTGTGCAAGATGGGTGTCGCGATTGCTCACAGTCGAGCAAAAACAGTGTCGTGAAGATGTTTCAATTGAGTGTTGAGCGAAGTTTCACAGCAACAAAGCAGAATTTTTGCGTCGTTTCATAATCATGGATGAAACTTGGGTCCATCACTTCACACCCGAGACAAAAGAACAATAAAAACAATGGGCTCAAAACGGACAACTGGATCCAAAGAAGGCGAAGAGCGTTTCATCTGCAGGCAAGGTTATTACGTCGGTTTTTTGGGATGCGCGTGGGATAATTTTCATTGAATATCTTGAAAAAGGTAAAACTATCTACGGCGAGTATTATCCGAACTTATTGCAACGTTTGAGCGATGAAATCAAGCAAAGACGGCCGCATTTGGTTAAAAAGAAAGTGTTGTTTCATCAAGACAATGAACCAGCTCACAAATCCGTTATTGCAATGGCCAAAATTAACGACTTAAAGTTTGAATTGCTACTTCATGCACCCTATTCACCAGATTTAGCCCTCGGATTATTTTCTGTTTCCAAACTTAAAAAAATGGCTCAGTGGGATGAGCTCAAAGGAGATTATGTTGAAAAATTAATACATCTTCTTACAAAAATTTTGTGTTTACTTCGTTCGGTCGGGTACTTCTGGGACCACCTTCGTATGTTTAACATGAGGTTAAGTGGCAGAATAGCGTTACGCTAATAAAGACGATTATTATTGTTATTACCTGAACATATTCAAATGCAAGCAGCTATTGGCTCTAGGGTTTAAGATAAAGCAGTCCCTATTGGCTCCCGATTCATCCCTGCCGTTCGGTGTGGGTATGAGTAAAGGCAATGATCCGTTTTGCAGTTCGTCGCACATTTCAGCGATCGATTCGCTGTAGCCTCCTCCGCAATCGTCAACGCTTTCACCTACAAATTCCACCTAAAAAAAGGTATGTCAGTATATTGAATACACCATGATTCTTTGCCAAATTGACAGAATAGCAAAAGGGCATCTTATAGGAAAACCTACAGTAATTACAAAGAACAGTCTGTAATGGGATATATTAATTATTTTCATGTCTACTGTGTAATGCAAACTTCCATCTTCCGTCGTAATTGACGGGTTATCCTCTTCATCTAACAAGGCCAACAACGCGGGTGTTCCCCATGGATCGGTCTTGGCTCCGACATTGTTCCTTTTACATATCAACGACCTTCTTTCCTGCATGGTCAATCCGATCCATAGCTTTATTGGTGACAGCACTCTACGTGCAGAGTGGCAAGCCGATCTCTGTCGGTGAGCTGGAGAAAAGAAGACTAACAGTGACTTGCGCTCTCTGATGAGAGAACGAGAGACCTGGAGGTTATCACTGCTTGGTACAGTTTAATGCTTCCAAAACAAGTACTGTACCTTTACTAAGAAGAAGCACCTTAGCAATCATCCGGTTTCGATGGATGGCTAAATTCTACCAAAAAGTTGTTCATTTCGGCTGGTCGGAACCCAGATCAGCGAGGACTTGATCTGACACGAACATATTTCGTCAACAGCGGCAGCTGCTGGGAAAAAGCTAAGCTATTTGCTTCGGACTAAGACGTACTTTCCTCCGCATGACCTCATCGCTCTGTACAAGGCCCAGATAAGACCCAGCCTCGAGCACTGCTCACATGTTTGTGGTGCTGCTGCGCCAACTATATTATCCATGGTCGATGCTATTCAGCGGAGGACTCTTAGACTAATCGATTACTCTTTTCTAGGTGCAAATTTTGGGACCTTTTCGATCTAGCTCTCTTCTACTGCTTCGAGAACGGGCTTTGTTCCTCAGAACTCTCCCTCATGATACCGCCGCGCGATGTGCCTGCCAGAAAGACCCGCCTCACTCCGGCCTACCTTCTTAACCGTGTCGAACATACAGAAATAACCGATACGACCTCTCCTTTGTCCTGGGGTATCGAGATTGTGGAACAATCTCTCTGAGGAGGCTTTTCCCGGTTCTCCTAACCCTAAGTAGTTCAAAATACCGATTAACAAAGTTTCTTTAAGCTCCTCATAGCAGCCGCGGCGCACTGGGATTTTAGGTTTCTGCCTGCTCGGCTACTTGGGTATAAAAAATCGATAGTGTATTACCTTCCAAACTCGATGAGGCAGTGCAAGAGTTTCAGAAGTGAGTAAAGGAAGTTTGGAAACCATCTGGCCAAATACTGATTTCATGCCATCGACGCCTGCTAATCCTCCTCTTGACCTGGAGCGTTTCACTTGTAGCCGGTTTAATTCAATCACAGGACCGTGGTGCTTGTCTCTTACCTATAGGAAAATAGTAAATTACACACCTGGTTTCAGAAGCAGGCGCTGAAAGATATAATGTGCGAGACTAATGGTGGTCCTTCAAACGAGGTGATTGTACAACTGCTTTCACTACTAACACTATAGCGTATCACAAAATATTCTATTTCACATCACGGTCATGACGTTCTCAACTCATTTTACAAATACTTTGAAATAATTCAGGTACCTGAGCCGCTTTCCAGTGCTTTTGAAGTGAGAGAAGTATGCACCCGGAGTGTGATGCTCCCGAACTGCTCTAGCAAATGAGCAAGGAAACGCGACGATAAAAACCTAAGCTGTTTTTTGATGTTTTGCTTTGACGTTGACAATTTGTCTCACACTGCCAAACATTGAAAATGTAGACACATTTTTTATTTTCAGAAGTATTTTCAGCCTATCCAATTGATGCCTGATGATGCTTTTAGAATGATGGCGCAATATGTCAGAGGTCTGCATTTTTACTGTAAAGCTTCTGGATAAATGTATCGAATTCGTATTTTAGTGTAGACCTTCAAAATTATTTTCAAAGTGTCTAGTTATAGTTCAAGCCAACTACAAACCGTTGTGTACCGGCATTCTTGCACTCTCTTGTGATATTTCTTACTCATGAACATTTCAAATGTACGTTGGGACTCTAGTTCATAACATTATCAGTTTTTACCGTCGTCCATTGCTGGTATAGGTTTAATGTGAGTTAATTGAAAAAAAAACAAAAACGATGAAACAACATAACCTAACAATTTGACACATTGTCATTTTCGTTATCCCCACTATTTTGAAGCGTATAACACCGAATAAAAAGCTCGTGCATGGGGGAGCAGAGGACTTAAATGAATAGCTCAGGTGCATGACACTTTAGAGCACTGGAACGGTATTGACAGGTGGTGGGTAGCTCCGAGTTACTCCGAGTAATACAAACGAGCCACTGGAAAGTGGTTCTGGTGTCAAACTAACAAACTTAAATTAATGGATGCACCAAACAGCCGATTTAGTTTGGACTGGCCCAAGGTATACATATTTTATTTTTGTTAACATTACAAGTCGTTTTGAAACATTATGTCAAATATTGGGTATTCAAGAAAGAGAAACTATACTCAAAATTACTTAATTTTTCAATTGCTCTCAAATATTTTAAAATATAAAGTTCGGTTGTCAAACTGACACAATGAAATTGACAGGATCCAATTTCAAATGAGATTATTTATTATGTTTGTTTGTTTCAGATTTATTTAGCATTAATGCTACAATGTCCATAATATCGATATTACACAGTATATCACAAATTATATTATGTTTTCAAGCCTACACATGTATACACAAAATTTCTGTACTATGAATTCTGGTTTTCTATGAGATATTTTTTCAATTTCCCTTTGAACATTTTCAAACTGACACAGATCTTGATATCATTACTTAATTTATTAAATTTGTACAATCTGACTTGCTCGTTATATTGCTACTGCAGTTTTGTGAATGAAAGTCTATACTTCCTCTAGTAGAATAATTGTGGCACTCATTGTTCAATACAATAAAATTTTCTGAGTGGTTTGGTAGATGATTTTTTAACTTAAATATGAAAATGAAAACCAAGTAGGCTATGAAATTTTTGATATTTAACCATTGTAGTTCTTTCAGCATAAAATTTATTCTAGTATATTTATTTTTATTTACCTAGGAAGTTTTGTGTTTTCATTGTTTACCTAGAGAGAAAGAAATGCTACTTCTCAATGAGGTATTGTGGTCAATAATGGTGATTTCTCGGCTTAGTTGTGAAAAAAGCCGGAAACGGGCCAAGTTTTCAGATAGATACAAAAAAACTTTAGGTTTTAAAAAAAATCGTGAAAATCTACAACCCTGTGATGTGCTTTTAGTTCCCATTACTACAAGTCTCATTTTTTTCTTAGACGGACAGTTTCACTCTACGTAGTGACAGCAAGACAGATAGTAAAACCACTTTTATTAATTCAAGATTATGTAGTACCACCATGTCTGTCTACACCGTACAGGAGTAGCCATCATGCACCTCATTTATGGAGAATGTCGATGCAATGCTAGTGCTGCAGCTAGGCTTTATCGTATGAGATACCCAACTGCTGCTAGTCATCCCGATCACCGAGTTTATGTAAGTGTGCACCGTTTACTCTCAGAGGGACGATTCCCAAATCAAGAACATGATGAAGGAAGAATTTCACAAGCACGATCGAGCTCCACCTGTACCACGTACAGTAAGTAGAATATCTACAACCTCGGGATTATCTTCCAAGAATTGAGTTTTGTCAAACAATGTTACAATGTTTCCGGCTTGACGTCGACTTCTGGGTCGCCCTGTATGTAAGAAGTTCAGTTGTTTCAGCGATTAACTTTTTTAATGGGTTTCCATTTCCAACTATTTGAATTAAGAGACGACACCTAGTTATCCAGAATGCTCATATTTGTGTACTTTTTTGTAGATACGCCTTCTTCATCAAGGGTAACTTTGCTAATGCTGAATGGAGGTCCAGTTAACCGTCATTTGTTATATGAAGTTTGATTTTTTGAACATGTTTTTCTTCAATAACAAACACATACAATTACTCACCATGGTAGCCTGCACGACCTTCCTAAACGTCGCCTCCTTGATACCGTACACCAATATACTCCTGAGCTCGTGCAGACTGTCCAGACCCGAGATGGGGAACATCGTGATGCAAGGGCATACCAATTCGGCGAAATGGTGAAGCAACAGCAATCGCCCGTGCAGCGCTCTCGCGGGCACGTCCCGCAGCAGGTCGTACTCCAAAGGAGGGGTGGGAGGTAAACGGCCGCCCGCGCCAGCGCCGCCAGCTTGGGAAGTCGACCATGCGAGTGTGTGGGCGGAGCCACATGCGACGCTTGTGATTTTCTTTGCGTTCGCCTGCACATAATGAAAAACACTGTTAACACGTTCGCTGCCAACTCAAGACTGGATTAACTGTTCCCAATAGCTAAATACTTTTTTTCACCAATCAGAGTAATATTGGTATATGTAATCATTTTTAGTTATTTATATTGGTATCGAATTTGAAAAAGGTGAATATTGGTAGAGAAAAAGAATTATCCCCGATCGGAGATGGCGGCATTGAAACCAGGATTATTCGTATCACTGCTGTAGGTACATGGCGAAGATCACCGACCGATTGGCTCCGATCGGAGTCATCGGCAGCGAACGTGTTAAAAGGGTTGGATGGCAAAAATAAATCGATAGTATGAATACTCTTCATGCTTAGTAGTGTTATGCTAATAATACAATTTATATGCAGCTATCAGTACAAAAACATAATAAGAATTGCACAAATGTATTAATACCAAATAAGCAGGTGCAAAAAGGACTAGTTAGCAGTCTATGACTGATCAAGGTACCAGCCCTGACATCATAACTCTTTAAAATAGCACATAGTAATTGCAATTAACTATCACTACCAAAATGGAATAATAACGAAGAATAAAGGATGAGAAAAAACGCAATAGACGAATACATATAAAAAGGAAAATAATCTAAAATCATCTAGCTCATTTATGCTGGCAGGTCAAGCAGAATATCATAAGCAAGCATAAAAAAACTCTCAACTAACTGGAGTCGAGTCGAGCTTTTTATATTTAAATTTATAAAGTTGACATTGGACCTTTTTTGGTATTTGTGAGAGCTTGCTTGTACAGTCGAGAAACATTATAAGAGAAAGACTAATCAAGATGGCTGATTTATGTGATGGCTGTGAAATAATAATTAAATAATTATAAGACAATAATTGTACCACACAGTGAGATTTTAAGCTTGGTGTCAAGAATACGGGGGTATGGATACAAAAATATATATACGACCAGCCATTGTAGCTATCAACATATTTTGTAAATCTTTTTCATCTTTTACACAGTGTCACTCACTACCATAAATTTGTAAACACCGACCAAAAAATTAAACATAATCATTATACCAGGTACAAAATTCGTGGCACAGTAGTTCCTCAACGGCATAAATCTATAATGCAGCGATCATATCTCTATTTAGCGCCTAAATTTTATGAAATTATACCTAAAGACTTAAAAGATTTACGTTTCGGAAATTGTTTCAAAAGAAATTTAAAAAAGTGGCTACATTCTATATCTAGGACTGAAATTCATAAACTCATAAATACGAACATCAACTAAATACATAATCTACTGTAGCTAATTTTTGTCCTTTTCTGTCAATTGCATTCTACAGTTTCAACTTAAATTTATTGGTCCATGTACAGGCGATGCCTTCTATTGGGCCTGTTTTGATTTTATATTTATTTACTCATATTGTTTGTTATCTTTGTACATTGAGTGAATAAATATTATTATTAAAAAAATATTATTATTATCTTTATATTTTTTGTGTATGTGGAAAAGAAATCCTCATTTGCGTATCATAAGCATATAAGTAAGATTTTGAATAACGTAAGCAATTCGTTTTACTCGCAGAATAGACATAAAAATGTACGGGATCTAAGATTGAGCCTTGTGGAACTCCACAAAGGACAGGCTTTAATTCAGACATTCGTGAAGTTTCAACAAACTGATATCTTTGTGAAAAATAACTAGAAAATAGACTAATTGCGTCACAGGTAAAGCCTACATAGTTGAGAATTGCATATATTAGGTGATAGTTTATAGTGTCACAGGCCTTGTGTTGTATCTATCAATTTATCTGATTTCCTGTAACATCAAGGAGTTCGTAGGAGAAAATGCACATCATATACCTGATTTGCAAAGCGATCATCATTAGAGATGTTTGGCAACCTGACACATGTTACCTAAATAAATAGATGGAGTACTGAATTCAGTAGCAAAAGATACTCGTTTAAAATTACAGGGTGTTTGGAAACTGTTGGAAACTTATTCATAGCTAGGTCTGGATATTATAATAAATAAATGAAATGGCATTTTTTCCATAAAACACTTTGGCCGTAAAGTTTAGAAAATACGGGATTCCCTCAGTAAAAGTGTCGGTTCTGCATTCCCTAAACATATATCACTGTGCAGTGTGGTGTTGCTTCCTAGCTATAGCATAAAACTTAGCAGCGTCAGTATAATAGATTCGAAAGCTAGTGATATACCACTACTTAATATATACAGGTTGCAACAAACCAAAAGTTCGCCAATTTTGACCTAACAAAGTTAAAAATCGCTTTAACATAATCTTGCAATAATCTGTGGAGTCTTGTAAAGCAAGGTTCAAACTTTAATTTAGATACTTGGTGACCTCAAAAATTATAACCCTTAAGTGATTTTTTAAGCATTGAATATACCCTATAACTCGAAAATGGTCAGCTTTAGAGAAAAGTTAATGGAAAGCTTTTTTAATCAGAATGATAAAAAAAACCAGAAAAAAAATTGGCGGGGCAAAAAATTGTAAATTATTTAAGAAAATGGTTTAAACAAACTTGATCTGGGTTACCTTGAGAGTATATTCAATGCTTGAAGACTCGGTTAAAAATTATACTTTTTGAAGAATTGAAGCATCTAAATTAAAGTTAAAACCTTGCTCTACGAGACCTTGAAGGGTATTTTGAGATCAGTTTATTTTAAAGCGATTTCAACCTTGTTTATCAGGCCAAAATTGACGAAATTCTGGATTTCGCAGACTGTACTATCAGATTTGCGTTTGACAGAAATGTTTCCTGTCATCAGAGTTGCTGCTTCTTGCATGATGAGGAAATGGAAGTCCTCAACACTCTGATAAATCTATTTTAGTAATCCTCCATGTTTGTCTGGTCGCTAAATGAAATCACATATGTTTGAATTACTGTTTACCGATACGACGTTTCGGCCATCACGGTAGCCTTTTTCATGTACACTAATTGTCATTTATACTTAGTCCACCAAAGTAGCCGAAATGACTATCGGTAAACAGTAATTCAAACATATCTGGTTTCATTTATCGACCAGACAAACATGGGAGGATTATCAGCATGGATAAGTTTCAGGTGTCACATTATCAATTTTAGTCTTTAAAATAATGTTTTCACAATTCTCCAACCCAATATTTTTTAACAAATGAAAAGACAGATTTTTCTATGTTTTCATTTGATCCATTTCCGTTGGTCTAAAGCCCAGTGAAACAAGCTTAATGACAATGTTAGTCGCATCCAGTACGATTACAACTACAAAGGTCGTAGAATTATGAACTTACCTGCAGATGCGTAACAAGTCTCGGCCTCTGTATAGCATTTGTTGTACCATCTCCTAGTTGACCTTCATCATTATCTCCCCACGTGAATACTTCACCTTCGTCCGAGCATGCGACGCAGTGTAGAGAACCGGTGGCTATGCTAACAATCTTCTTGCCTTGTAAAGCTGCAACTTTTTTAGGTCTACGTACATGATCACCTGAACCGTGACCTAGGCGGTGATAGTCACCTTTACCCCTGAAACATACAAAAAAGTAACATTTGACACTGCATAAGCGCACTCATAACAAAGCTTTTATTAAGACACCTGTAAATTGTAGTGGTGAGCAAATTACTATGTACTTATCAAGTGAGGCATCTAAAGATATTCTGTAATTCATATTGTTATAAAAACATACACAAGATTGCCTCACAGAACTTCATGCCTCTGTAAAACTTTTACTAAAAGATTTTTCCGATAACTTACCAGGTATAGACACTGCCGGACCGCGTAAGCGCAACGCTGAATTGCGATCCACATTCTACTTTAATCACTCCAAGACCCGCAAGCGTTTCGATCTTCATCGGTATTTTACAGCCATCAGATCCACCTCTGCCCAACTTGCCGTAATCTCCATCGCCCCAAGACCACACGTTGTCATCATCTGTGATACACAATGTTTGAGCATCGCCGGAGCCACAAGCCACGTCTATTACTTTGTAGCCTAGTAACGCTTCCACCTAAAAACAAAATTTGAAATCGTAGTTTTGTTTCCATTCATCTAGCCTCTTCAAAGAATTTTGGAGTATCTTGGCCTGTAAGTCAGAGGCACATTGTTGGAGAATGTAGTTAGTCTGCTAGGGATGTGTAACCGAAAAATTAGATAAGGGCCAGGAAAAGGGGGAAGAGTAAAAATGAAACTTGCCAGTTTTGGTTTTAGCTGATCTTCACTATCTCCATGTCCTAGCCGACCGTATCTACCTTTACCCCACGTGTACAAATCTCCAGAGGCAGTTATTGCTGCAGAATGAGCACCTCCACACGCGATATCTACGATCTCATATCCTTGAAGAGCCTCTATCAATTTTGGCGTTTCATATGATCTAGAACAATAAAAGTATTTGTAATCACTCATAGTCTCACACATAGTATTGTTACATTCCCAGAAATTTGTCAAATACAGATTCGAATTATTTGAAGCAAATATACTAAAAAATCGAAAACTATTGGATAATTTATCAAAACTTCGTAAGTTTTAAAATAACAACTTACTGTCTGTTGCCATGACCCAACTTGCCATCATCTCCTTCACCCCAAGAATAAACGTCACTGTCAGATGATAAGGCCAGGCAATGTTTTCCGCCAGAGTTTACAGCTACTTTTTTGATAAACACCTGCTGGATGGATTCCAGTAGAGTTGGAACTAACACAGAATCTGTACCGCCTATGCCCAATCTTCCTCCTGCTCCATAACCTGTCAAAATGAGCAAACTCTAAGGTCCGATTTCACCAACTTCATCAGACTTTAACAACCATTTAGAGAAATCGGATTTAATCAATGAAATTCACTGAAATTACTTTGTTTGTTTGTTTAAGATTTATTTAGCATGATTGCTACAGTTACATTCTTCTAAAAAACTAAACAATTGCATAACATACACATATTTAGAAAAAAATGCATCTCTAAGAATTTTCATTGTGCATGAAATATTTCTTTAATTTTCTTTTAAATATCTTTAAATTACAAGTAGACATATCATTGTTTAGTTTATTAAATTAAAGTAAACCTTTCTGAAATATTGTTTTGCTAGTTATATTACTATTGCAATTTTGTAAATGAAAATCTATATTTCCTCTGGTATAATAATTGTGGTAATGATTATTCAATTCTATGTATTGTTCTAAATGTTCTGGCAAAAGATGATTTTTTATTTTAAATATAAAAATAAGAACCAAATATGATATGAAATTTTTTATATTCAACCACTGCAATTCTTGTAACATAGATTTTATTTTGGTGTACCTATTTTTATTCAATATTATTCTCATAGCTTTATTTTGCAAGACTTGTAATTTTGAGAATACAGCTTCATTGTCAGTGAACAACATAGTAAATGCGGTAGAATAATTTATTGTATTATAAACTATTTTCTTGGAATCTTCTGAGAAGCCCTATAAAAGTAATTTGTTTTTTTGACAATTTTTGAAATAATGTAGTCATAGTGATCCTCAAACTTTGGTTTACTATCAATATATATACCTAAATATTTAATTAATTCAACATTTTCGATTATTTCTCCATTTATCCTAGCTGTGCTAGTATTTTCATTCAAGTATTTCCCTATTAGCATACATTTTGTTTTAGAAGTATTCAATTTTAGTTTATTTATATTTAACCAATTTACGATTTTTGTCAAGTCAGAATTTAGCATTTTTAAAGCAGTGTCTATATTTTCATCTGATATGTATATTAATGTATCATCTACAAATATCTGAAGTTTACAATAATCTAAAATATTACAAATGTCATTAATGTATAAAATAAATAGTAGTGGACCTAGTTTACTTCCTTGTGGTATACCAACAGAAATATTTTTTGATCTTGATAGTGTACATCCAATTTTGGTTTTTTGATTTCTGTCAATTAAATAGTTTTGTAGAATTTTGAATACAGATCCTTTAAATCCGTAGTGATGCAATTTTGTAAGTAATTTATCCCTTTCAATAGTCTCAAACACCCTTTTACTGATATTAGGTGACGTGTCACTGGCAAAACTCCTAACAGACTGACATCAAAAAGCCAATCAAGTATAAACGAGGACCACATAAGGTGAGATCAAGTTTCATTTCGTAAGATCTGGCCTTAAACAATAGTCATCCAAATCCTTGTTACCTTTTAGTAATAACAATGTCTGAGGTGTTTCATAGGCGTTAGTTTTTTATTTGCTTCAACATTTGTCAATATAGATTTTATATGTTAATCAGTACCTGTGGCATACACCTTTCCATCAGCAGTAACAGCGAAGAGCGTCTGTTCGCCACCAGCAAGTTGGACAGGCCTGAGTGTCGACAGGGCTTCGCAAGCAGTCGGAGTTTTCACTTTAGCGCCCTCCACACCTCCCAACTGTCCTCTATGATTGTGACCCCAACCATAAATAGTACCCGAACCAGCCCATGATAAAGTCCAGTCTTCAGGGCGCCTGAAGTATACGTTGTTGAAATTAGTAATTAAGTAAAAAGTATCCGTTTGTATTATAATAATTACCTGTTCAGCCAAATCAGCAATTGCTCATCGTGTTCTTTTCTGAAGATCGTATGCCTTTCATGTTCAAAATATTCATCGTCGTCGTCATGATACTGTTCTCCTGCGTTCAACTTTTTGCGTACTTCCATGCAGAACGACATAGGCAGCGGAGTTCGGTGTACCAAGGCTTTAGCTACCCTAGATGCGTGGCAGTATCTCCTGAACCACGACCACTTGTGGCTGTCACATAATGTAGGTAGCTTGTCTAGTTCGAGATCGCACGCCAATGCTACTAAAACCTGTAAGTTTCAGAGGTCAATCAAGGAATTTTAAGACAGTATATGATCCAATTCTCAAGTGTGTTGGAATGTCGTGTGACATAGTATATGAGGTCTGTAAATTAAGTAATTGAGACTGAATTTAAATAAAAAATGTCCAAATATAATTACAATTTTATATTGCCACTCTCTAAATAACTTCCTTCTGCAGCCACACAGCGCTGGAGACGGTTCGTTCTTCCACTCCTCATTGCAGTGCTGGAACTCCACTGGTGGGTTACACCCCTTTGAATGTCCCAAAATGAGTTCCCTTGAGGTGATTTTTCAACTTTAGGAAGAGAAAAAAGTCACAAGGACTCAAGTCAGGCAAGGAGGCTGAGGAGCCACAGGAATGTTTTTACGGGCCAAAAACTATTTTATTGGCATTGCTGTGTGACAAGGAGCATTATCGTGATGCCACACCCAGTTGTTGTTGATCTGATGAACGGTGGTGTGAGTCAAATATAACTCTTCCCCTTCTGAAAATGTTCCAAACCACCGAAAAACCGTAAGCCTGTTTAGCAAGAGTTTCCATTGCAATGCGCCCAAGTCTGCAGTATATCCTGATAGCATACCGTTACTCGAAGTTAATGTCATTTTTAGATCACATGTTCCCCTGTCCCCCCTCCAAGCCCGGCGCCTCCAGTGTTTCCAGATCGACAGCTACGTTGCCAATCTCATTACTTAATTTACAGACCACGTATGCTTGTTGGAGGGATAGAATTGCGCTATGTTTTCAGGTACCCAGTTAGTAGCAAATTATTTGTAAGATAGAAGCAATCCAATATATAACCAACAAACTAACCTTGAAGAAGTCTGAATGCATCAGATGCAAACCAGCTCTAACAGAACCATCTTCGTATTCATACTGTCGAAGCAGGGCTTGTGGTAGTTCTTCAAGGAGTGATCCCAAAGCACTGTCTGGAGCTTTAAGCTCCTGTAGTTGAGAAGCAACAGCATCTGCTTTGGCATCTTCCCCAACCAGTAGGCAATGGAGTCTTTGAAGAGCCCACATTCGTTGACTTGCGGCTACGAAATAAAATGAAACATTTATCAATATAGTGAAGATATTTTTGTTATTGAAGAGTGTATAAACAGTGCATGAATTACACGTCATACATGACGCATCAAGGCCAACAGAAGCTTTCGAACACCAAATCTTTACGTTACTATTGCTCAGTCAAGACAACAATTTATAAAAGAGAACATCTAAAAATGAGACTATAATCATAAAAAGTTTATGATTACTGGTAGTGGTAATGATTGGTTAGAATACACAAGATCGAGAAAACAAAGGGCAGCAGTTCTACGACTTGAAAAGAAACAAATATTACAATACCAAAATTTATTACAGTAAAAATAATAGCAAACAGACGTTGAAAACATTGTTCCCCTATTAGAAGAAGTGAATTATCTAAAATGAAGTTTAAAGATGGGGTACAATAATAGCAGATCAAATGAATACCTATTTCATATGAAGTATCAACGACATTGTAAGATCAATTAATCACAGGCATCCCGATCATTAGATCAGATTATATAGCATCATTAGGTGAGTTTAGAATAAACACTAATCATCTCAAAAATATTAAATCAAAATTAAAATCAAATCAAAATTAAGAGTCAGATTACAAGTTACTGTTATAGTCTTAGTACATATTCAAAAAAATAGTGTATAATACAATTATTCTACCGAATTTACTAAATTGTTGAACTATCTAATATTGAATAAAAATAAGCACACTAATACAACCGAATGTTACAAGAATTGCAGTGGTTGAATATACAAAAATCATATCACATTTGGTTCTTATTTTCATATTTAAAAGAAAATATAATATTTTACCACAACATTTAACATTACATAGAATTGAATAATCATTACAATTATTATACAAGAGGAAATATACGAGGCATGTTTTTAAAGTAAGTACCGTTTTGACCTAAAAAAACAACAAGTAAATTTTGTCCAAAAATGATTTAATCACTTGAAAGGCCATACTTTCCTCTACTTTTCTACGTAATTCCCATTACGATTGAGGCATTTATCGTATCTTGGGACCAGCTTTTGTATGCCATCGTCAAAGAAGCTTGCCGCCTGAGTAAACAACCACTGCTTTACATTTTTGGCACTCAGCGTGAACACAATTTCCGATAATTTAAACGTTCGGACACAATTCGTAAAGAACGCTTCTTGAGACAGCAGGAAACTGTTCAGCTAAGGACGAAATCGTGAATCGTCTGTTCTCTCTCACTTTACAGTCCACTTTTTGAATCAGGTCATTGGTAATGACTGAAGGTCTTCCTCATCTTTAAAGGCCCTAACCCATTTCCGCACCATTCCATCACTCATAATGTTTTCACCATACACTTCACTGACTTGGTGACGGATTTCAACTGATTTGAAGCCTTGTGCACAGGGAAACCGTATTACAGCACGCACTTCGCAGGCGGCGGGATTCTCAATCGGTGGAGGCATTTTAAAATCACGCAAACAGATGTAGACTCGATCGGATGGTTCCGTAACGGCGTCTGTCGCTACCCAACAGATGTAGCTACACGACGCGCGTGCGCTAAACGGCGACCGCAGCGCTGCGGCGGCGTAATTTAAAAACGGTACTTACTTTAAAAACACGCCTCGTAGATTTCTATTTACAAAATTGCAATAGTAACATAACTAGCAAACCAATATTTCAGAAGGAATTACTTGAATTTAATAAACTAAATAATGATAGAAAGTGTACTTGTAATTTAAAGAAAATTAAAGGAAAATTTCATGGCCAGTTAAAGTTCTTAGAGATGCAAGTTTTGTTTTTCGGAATATTTGTATGTTGTAATTGTTGTAGTTTTTTAAAATCATGTAATTGTAGCAATCATGCCAAATGAATCTTAAACAAACACAAGTTCCTGAGTATGCAAAACACCGAGCCAGTAGGAGTGCAAGAAATGAGATTACTTCACTAGGTTAGTCTAATAAAAATAGAAGGTACTCACACAAAAAGCTGAGCTGTGAACACTGCGCTAGCGCAGCAGCCAGTCTAGCCATCAACGGTCTGTCGGCCGCCGCGTACAACCGCTTATCCAGCAGGCACATCACCATCTCCATGGAAGGCTGGCTGAGTACTCGACGATCGCTGCCCGCAGCGGTACCGCACGCACCAGCGCCTCTGGCGGATGCTACAGGATACACTGTGAAGCGCCAACCCCAACCGTTCACTGAGCTGTCCGAGGTGAATGTCCATCGGAGTTCATCGCCTAAAAATTAAGGATTTTTTTACATCAGCTTTCATGTTCTCACTACTTCTTCGGTCATCATTTCAACTGCAGAACAAATTTGTCATTAAATGTTAATCCTATTTACTCTATGAGCCCGAGTCTTGGAGAATATTTTTTTAAATTTCTCTACCCGATATAGATTAAATTGGGAATTTACCTGGCACTCGAAGCTCCGAAGACCAATCGCTCCATTCTCGCCCAGAACGCGTTGCTATGATTCTACCGCTTCCATCCATGATCTGTAAGGGATCATGACGACGTTCTGTTGAGCAGCGCCTGTCAAATTCTACGCGCAGCGCATCAGCACCAGGAAGGCGAACGTGACCTGTCAACCAAACATTACTTCTTATAACTACAAATATATTAAAATACAAACAGCAGACATGCTTAGTTTCATTTCATAACACAGAAGAAAACTATCATAACACGTTGAAATCAGTATATAGAAAATCTTCAAGTTTGTAAAAAACATTTTGGGTCGAAACGTTTCTAATACGAATCTGAAAATAATTTGAAGGCACCGATCCTATATTTAGTGGCAATTTGTTGGAATAGTGCGAAGTAACACATACGAAGTATATTTGGCAACACTTCTCGCAGTAAGTTGCAGAGGGCATGAATATTCTGCAAAAGTTCTATGTATAGAACATCAATGTGGCTTTTTCATTTGAGCTTAAAGTCAAATGTCACACCTGCAAATTTAACTCGATCTTCGTTTTGTATGTTTATTTCTCTCGTAGAAAACACAACTCGCTTAGACCTTCCAGCACTAAGAAACAACTTGTTGGAATAAAACCACATTTTGTATTTTTCCAATTCAACGTCGGTTTGCTGTTCTACTTCCATCAGAGAGCTAGCTGGAAGAGATATTGATGTGTCATCTGCAAAGAAGGTATATTTGGGCATTATCCCATAATTTGGGAGATCTTTCATATAGATGAGAAATATTATGGTGCGTAGGATACAACCTTAAAGCACTTCTTCCTCTTTGCAGACCTCACACCAACAATCTCTACTGTTTGATATCCCTCTTGCAGATTGGACTCTACCAATGCAATGCTATTGGGTGAAGTTATAGCAAGCGAATTTTTTCAGAAGAATGTCATCATTGACGCAATCGAAAGCTTTACTCACGTCACATAGCAGAACTGTACTGCCTCGAGTGAAAAGCCTCCATCCCACCTGACAGCAGATCAAGTCGTTTTTCCGTTTGCTCTAAGTTACCTATGAAATATTTGCCAAAATATCTCACCCTTTAGAGTGACGTCATCCACATAAGGGTGGCTGGACTCTTGTACGATGGGGTGAGGTGTAGTAATCATCGTCTGGGTACTATTTGCTGTATCTTCCAATTCAGTGACACATATTTCCAGTAACATGGCACCTATTGCTGAATTCGAACTTCCCATAGCTGAAAGATTTCGTAATTTCAAAAACCTTACTTTTTACCTTACAAATCTAAAAATTTTGCTTCAATGAATTCACAGTAGAATATCAAGGACAGAAACAATACGTACTAGGAAGCAGTAAGCCAAAAACATAACAAAGAGTGCTCTGGAAGCTAGGACTTCCCTTTTCAGAAGCAAATAAGTTTGAAATGTCGTACTATGAAACATCAGCTAAAAAATATTGTTTTTGTAAAATTATTTGAATTATAAAAAACTACTGTAAACAAAACGTAGTATTTGACATGTAAAATCCTTAACGCCTCTTCATAGCATCATAAGGAGTATGCATGGCAACATTGCATAGGTACTGCAGCGATACTTGATTTGTTACACTCCCTATGTGATAACATGATGTATGAAGACGACTACAGTATCCACTTACTTATCAGCACGTTCGACAGTATCCCCCTAGCCTCTTCATCCTCGACCCTATCAGCGCAGGCCAGCTTTAGCAGATCCACCAACAACCGAGCATCATTCTCTCCCAGCAAAACCGCAAAGTCATCCGGAGGCGGCATGGAGGTGGCGCCGTCCCCTACCACTTCGGCGTTAGAAGTAAGTGTCGCTGCAATCGCAGACATTGCGCCCGTGGTGGAGACGCGCGAATGGCGGGAAGACAGGCTCGCTGAACAGCTGCTTGCCGTCATCGACTGGGCCATGGTTGCAACGGCGGAGGCGGCACTTGGTGGGGGCGGTTGTTGGACTGGTGGGGGTAGTTCGGTTGAGGGAGAGTCGGGACTCTGGGAAAAGAGCATATTTAGTAGAGGTGCACCGAGCACTCGTATCTTGAAAAGTGGCATTATTACAACTGAATGATGTTTTTTGATAAAACAATTTTGTGATCTTTTAATATGCAATAACAGAATTGATGAAGTAGGCTCTGTCTGCAAAAAAGTGTGGTTATGAAACATATGCAAGGTGATACACTACCGTTTGTTGTCAGAAAATTCGTTGTAAATCATTTCCTTCAGAAAAGCCCGTGAAGAATTAGGTTGAAAAACACTTCTTTACAATCATAATTGTTAAATTCCGATATTCATAAATATTAAAACAATTTTAAATAGCATCATTTGGAGATCTACAAGCTTACTAAAAATTACTCAAGTGAAGAACGTAGAAATCTAACTGATTTTACTTCATTACAATTTAGTTTCTTTTAGTCACACTCACATTTAATGCTGCTACTTCTGCCATAGAAACAGGAGCTTCTCCACCTCCAAACGCAATCTCTCCATCTTTCGTCAAAGTGACATTCACTAGTGAACGTTCCATTGGTGTGTCTGATCCACCATTCTGTAGAAATCAAAGGATTATGAAAATTCAAAAGCTAGAGGAGGCTGCGTAGATGCACGATTGACGATGCTGATTGGTCAAATAAGCAATTTGAGGTTAGAAAAAATATTAATTTCAAGCATATGTTCAACTTTTGTTACTAAATTGTATTATACTCCGCACAGGTAGTCTAATCGTATTAACAAATTTCCCCGAAATAATTGTTAAGTCTGGTTTTATTGGTGCAAGTTATTCAAGGGGGTATTTAAGTTTTTGTGGGAAAACTTTTTATTTGGCAATAAAGAATGAGAAAACGTGTTTTTTAGGATTCAATCGAAAGTGTTGACAGAAACGAGAAAACATTTCATATAAGATTTTTAGGTATTTATGAGATCCACAAAATGAGACCACACGTGAAAAGATCCGACTAATAGCAAAAATGTTATGGCCGAAAAACTAGGCAAAATGCACTTGTTGGTAATGCGACGATAATTTCAAATTCTTCAAATACGTAGGATTCATACTTTCAAATAACAACAACGAAATTGGAGTATATCGGTCAAATAGTTTATCAAGAATTTCTAATTATCCCCTGGCCATCACTACGTGTTTACCTAGCCGATATGGATCACAAACCAGTCCGAAAGATAAATGTTATTTTTATACGAAAAACAAAGGTTACGTTTGTTTCTTTTAAACAAATTCTAACATTTTGTATTTGTGAGTAATTGAACAAATACACATTTTAAAACAAAGCGGATGTGTCTATCATCTTTTGTTGCCAATTACTCACAAATACGAAATGTTTAAATTTGTTTAGAAGAAAAAACGAAACCCATCCTTTGTTGCATAAAAATAACATTTATCTTCCGGAATGGTTTGCGATTCATATCTGCAAGGTAAACTACTGTATTTTGCTATAAAGTGTCCTTTGAACTAACCCTGTATATTGCTCAATAAACTAGTAGTGATGGCAGGAAAACATATGTTTTGGGATAAACAATTAGAAATTCTCAAAAACTACTTGACCAATCTACTCCAATTTTGTTGGGGTTATTTAGAAGTACGATTCTCACGAATTTGAAGAATTTAAAATATATGCGAGAAAGCATTACCAACAAGTGCAGTTTGCCTCGGTTTTCGGCCATAACTTTTTTGCAATTAGTCGGATCTTTTTACGTGTGGTCTCATTTTATAGGCTTCATAAATACCTAAAAATTTTATATGAAGAGTTTTTTAGTTCCTAAAAAAACTTTCGTACCCATTTTATGTGTCCATGTTTTGAATACCCCCTTGAAGCAGCAATAAAACCAGACTTTACAATTATTTCGCATACCAGGGGTATTTTCGTCTAATAGGATTAGACTAAGGGCCTCAAAAGTTAAACAGCTATGGAATCACATAAATGTTTTGAGAATAACTTCTGTTTTTATAAAGTTTTGTGGGTATTCTAGCACTTTATATATATATATAAACTATATGAAAACCGAAGTTATTCTCGAAACCTGTATGTAGGTCATCTAACCTCAAATCAGTCGTATCTATACCCCATTTCACGCGTATCCATCACTCTTTGACGTCTACTGAGGTGGACAGCTGATCAGCAAGTGACATTTGAGTTAGTATGCAACGTTGGCAATAATGAATCGGGTATAAATCTAGTAAAACTTGTTTTTGGCGTATGCAAATGGACTTTTCTATATAAAAGAGCTGTTAGCAAGTACAAAATGACTTTGTAGCGTACAAAAAACAAAGGAAAATACGGCTGTGTCTAACTGGCGTTGATTGATCCGTCAGAATTATGTCCTGTGCCGATATGGGGAATTTTGAGATATTACTAGATTATCAGCTGTCATTCTACCGTGATGGCATAGGGTATATGCAGCCTCCCATTAAGTTAATGCCTATTACATTGCGATATTACCTTAGAACCAGCATTTTTCACATTAGTATGACTTGATAAAGCTTTCACGATAGCTTGCCTCAACTGATGAATATGCATAGCGTTTAAAATATGATGCAAAGCTTGTTGTTTAGCTGTGTTGCTCTCTAGAGACATAACAATACTGCTTAATGTTGGGGCATTTTTATTTGCTGGAGTCTTCTGGGGCTTTTCACTATCATAAAGTCCTAAAAAAAACAACGAAATCCTCAACTTCCATAACTCCACTTCCACTCCACAAAATAAACATATTTCAAGATTAAAGTATTATCTGCGCAGTGAATGAAAGCAATTTCAGATACAATGATGTAATTATATTACAGTTCAGTTTTAAGTTAGCTCTGCCATTAAGAATGATTGTATTCTTCAGAAAATAAAGCATATTTGTCTTTCTATCTATCTGTCATACGAAAGAACTTTAAAGCTATTGATTAAAATAAGAAATTATGCCATATTTGTATTAGTACATGTCGCGTAGAGAATGCTTTCAGTGCATTCAGTTTTCAAAAATAAAATGCACAATGTCTGGCAATAGTGCTATTTCCCGCCGCATTCTTTTGTTTTGCATTCTCTTGCAGAGCAAATAATAACCGGATAAATTGGTTAAAAAGAATTCAAATTAAATGAAATTCTGATATGAATGTGGAAATAGATTTGGTATTGGTACCTAGTATCGAGGATCCAAGCGGGTCTTTAGCAACAGGAAATATCACAGGTTCTACTTTAGATACGGTCTGAATGTCCTGTAACGTCCACGCTATGGAATGTGAACTACCACATGCCACTCTGTTGATATGAACATCTTCCAATCCGTGGACTAAGGCCGGTTTTCGATTTACCACAGTTGATCCATTACCTTGCTGCCCATGGTCATTATCGCCCCATGCATATACCTGGAAAAAAGTACTGTAATATAGGCTGGCACTTTTCAATTTTCAAATTTGTTCTAAGTAATTTTAAAGTATACATCAGTAATACAAGTTCTACGTCGTAAATACCAGAATATTGATTTTATGATTTCTAATGGGATATATATACATACTTGTCCACTTTCAGTAACAGCTAAGCAATGCAATGCTCCCACAGCTACATGTATCACTTTTTTGTCTCTGAGCGCCTCGACCAAGGTTGGTTTTCGAACATGTTGATCTGAACCATGACCCAGTCTGAAAAAGAAAATGCAATCAAAGCGGAAGATTTATAACTCCTTATTCTAGCTACAGAATGTTATTCCGAAGAATGAAGTTTCTCGATTAAGGGTTCAGTTCTCAGGGCCGTAAACCTCCTAACTAACCTAAAATAATCTCCTTTGCCCCACGTCCACACTTCACCAGCTCTGTTGAGGGCTAGCGAAAATTGCGCTCCGCATTCCACTTGCACAACACCTAGTGAAGTGAGCCGTTCGACACAACGCGGCACGTCACAGCCATCGCTACCGCCTCGGCCAAGTTTTCCGAAATCGCCGTCACCCCAAGAGAAGACTTGACCATCATCCGTCAGCGCCAATGTCTGGGCATCTCGAGAACCGCAAGCTACTTGGATCACGCGCTTACCCAATAATGACTTCACCTACAATAAACAAAGGTTGCAATTATTATAAACAAGTTTAAGATAAGATATACAGGGTGATTCACAAGTCGTGACCAAAAATGAAACATCATACACAGGACCACATTTTAAGGGGGGGGGGTCTCTTCTATGTAATATGTTTTCTTCCAAGGCTTCATTAAAAATATACGGGGTGTCAAAGTTTAAAAATAAAAAATATTTTTTTTAATATTTTCAAAACCGTCAACTCAAATGAACTAAAATTTGATGTGGATTTACCTAAGTATTGTCCACATTCAAAAGTCTTTACTTAGAATTAACGTGCACCAGTGGCGGAGATACCGGGGATTTGTGGCATTATTTTTCCAAATAAAAATAGTACGCCACTGTTTTTTTTTCGAAACGCGCAATTTTTCGATTTGCTACAAATAATTACTCTTGTGTTCTTTACTAGAGTCCACTGTTTTCGAAAATAAAACAAATTAGATCATTCATAAAGGGCCGAGATACAATTAGTTTCCAAATTAAATAGGAAGCCTTGATACCAACTTGACGTTTTTTGGGAGATAGTTTGTCAAAGTTAGGTGTTATACGATTGTTATCGTTACTTCTACCATTTTTTTTTTGTAAAAGTCAAATCAAAAGTTTCTTTGTTCCATTTTTCAGTGTTGTATATTGAAATTTAGCAATGATGAGTAAGTAGTAGGCCGATACTATTTTTGTGTACGTATGCTTTAGCGGCTGCTCGGGAATATCAACGTAGATTTCCTAACAGACGCCAACCTACCCCGATGGTTTTTACGCGTTCATTTCTAAGACTTCGGCAATATGGAATTGCCAAACTTCCCAGAGTTAGGGGTCATGGTGTCCGGCATATTGTCCAAGAGGAACTGGAAGTGATTAATTTGACGTTGGATTATCCTAATACAAGTAGTAGGCGGATTGCAGCCCAGTTACCATGTTCCCAAAGTCTTGCGTGGAGAAATTTATCCTTCCAATCGGCAAAATGTGCAATGTCTGCAATCCGTCGACGAAGTGCAACGGCGAAATTTTTGTGAGCGGTTACTGCAAATGAATAATCAAAATGCAGATTCTATTGATCTGGTTTTGTAGTCAGGTGAATCGCTTTTTACGAGGAGTGGAATCTTTGATTCTCATACTGAATATATTTGGTCGTTAGAAAATCCCCGTTCTGTAAGAATTCACTCGTTTCAACCCAGATTTTCTAGAAATGTCTGATGCCGCATTTTCAGTGGCCAACTGTTTACCGACGTATTGCCACAACCTTTAAATGCAAACTCATACTTTGCTTTTCTAGAAAATTCCATAGAAAATGTGTTAGATGGTGTTCCATTAGCAACGAGAATATGAATGTGGTAGCAGCACGACGGTGACCCAACCCGTGTTCGTCGCGTCATAACCGCATGGTTTTAGACAACGATGGATTGGCATAAACGGACCCGTACATTGGCCTGCGTGGTCTCCTGATTTAAACCCCCTGGATTTATTTTTGTGGGGCGCTTTTAAACAATTAGAGTATGCTGAACAAATTAATACTATTGATCAGTTACAAGAAAGAATAGATAATGCGTTTCATCACATTCAAGCCACAACAAATTTTGCGGAAATACGTTTTCATTTATTAAAAAGATGACGCACTTGTATCCGTCAGAATGGTATTTTTGAACATTTATTGAAATAAAGCTTTGATTATTATGTACTTTGTTTTTTGTTATTTTTACGTTAACAATGCTCTCTGGGAAAAAAGCACAGGAGTAAGTATTTGTACCAAATTGGCGGTAAAGTTCGAAAAATTGAGCGTTTCGAAAAAAAGTGGCGTACTATTTTTATTTGGAAAATAATGCCACTAATCCCCTGTATCTCCGCCACTGATGTACGTTAATTTTAAGTAAAAACTTGAATGTGGACAATATTTAGGTAAATCCATATAACAAATTTTAGTTCATTCCAGTTGAGGGTTTTGAAGAAATAAAAAAAAAGTGTTTTTTATTTTTAAACTTTAACACCCCGTATCTTTTTAAATGAAGCCCTGGAGGAAAAAAAGTTGCACAGAAGATCCCCCTTAAAATGCGGTCCTCTGTATGATGTTTCATTTTTCGTCACGACTTGTGAATCACACTGTATATGATAGGCATACTCACCAACTTAGGTTTCAATTGAGTTACATTGTCTCCATGACCTAACCTTCCATATTCACCTAGGCCCCATGTGAATAGTTCTCCACTGCTAGTTATAGCTGCTGAATGTGAACTACCGCATGCAATGTCTCTGATCTTCTTACTTTTCAGCGTTTCTATCATCTTTGGTTTATCCAAATTCAACCGATTTCCATGGCCCAACTTTCCATCTTCGCCTTCTCCCCATGAAAATACCTTCAAAATTAAAAAAAAAAACGAATATGAAAACGATGCGCGTCAAAAAGAAATCACTTATTGTTTTTCTACCATACAGATGGAATCAAAATTTTCATATGCTCTTAAATACATACTAGTAAAATTAATCTGTATTAATAGTATTGATTTTACCTTTCCATCTAACGTTAGGGCCATAGCATGTTTCCCGCCCGAATGCACGGCTACCTTCTTGATCACGTACTGGCTCAAAAATGGTATCGGCCTTGGACTTTGGACATTATTATTATGTCCTAAGCCTAAACGGCCATTTGTTCCTTCACCGCAAGCATACAACTGAAACAATAGTTTTGGATAAACCTGCCACGAAGCACACCAAGTGTCACTTACCTTGCCCTCCTGAGAGACGATAAACAACGACTTGGAACCTCCAGCAATATGTATGGGTCTTAGCTGACTTAGGGTTTCAGAAAAAACTGGTAATTTGACTTTAGAACCTTTCATACCACCTAATTGATCCTTATCATTCAGACCCCAAACATACACTTTACATCCATTTGACGTTGTGGTAGGATAATCACCAACATCTTGACCTGCAGTAAAAAAAAAATCGAATTTGGGCATAACAATGTAGACATGTTTCTAATATTATTGAATGTTGACTTACTCATCGATATCATGGAAGGTCCAGATGTAGCCTCTTGACTCAAATCCCAGTCATTGGCAAGAAAAGATACGGACGTCTTGAGCTCACCATACGACTGCTTCTTTTTACCAACGATCGACATACCATGAATTTTGCAGTCGATTCCGTTGTTCTTGCACTTTATTATATTTATTTCTATTACAGGATAATACTGGAAGATAATAACCAAACGTACTTAACAAATTACCGAAAAATAGAACCAGAATTACCTTGTCTAAATTGGAAATGAGTTGCACAGAAGTATCGTGACTTTTCACATTGATTACGTTGAGTTCTGTCAATGAATTAAACGACGGTCCTCCATTCACAACTATTACAGATGGCATGTAGCTATTATCCGCCGGATCTACCCCGATTTTCAAAGATTTTATTATAACATCCGGATATATTTCCAGCCTTATCCAGTGCTACAAAAAAAAAAATTAATAGTGTTCTGGTTCTTCTAAGGGATGCTCAAAGTCATACCTTTCCTTGTGTACCGCAACTCTGCCACACATAACAAGGTATTTCGAATCTTACTGCATACTTTGAAGAAACAGCTATATTTTTGACTATCCTTCCCCATTCTGTCAATACCTCTCCATCACTATCAACTGTATCTTGTCTGTAGTATCTACCGGCTTTTCCTGCATATACTTCAGGTGCACCTACAAATGAAAAAAATCAAAAGACGAGGCACATTACTTATGGGGAATAGTTTTTGGTGAATTTTCTCCAAAACCAAGGAATATGTTCCTTTTTTCATCCTAACCAAAAGTGTCAATAAGCAAAAAAAAAACAGAATTATCAAGCCTCAAAGGTGTACACTTGCTGACGAGTTATATTAGGTTGGTGGGAACCTCTTTGACTAGTAAGTCATGATTTGCATACTTTATGTATCAAAACATGATAGTAGATAAGTGAGACACCGTTGAGTATATAATCCATGCAACATTGTAATGGTGACGAGCATATACCAGGAACTAAGATCCTGCTCCTACAAGAGCACAGCATGCCAACGTCCTGGCCCTCGCATTGCATGTGCAGTAGTAGATCAATATTGGATCTAGTCTCTTCTAGGTTCCTCATCTTTTGCAAAGGCTATCCATATTTGATGTTTTGTACTTCTAGCGAAGCGTGAATACAACCTTGTTCTGCTATTAATAGGTCTACCTCCAATGTTGCTTCTCATCTTGCCTTGGATGTACGCTGGAGCTAAGGTAAACTGCCAGCAGTTAGATCTTCTAAATATTGCAATGACAGCTGAGGGAAAGTGGAAAATGAATCTTCTTCCAGGTTCATCCATCAATCCTAGGCCGCAATGCACTACCTATTTCTAGTCTAGCATAATTGATTTTTATAAAATACACCATACTAATAGCATGTCGGTCCAAGTAGGATATTAATCGAGTAATGCCTGCGGTACTTGGGAGAAAACAAAAACAATACATCACCGAAGAAGCAAATTCTGCACGATTAATAAATAAAACACATTGTTTATTGGAACTGTGAAATGGGCACATGAAAACTATGTTCAAGCTATTCAAAAAACAAAGTGGTGCTGCATTTGAAAGAGTTTCCAAAATATCAGCAGCAACCATTAATAAATATAAAGACCTCATCAATATGATGCCCGAAACTTGAAGAATGGCGCCCTGCAGGCTAGAATTGCTAGATGGATACGTCTGGATGAAGATTCGCTTCCCTCACACTGCCATATTTAGAAGACCTAACTACTGGCAGTTTACCAGTTAAGTGCAAATCCAGCGTATACCCAAGTCAAGATCAAAAGGGACGATGGAGCTGGTTTTCAATTAGACCTAGGATTAACAGAACCAGAGTTAATCAAGACGAGGTTGTATTCACGCTTCGCCAGAAGTACAAGGCATCAAATATGAGAAGAAGAGGCGAAGATCTAATATTGAGCTACTACTGAACGTGTAATGCCAGGGTCAGTGCGCTGTGCTGTGCTCACGCAGCCTTAGTATTGTGGGATCTGGGATATGCTGCCACTATCAGAATGTACACCTTTGAGGCTTGATAATTCTCGAGGATGAGCCTCTAGAGCTTTGTGCCAATTGACCCTTAGATCAGCAGAACATATTCCTTGGTGTTGGAGAAAATTCGCCCAAACCAATTCTTCGTAAGGAATGTACCTTGTCTTTTAAACAAAACCAAGCTTCCTAGAATATTTCTTCTACTTCATATGAACAACACGAAAAATTTTATAAAAAAATTATACCTGGTTCGTCAATTCTTGAAAATGAATGTCTATGGTTTCTCTTAGTGTAAAAGCAATTATCACATAAATCAAAATTATCACATGTCTTGCATTTAAATCGAGGTCCTCTGATTGGCATGACGCAGCAACCATTGCATGAAACGCCTTCATGACAAAACGGCACTATTTCCATTTCAGATATCAACCCTGTCCAATTCTGCTGTTTTGGGAAGTTTACTGTCAAATCATGACCGTTAGGAGATATTGCTGAAAAACAGTCGATGTTTATGTCCTGCCTCTATAGTGCCTTCGTTAAATATGAAAGTAGTTATGAAAGTATTTTATATATCAATTAGCTTTTTTCTAACTAAAAATGGATTTATCATCAAAATCTAACATGTCCCTAAAAAGTGCTGTACAATTTCGTAATGTCGTCATATTTCCTTACCTGTGACCACCCCAACACTATCATGTGTTACATAACCCCATTTATATCTTGGTGTTATAACGTTAGGTTTCACTCGCACCTTATCTCCAATTTTAATCGTTGATGGTGTCGGTAAAGATGGTGGGAAGCCAAGAAGCTCTACATGGATAAATCTTACCCAGTAAGTGCTTACTTTATGTTGCCAATTTACCTAAAAAGAATATGTCATCATTCGCAATGGAAGATAAACAGCGCAATTCTTGAAAGAGAATTTATTACAAACAACTCAAATTGATATCGCTTACCTGAAGATTAAGATCATGCAAACCCTCTCTATCAATTTTCACAACTTTTCCTACATCTCCTAACTGTACCTCCTCGTAACTTTTGCAACACCTAACCAGCATTCCAACTTCAACATTATCCCTCACGTACATCGCGTATTCGTCATTCGATAGAAACTGAGATCTAAAAACGTAACACACATGTAACCGCACATATTTTTATAGTAGATGGATGTCAAACCTTCTACAGTAAGTCTGAGGTCTATCTTCAAAAGCTACAGCACCGTGGGCACCATCGTACGACGCAGATTCGGTATCAGAGTCATACACTGAACTGACAGAATCTGCATCTCCTTCAGCAGCTACTTCTGGATGTTCTAACAGCCATGAAACAACTGATTCTGGGGTTGTGAGGCTATCTGCGCCAATTGCTAGAACAGAAGAAGAGGAAGAAGTTATTTTTAGTGTGAAATAGAATAACACTAATATACACAATCAATGAAATAGTAAACATGTAAGCTAAAACATTAGATACCTCAAGATTAGTACATTTCAAAGGAAACGAATATCAATCAGCAAAATGCACACTTTACAAAAACAAAGTCAAGTATATTGAATGATAAAAAAAGGTAAACACCTACGTATTTTTATCCGATTTCAATAATTTTTGGCATATATGTTCAGTGTCCCTTACTAGTGAAATGATTAAATTTTCAGCTTGATTCGTCAACGGACTGCAGAAGCTAGTTCAATAATGTGTTGAGGATCCACGATACTACTATTCGTCATTATTCGTCAGAGCGGACCGGTGGACCTTTGCTCTTAGTTAAAAGTCTCGTCGGTCTGTTAGTCAGGTCTGGACTCCCAGATACCAAACATGTTTAAGGGGAAAAGAGACAGAAGGAAAGAAAGGAAGGAAGAAATAGAGCAAAGAAAAGAAGTAAATCATTTGAAATAGCTTAAGTATTATTGCTTTGACTACTCGAATTATTTTGTAACTCCAAAAAATAATTTTGATCGGTTTTGTATACTGAAATAATTTTGGGTGGTCTGAATTTACAATTTAATTTTGATCACAGTTCGAGGCGCGCCTGGAATGATTGCGAACTTGATCGACTGTGTGGTCTACAACAGAGGGTTGCTGTGCGATTCCGCTTGATTATAACGCCGCTGCGCCTGTTGTTTTACATAATCCCTTAGATATGGAATATCAAGATCTCTGTAAATGGTCTCATTTGACACGTACCAAAGGGCGTTAGTAATTGTGCGTAGGGTTCCGTTTTGCAGGACTTGCAGTCTCTGCATGTGCATTTTGGCAAGAAAACACCAAGCCGCGCATGCGTAGAGGTGATTGCGGGTCTTATGACCATTTTATACAACCGAATCTTGTTTATCAAACTTAATTTTGAATTTCTGCACAACACAGGTAATTTGGAATTTTGTTTTCAAAATATCAGTATGTTTCTGCCAGGTCAACCACTTGTCAATGATGACTCCAAGATACCTGACAGATTGCTCCCATGGTATACGAGTTTCACTCACTGATATCTCTGAGGGGGTACTGCAACGTTTTTTAGTACAAGAGATTGCCTGCCTTTTCGAAGTATCAATTTTGATCAACCACCGATCCGCCCACTCCAATAATTTCTCCACCGCACTCTGCAGCCTGCCGTGAACCAGGTTACCAGAACAAGACTGGGCTAGCAATGCAGTATCGTCAGCATAGAGATAGACTTCACAGTTGCTGGGGCAAGGGACGTCATTTATATAAAGTTAATAAAGGATTGGTCCTAAGATCGAACCTTGAGGAACACCGGCTCTTACGGGCCGTGTTGTTGACAACACATTGTTAATTTTGATCCGAAACTTCCTTCCTTCTAGAAAAGATTTCAACAGTTTTAGTAGCCAAAATGGAAAACCCTTTTGGATGAGTTTATACAAGAGGCCCATGTGCCACACCTTGTCAAATGCCTTTGATACATCTAAAAGCAAGATACCAGTACTTTTGTTCAGGGTGAACCCCCTGGTTACATGCTCCACCAGTCTAACTGCCTGTAGCTCCGTACTATGCTCAGACCGAAAGCCGAATTGCACGTCAGGAATCACATGGTGATATGACGAGAAATTCTCAAGGTGACGATAAATCACCTTTTTTAAGCGAGCTTAGAAGGATCTGAGAGCAGACTAATGGGACGGTAATTTTGGGGGAATATCGAACCTGCCTTCTTTGGGATCATGATACCACCAGATAAGTCAAAGCCTTGAGCAAAAGTAACTTCAGTGCTTTGCTGGTGATTTAATACTCTCCAGGTGCATTACGCACCTTTAGGTCCTTAATGTGGCCTTGGAGCTCTGCTGGTGTGCAAAACGGATTCTCAGAGGATTCCGTTGATGTGCTATGCTGAGATTCATCTGAAGAGTCTTCCGTAGAAGAATCTTCTGAAAAGGAGTCACCGATATTGGTATCGCCATTCGCTCTGAAGTATCTCCTGACAGATCATACAATGTGTTGTTCCTCGTCAAAGTCATTGTCCAGATCATAATTGGGAGAGAACTGCCTTTCCATGACGTCAGCAAAAACCTCCACTTTATCCTCAGTCCTGAAAACTATGCCTCCAGGACCATGAATATGTGGTAGTTGTTCTTGCCTTCCGCTTCTGAGCGATTTGGCCACTTTCCAGAGAGGAACACTTGATTCAAGCATCTCCGCCAGAAAGCCGCTCCACTGCTCATTGCGGAATTCATGGAGTGCATTTCTCACTTCATGGATGTGATTCGTCGCTTTACGAATGTCATCAGGATGAAGGATCCACTATTTCTTATACAATCATTGACACGCCTGGGCATCGTGCTGATAAGGTGGTCGATATCCTGTTGGGGTATCTTATTCCAGGCTAGTGCACTTCGTGAGTAAGAGCTGCTAAATACTGTGGAGGGTGTTGCAAATTCAAGAGCCTGCGACCTATCATGTCCCAGACATGTTCAATCGGAAATAGGCCAGGCGATCGTGGTGGCCAAGGTAAACGGTTGATGCGATGTTGATCCGTGAAGGCCAGCGATGCTCTGGCTACATGCGGTCTGGCATTATCTTGTTGAAAAATCTACTTCCTGAATATAGCATCGGGCTGTCATATTGCCTCTGATGAAAATTAGTGATCTGCTACCATAAGCAATAGCACCCCATACCATAGCTCCCACGGTGTGGTGAACGTGAGCCTCTCTTATCACTTGTTCTTCATAGCAAGATCAATCGATATGTAAAACATTCTTGAATTCTAATAAACATACGTAGGTGTTTACCTTTTTTTGTCACTCAGTGTATTAATAAATTTAAGTATCCGAGAAGAGTTGAACATTATTTCATGTACTTAGGCACTTGGGCAATTAGTTGAATGTATTGAAACCTTTAAAATAAATTGAATTCTTAGAGCCATTCTAGCAGGTTTAGAAATGTATATGCTTATGTTTTGTCTGGTTAGATAAAGGTGTACATCACAAGCATATTTAATCTGACCGATCAAGTACCTAGGCGCCATTTCTTGAACTACCTTAAAGACAACATATACAGATAAAAAATTATAATTGAGTTATATTGATTAAGTGATTGAGTGTTAGACGATATTCAACAGGTGGCTGAATTATAGTTTTGTAGAGTTACAATTGTTTGAAGTGCATATTCTTGACTACAGTGACAATTTCAACTTGCTCATTGTTAATGTGAATATTAGCATCAGATGTTAATGAGACGATATTTATAAAGGGTGTTTCAAGCAGTATGGCATGTGGTACCATTCCTGCTAAAACCATATGTCATTAAGAGCCATGACTTCTATTTGTTGCACAAAACACTGAGTAATAATTGCACGATAACGTTTGCCATTCACTGTTAGTGGATTACCCGCCTCGTCCTCAAAGAAAAACGGCCCAATAATTCCTCCAGACCACGGTGCACACCAAACAGTTACACTTTTGTGCGGCAGTTTTGTCTGTTTACAAAGCCATCGAGATGAAAATGGATCTCATCGCGAAAAATGATTTTGTCTACAAATCACCATTCACATACTGTTGGCCAAGGATCCAATTGCTAAACTCTCTTCACTGTGCATGGTCTGTTGAGTCAATTGGACTTTGTAGGCATGCAGGTGTGAATCTTTCGTTAGAAAACGCTGGAGAGTGGCTGTTTTAATGTCCAATTATTGAGCGCGATGACAAATCGACGTCCCTGTACTCTCGGCTGCATTTTTCACGAACTGCTCTGATATTTTCTCCTGAACGACCGCTGCGCGCTCATCTCGTATGTTTCACATCATTAACAGAACCAGTACTTCCAAATTTTTGGATTATTCTTTTCACAATGGATCGGATAGGAACATTATTCCGACCGAATATTAGCTGCACTTTTCGAATCGTGAAAATTAAACTTTCACCGCTTTGGTAATAATTCTTAACAATTAGGATACGCTGTTCTATAGTGTAATGATTCATTTTCATAAACTCCCGCCCATCTACTATCGATCTATCATGTCACAATCATTATGACTGCCGAAATGGCGCTAAATTCAAATATTGCGTTCTTATTGATAAACCCTTTATTTAGTTGTTATGAGTGTAATTGAGTTTCATATAGTTATCGACCTTATTCAAAACAATATTCATCTTGTTAATTAATAGCTGTATTCAGATAACTGTCAGAGCATGCCAGTACCGTATCATCAGCAAAAAGATTAATGAATTCACATCCAACAGAGAGCTGCATAACATTTAGGTATAAAATAAAAAGAAGCGGACCAAGCACGCAGCCCTGCGGTACTCCGATTTTATTTTTAATTATACAAGACATATTCTCGACAATTTTCTCCCTGACCAGACATGAATTACCATTGGTCGCCATGGTTAGTTAATATGGCAAGCTGCAGTGTTAATGGAGTTAAACTCTATCAACATAAGCAAAATGTGAAAGTTCTGGCTGATATCAGGGTGTCCATTTCTTGTCAAAAGTTTGTTTAACAAGCCATCTGACAGTGACGCAAATTTCTTTTCGCCGTACTCAAGATAAGCATTGCTGCCTTTAGACCAGTCGCGAAATCTTCAACAGACTGGAGTATGAATATAACTCAACGAGGCAAATAAACGTTTAAAATATTACACGGCTTATTCGAGAATCATAAAATTGAAAGCAATTGGTCATACTGCACTCTTATTTTACCTAGAGATTTGATGGCAATTTCAACAGCCTTCTTTGTGAATCCCATTTCAACAATCTGGCTCACCATAGGATGCATAGGCGTTTCATCTTCCAGCTCCCTCCGTTTATTTGTTTTCTCACTGACAACACTTTTTATCGAGCATTCACTGTTTGGAGTAGCTATTTCGCTATTACACCTGAAACATCCAAATACATACCAAAAACCGCAATTCTACAAGTTAGTTATTGAGAGTTGGATATTATTTCAGTGCCTACCTTGCTTCACTCTTCGGTAACGCCTTCTCATTACTGATATTACTCTGCGGCTCAAAGCTTCCCTGGGCGGCCAAATATTGGCTCAAATTGAGAGCAGCTAGCTGCATCTGCTGCAAATCGAAGCCAGGCCTCAATGGACTGGGTTGAGTAGCCCTGGCTAGTAATTTTTGAACCAACAACACTGGTTGTTGATTCAGTTCCTCCTCAATCGATTGCTGCTCTTGAGATTGATCCATTCCTGTCACTGGGTGCCTGAGTACCTTACGCAGTCTATGCTGGTTTGTATGTAATACTCTTGAGGCATTTAGAGAATACAATATGTGTTGCTGGGTTCGTAACTGAGATAAGTTGACTTGACCTACAAAAAATAAAGGGTCGACTGCACGTCAAGGAAATAAGTGCAAATGATTTATGAAACCACACGTCTTACTCAAAATAAAGCAATCATTTATAATACCTAAAATGCTTTTGATACTTACCATTGTAACTTTTCCTATCATATGCCCCTAAGGTCTGCCTGATCATCAACAGACTAGCCCAAGTCTTCACAAAATTCTCGTTTAACACCATTTTATCAAAGTTAAACTCCATGTTGTCCAATAATTTAAGGTTGCCTATAGGAATTTTCTTGATCTCTCCAGTCCCATGCAGTTGAGCACATAGTTTTCCTTTGGGTGTCACTCTGACCACAGTCCCTTGAACATTGTCTGTTTCCGCTATGGCGCCTATTCTTGGTCTGATATCCCATGCACCGATCACATTTAAGCATGCTACTACCATGTACTGCTGTTGATCGGAAGTGACATCATTGAATGATGAACTCATATAGGCGTCGCTCAAGTAGTATGCTTCTGTGTTCAGTTTTTGCACCAAGATGGCGTTTAGTACCTGCATACGGTTGAAAAAGTATTGTTCAATGTAAAACAGAATAATAATCCAGGCAATGTGGCGGAAGTTATCGGTTAATATTGCGGAGGAAATTGTAAGGGGACAAAATATTTCAAGAACGCGTTTTAAAAGGGATATTCTACGAGAATATGGGTCGAGCCAGGAACAAAGGCTCTCGTTAATTTTTTTATTTGTAAAATAATAGGCATAAAATAAAAGTGTTTAATACAGATATTTTATTGCTGACGGTTTTATTTCGACCCTAAAATACCCATGAAACAAATTTTGGGATACATAATCGGGCAACAAATGTCCCTAAAAAGATGAAGCAAGTTTGTATATTTTCTTCTGATTTTCAAACATACGACACTGAACCCTAATCTCGTGAAAAATATGTGCCACGAAATGTTAAAGAAATACAATAAATTTCAATTGAAAATATTTCTATTTTCCTTTTGAAAAAACATTACCTCTTAAACACCGTTCTACAGCTCAGGATCGCAGTACAGTTCTTAGTGAGTGCTTATTCTATTAAGGAGGCCGGTATAATGGGTTAAGAATGAAACATTTTTCGGTAAAGTTCATTTTATTTCCCACGCCTACTGGCGAGGAAGTATTGTGATCGTAAAAATTTTCTAAAATGAGATATTATGTCCGTCTGTCCGCTAATTCTATAACCGCCTATAATTTGAGAAGTACCGTTCGGATTTTGATGATTTTTTTACACAATGTTACTACTATGTCCAGATCGAAAGAGCTTTATAGTTTTTGAAAATTGGTCCAGCAACAGAAAAGGCTAAAAACGAAAAAAAAATCGCTAAAACTACGTTTTTTGACGTTCCCTAATGCTTTTTGACGTTCCCTAATGCTTTCACCCGTCCCATCAATGACAGCTAACCACAGACAGCTGTATCGTGCTTTTTTGGCAACTCATCAGTATAGTTTAGGCTTGGTCTCTCTCTAAATAATAGCACCTCTCCTCTGTATAGGATATAAATCCTATGGCACTGTCTTATTTCGATAGGGTCTAACTTGTGCTGAATATAATCCTTTATGGACAGAAGACATAGTTGCATGAAAAGTGAAAAGTCAAACTACTTGACGCCATTTTTTGTTTTTTGAGATATCATATAGCTACATTAATCTTAAATAAATATTATACCTGATTCCAACCAAGTAGATTGTGCAAGGTCCTAAGCAGGTTTATGATTTCCTGAGCTATGGTACTGCTATGCGATTGTGTTAGAAGTACCAATGATTTGCTCGTTGCCGCTCGTTTGTTGCCAGTGTCATAGGAGCATGTCAGGATGATTTTTCCGAGGATGTTAAGAAGCTTCTCAAGGAGTGGTGGTATATCTGGATTGTCCATATCCCAGGACTGGAGGACTGTTTGCAGTAAACGTATTGTTAAGATCTGAAAAACAAATATACGTGGAAAGTATTGTTTCAGCACAGTTCTATTAATTTTGTTTTTAAATTCAGTACACTAGTTCTTTCATTGTGAAAATACAGAAATTCTAAAAATATATATGTAATCAGCGACTCGAAAAACTCACAGATTTAAATTTTCGGATTACTTGAACTCGTTTTCCTTTTTTGTCGACTCCACTGTAAATCGATATTATCAGCATTGAAACAAAACCAACTCTCAAAAACCACTCATTTTATCAAATCAAAGAAAGGTAATTTTTTAGGAAAAGAACAAGGCTTCATGAAGATTTTTTGGCCATTATTACACAAGGTATAAAAAGCTAGCTATTTTTCTTTACAGTTTGTCTGTCCCTGGCGATCTAAATTGTACAATTATTCTTTTCTATATACACTATAATATGAAGCTTAAACTGGTAAGTATCCTGTCAAAATTCTGTTAAATTATACAATCCTGTGCAAAATTTGTTTACAATTGTACTGAAGAAGATTACCTTTGTGCTTGACATATTGGCCAGACAAGGAAGGGAGATTATCGACATTTAAACCCAGGATACGTTTAGGATGTTACAATGAAACTTAAGTAACTGTTATAACAAATTTTTTTTATTGAGCATATAAATGGCAATTTTTTACATAATTTCATTTACAGTAATGGACAAAATGAATATTTACCTAAATATCTTTAGAAAACGAATTCATACTTCATTACTCCATACACAAATGCGTTATTAGTAGAACAACTAAGCTCTTTGTTTTTACATTATCTGCAACGAACACAATACAAGTCTGAATATAAGCACTTTTTTATGATAGACAAAAATATGTAGACAACTTCTTTTCAATATTAGTTTAGTACAGTTTCGTGTCAGAAGAGGATTAGTTTGTGTTCATCAAGTATTGAGGAATAAGTTGAGTGATTCTAAGACCATGTCGCGTGGTACAGAAATTTCTGGCGATGTGAAAACTAAGATCATTGAGTTATTCAAAGATGGTCTCAATGTCAAGTCGACATTGCCAAAAATTTGAAGCTGAAGCGTAAAGCAGTTTGGGCAATATTGACCAAAAATAAACAAAAAGGCATCTTGGAAGCCTCTAAGAAAAGTGTTCGGCCTAGAAAGCTAAATGCTAGATCAGTTAGATTAATAAAAGTAATTTCGTCCAAAGATCCGTTTAAAACCCCAAGACAAATAAAAGCCGAAATCGAGACAAAATAAATTGTCAGTGTTTCTACCAAAACTATAAGTAGAAGATTAAATGATTTGAAGTTAATTGCACGTCGCCCGAGTAAGAAGCCGCTAATCTCGAGGAAAAACCGTAAGGACCGATTACAATTTGGTTGCATCTTGATTGGAGCATCTGTGACTGGAAGAGGGTATGTTTCAGTGACCAATCCAAGTTCAATATGTTTGGATCAGATGGTGTTCATTACGTTAGACGTCCTAGTGGACAAAGATTGAACCCCAAGTACACTTTGCCCACTGTCAAACATGGAGGCGGGTCTGTTATGGTTTGGGGATGCTTTTCGGGGTTTGGGATGGGACCTTTACATAGAATAGATGGCATTATGGATAAGTTTGCATACACAGATATACTAAAGCATGTCATGTTATGACATGATGGAAGACAATATGCCCTTAAGATCAATCTTCCAGCAAGATAATGACCCGAAGCACACTTCGAATCTCGCAAAGAAATTCTTTCTGGATGAAAAATACCAGTTCTCAAATGGCCTTCACAGTCTCCCGATATAAATCCCATTGAAAATCTATGGGAATACGTAGATAAGCAAATACGAGATAAAAATTGCAAAAGTCGAGACAGATTGATGAATCTTATATCAAGAAACTTCTACAATCTATGCCGAGACGATGCCAGGCGATGATTGATTATAATGGTTATGCTACAAAATATCAACACAAACATGGGTTGGTTTTCTATAATTCAATGAACTTTGCTTCTTTTTTCTATAATTGTTTTGCTTTGTCTATATATTTTTGTCCTTCCAGTTTTTTTTCAATTAATTTTTTATTGAAGGGAGTCTAATGAATTTATTTATGTATAAGTGAGTATTATGCTATAACGAGGTATGTATACAGCACAATATTAATTTGTCTATATACTTTTGTCCATTACTGTATATCTGTTCCTTGCCAAAGTATTGTGGTACCGTTAGCAAAAACTATGCATTTACCATTTATGTTTAAATTTATTGGTAGTTCCAGTACAACCATATTTGTTTAATTTTTCAATAGTATATCATGATTTGCACAATCAGAAGCTTTGAAAAAGTCAAAGAAAAGAGCAATTGAAATCTGTTTATCGTTCAAATTTGAGTATAGCATCCATGGTATTTTTTTTTAAAGCCAAACTGATTATCACTTAAAATTTTGTTGATTTATAGAAAAATCTAATTTGAACTATTTTATCTATTATTTTGGCCATACCAGTGATTAAACTTATTGGTCTCTAAGTTTTTCATCTGTTGACATATCCCAGCGTTTGTATACTTGAGGCTTGTTTATTTGTTAAAAATAATTATAATAAGTTTTCACACATTCATCATCAGCAAAAATACAACCTTCGTAGTAATAAGGACATATCTATCGCTAATTACAATCTTAACAGTTACCGAAAAGATGCTAAGTATGTGTTTGTGTGCCGCCATATTACGATAAACTACTTAACGATATCAGAACCTTGGTTGCTACTCTTTCAAAACACGTGTGCAAGCATTTTTTGTAGAAAACTATTATTATTCGGTTAATTATGGATTTTATCGTAATTTTGAGTTTCATTGTATATTTTCACGTGCAATACTATTTTTTATCACTCGTATAATCTTATATTGTGTTATAATAAATAATTAATGTAAGCAGTATTTTGACGTTTCATATCAGCGAGGCTGACATGAATAAAAGTTATTATTATTATGATTACTAAATGAGGATGGGAACCTGATTTTTTTTATGAATACCGACGAAACCCTTGGAGATACAAAGGGTAATATAAAAGTTTTGCAATACAGCTTTATTTCCACCAGTCCTTAAGCCAGCTCTACCAAGTTTCACCCGGGAGTGCAGCACACTTCAGAAGGTCCTCATCGCTAGAAAACCGTTTTCCTTTTAGCTTCATTTTCACATGCGGAAACAGTGCAAGGAGGGTGCTCAATACGTTTCAGTCCAGTAGTGGTCAAATACTCGGTGCAGGCTTTGGCCTGGTAGCTGGAGCGTTGTCATTGTAGAGGTACCAAGTGTGCATTCTTGACTTTGGCCGCAAGTTTTTCAGAGACCTTAGGACAGGCACTGTTCCATGTATCATTTAGCTGTGACTGTCTTTTGTGTATCCTAAATGACGACACGCTCCACAACCCCGCTCGATTTGAAAAATACAGCTATCATTTTTTTCTCAACAGATCAGAATTTTCTGACAAAGAACCAAACTTTGTTTTGAGCCTTGGTCGGTACATCGTAATAATAGAGCCAAGTCTCGTCACCTGTCACGATGCTGCTCACATACCGAGATTGCCCCTTATTATAAATATTTTCAGCATCTTTCGGTACCAAGTCGTACGGCGATATCCAGAGAGAACAAAGTTTCCTTACGTGTGAATGGCCATGCAGAATTGAATGAATTGTTGGTGCATGAAGGTGTAAGGTCTCCTCTATCTGTTAGTATGTCACTCTCCGGTCGTCAAGCGTTTTCCTTACAGCAGTAATGTTTTCCTCTGTTACTGACATTCGCGGCCTTTCTTCCCTCTCAGCGTCCTCCATAGTGAAATTGCCCCTTTGGAATTTTCTGTGCGTCCTGAATATAGTCGTACGATGCAGACAATCATTCTTTAATACAAGCGTCATTTCTTCTAAGCATTGGTCTATGCTTAAGTCACGCGTAAAGTTATACCCTAAAACTGCCCTTATCTCAATACGTATCCACGATGTCATAGTCCGCACTTTACACTGTCAATACGAATAAACAACTAAATCAATAGACGTGCTGCTGGCGGCTACTATGGACATGTCTCAACATGCAGCCTTCTGCGTCTGTCTGTTATATCATATTGCAAAACTTTTATAGTACCCTTTGTACATTAATCAAAATAATGATGATAAAGCTTGCTATGGTCAGTACACAATTCAATGTGTCACTGATTTTCGCTCAACTATGATCTCACCTAAACGAAGTACTGCACGAAGTCACAGTGCACAAATGCAGGAGGCTTTACAATCGCATCAGAAAATGTCTGGTACAAATATTTTATATAAAATTTCTCGGATACCGTAAAAAATACAAACGAACCCCTTACCTGCTTAGGCAGATCGATCTCATTGCTCCCCGCATTCCCAGCAGGCGGTTGCAAGAACCCCAGCAGCATACGTATCCAAGGCTTGGTGCTGAATGCCCGGCACATCTGCCTGGTGCGACAGATGGCTCGCGCCAACGTCAGGTTAGCCCATTCGGCCCCAGCGCCGCCAGTGAGGGCCGCGCAAAACAGGCTGCCTAAACCATGGAGAGTGTTGGGGTGTAGGGGGTCTTTGGCTAGATCGGCGCTGACCGACATGTTGCGCAGGAAGTTGATGCTCGCGTCGCGGAGCAGACGGATCAACTGGTTGTCTTTCACCAGGTGATGGGAGGCTGGAAAATTATCAAGAATAATCAAGGCAAAACTGAATACTAAAAATAAGTGTCAACAGGCCTGACAACTTTGCATAATTTGTACACAAGAGCTATCGGAAGTCGTGGATCAGGGTGGTCAAGTAGATGTACCCGTATTCTACACTGACTCTGCAAAAGGTTTTGATAGAGTGGATCATGCTATTCTTCTTACAAAACTTGGCAATTTCGGTTTTTCGGATTTGAGAGTTTTGTAAACCTTACTAATGCAATAGATCACATATGTATGTAACACGTATAGAGTATTCTCAGGTATTCCGCAAGGATCAAACTTAGGTCCACTACTATTTAATATGTTCATTAATGATTTGGATAATGTAATCGAAACCCGAAAATTGTTTTATGCTGAAGACTATTGTGAAATAACTGCTATAGAAGACTGTCATAGGTTACAGGTCATGCTCAACAAAGTTCATTTATGGTGAGCTAATAATAGATTGTCATTAAATGTTGCAAAGTTTAAAGTAGTCACTTTCTCTTGCAAAAAAACAATCTTATTTGATTACAACATTGATTATATTTTTTTGGAGTGTCATTTAACCACCAAAGATCTGGGGGTATTATTCGATTCACAAATCAGATTCACTAATCATATTGATAATTAAATTGCTGAAGTATACAAAATGTATGGATTCATCGTTAGAAATTGTGTTATTTTTTTCTTATGTACGTTCACTTTCCGAATATACTCCAACAAGTTTAACAGTATCTGTCGATAATGTAATTGTACCTTCAGGTATAGGTATGTTTTATATCCAAGTTCAATAATACTCATAGCAAGCAAGTTGTCATGCTGACAGTAACAAGCATACATGTGGAAAATTCATATGGTGACCACAAAACTGTTCAAGGCGGTGAAACAAAACTAAAAAACGTATGCCTGCGACCTTGCACAGACAGACGTCCACATTTAGAGGCCGATCACATATCGATGCGTGAGGGAGATGGATGTATGAAAGTAATTTCTGTAGTTCTACGATCACCCACCAAAAACCGTAAGAATACCTTTAAAAATCAATACTCCACACAGCATCTATCTCAAAATGAAAAACAAAATTCGCACTTTTCACTTTGGTAAATCTTTTTTCACTTATAATGACCTATCCAAAGGTTAGATATATTGATATTGATCTGGCTATCAGAACGCCCATTCTCCTTTGTGAAAACAGTGTCCAGATTTCAGTTAAGTAAAAAACACTGCCTGTCAAGGAGCTCTGATGAATCTATTACCTATTTTTTTTTCTAATATAACAAAAGCAATTGCGGAGGATTTAATTTATCATACCATGTTCATTGGGCTCCTCAGTTTCAGAATCTGAAGATACAGGAGATGGTGGAGATGCAAGAGTGAGGTCATATTTTCCTTCAATTCCCATTCTGTAGCTATTGGTAGTTCCGTTTGCCCATTCTACACGAACCCATCCATCATCACCAAGTTCTCCAATAACTCTACCTTCTCCAGGCAGGTTCCCATCCTGGAAAAATTCAATGCAATCGAGCAGTTAAAATCACATAATTTATTATAATATTTATAGTATCTGATTAGACAAATTGAATATACCTGATCTCCCCATTTCCAGTCAGCTCCTCTCACCACTCTAGTTCCCAACTTCAAAAGACTGGCAAGTTCTGGACCACTCAAATAATTGGTCTTTGGCTTGTTGTTCTCTATCATATCCGCGTACAGTACGTAAAATTCTGACACTTTCCTTACAATGCTCTGGTCACTTCCAGCTTGCTTTAATAGTGCCAAAACCGAGCTAATCACTCCGCTACTTACTAACGGGTTCAACTCAGATGCATTATAGTGATTTGAAGCAAGCACTCCTAGTATTGCTAATAACATCCTTGCTCTTGTCACATCGCGCAACAACGTATAAGTACCTATAACAAAGTACAAAACGGTTAACAAAAATATTGTCATCAGATCAGAGCATTTTTGATATCGGCTTATATTCAGACTGAGTTACAGTATACTTAGGGACCATGAGACATGAGTATACTGAGGGAACATGAGACATGAAATGCTGCAAGAGAGATGTTAGTAAAGTTTTTTCTCCAAACAAATGTGGATGTCTAGAGGGAAAGTTCACATTTCAAATTTGAATTACGTGGCAACCGTATACGCGAGGAAGTGGGGAACTGGGGAGTGGTCTTTGTTGCAAATCCTCGGCGTTCTGTACGAAAGCATTCTGCTGGGATTCTCTAGGTCAACACTGCATGGCATAATTAATAAAAAAATGGGTTTACATCCTTATAAAATCCAATCAGTCCATGGTTTAAAAGAACGTGATTACGTATTAAGGAAATCTTGTGCTGAACGGATGTTGAATCTTTTTCCTAAGCAGCGCAGACTCGAGAACTTTGTTTTCAGTGACGAGACGCATTTTCATTCAGACGGTTACGTGAACAAGAAAAATTGCAGATATTAGGCACCAAAGAAACCAAAAGAGAAGCATCAGCAACAGCTACATAGTTCAAAGGTGACTGTTTGGTGCGCCATATCCTCTAGCGGTATTATTAGGCCGTATTTCTTTGAAGATGAAAACGGTCATGCATTGGCAGTCAATTCCGAGCGACATGATTGCCACTTTTTTTTGCTACTATTGTGCGAACAGAACGTCGATTTAGCAGAAACACATGGTTGCAACAGGATTGGGCTACTGCCCATACTTCCAGAGAATCGATGGACACCGTGAAAGCACTCTTTCCTCAAAAAGTTATATCGAAGTTTGGAGACATTCACTGGCCTCCTAGGTCACCCGACCTCACGAAATGCGATTATTTTTTGTGGAGTTATCTAAAGTGAAAAGTGAGATCGCAAACATTTGGACGGAACGATATTTAAGAAATAAATCCCGCCAAATTTACGAATATGTTGATAATAATGAATATTTTCTTTTCATTAAGTCTGTATTTTTTTTCTTAAATCAAAAAGTGAACTTTTCCACTGGACATCCTGTATGTCCTCATACTGTGCAAGTAATTATAGAGACAACTACAAGGTAGGTTTTAGAAGTCACACTGTCCACTCACCTAAATTCAAGCTGACCTTGTTATTAGTTCCCTTTGACTTAAGCGGCTTGCTGGGCGCGTCTTTCAGAATGTAGTTTCTCAACGTTTCAATGCACCATTCAGTAACATTGAGTTGCAGCAAAAGTATGTCAGTTTTTAAATACGGAGTGACCAAATCTATGCTATCCAAGCAATGGCACGCGTATTCGTTTTGTTTCGCAAAACCTAAATACCCGTTGATTATAGAATATCTTGTGGACGTCAACAGATTATTCTGATTAAGCAAACTGGATATCAACTTCAGTCCTTCTTTGCGTATCCTGCATCGTTCCACCTGAATGTACATGATCTTTCTAAGAAACTCAACATCACATGTTGAGTATAATATGAACTCTAAGATTGAGTGCATCATCTCTATGTTCTCAGCACCGACTTTCTTCATTTTTTTCTCAGCAAGTTTGGTCAGGATTCTCGTCAACATCATTTCATTTTCGATTTTCTTCTCTTTGTCTTGTTGAATAGTCGCATTGTCAGATTTTTCCACGTCAAGCTTTTCATTTAAATCCTCGCAAAGTTCTACACAGGTCTTCGGCTTAATATCGACTGTGACTTTTTGTCCTCCGTTCTTTATTTCATTGTTAACGTCGTCGGTGTCACTTTTCGAGTCAGCTATTTTACCGTCGGAACTAACTTTTTTGACGCCTCTACTGATGTCTTCATTCGACTTTTGCCTTTCAGCGCTTTGTGACTGTATAGTAGCATTCACGATATCTTCAGGTTTTTGTATCTCGGATGTATGCCTGCCACATTTCAGGTCTTTGATCACTTTTCTTACTAGTGTACGCACTCTAGGCTCTCTATAGAGAACGTTTACTTTTTTAAACGCTTCAGTTTCTAAGCTGATCGCTGGTTTCACTTCGTACAGCAAAAATCTGCATTTTTCCAATAGAGGTATGCAAAGTTCCTTGTAACTTTTGTTTACTTCTTGTCGTGTTTTGATTAGTTTCCATTTTGCTTGGTGGACATTTTTTATCACTTCAGCGACAGATTTCGGTATTTTTACGTTGGGTTGCGTAGCGTCTAAAAGATGAACACTTCGGTTAGAACATCAAAATATTAAGTCGAAAACAGGTTCAATAACATCAAGTTTAAGATAAAAGAATGTCTTTTTCAAGTATTTTCTACCTTATCGTGGAGTGTAATTGAATAATAATTAATTTTAAGAGACTAGTAATACAACTTTCATTCGTCCGACAACCAATCATTGTTAGCTGTTTAGTGCTTTTTGGCAACTCTTCATTATGGTCTAGGGTTAGTCTCAGGTAGAACGACGATTATGCCCTCCAAGAGACATGAAAAGTCAAGACAGCATAGATACAAATGACAATATGCGCGTGTGAGAAATAAAACTACACTTACAGTCATAGAACATGTCTCGTCGTTGCATGGTTGTGATGTGTTTTCTAAATTATTAACATGCAATATTTCAAGTAGATTATATTATGAAATCTACAAAATACCACTTACATGATTCTAATACTGGTAAAAGGACGTATCCGAGCCCCAAATGTTTCAATAGGACAGCATAAAGTACTCTCCCAATTTCTTCAATGGGGTGTTCAAAAGAAAAATCAACTCTGGTTAAGAAGTTATTCGCTTTAGAATACTGTTCAACTATGGCAAGGAAAGCAATCACATAAGGATCCTGTGTAAGAAAGATACGATACATCTGTTGAGAAAAATTAAAATACAGATATAATACGATATTTCTCCGGAAAATACGTATAAAAAATTCGGGGTGTCGTGTCAAGGCAATGTGGAGGGGTGGCCCGGTGGTATCCTCTCTCTATGCAATCCCCTCTATGCTCAGTTCGAGCCGGAGCGCTCTGCGAGTCAGTAGGCTTTACGTGCGCTTGTTGAAAGTAACTCTTTTTTAACTGCCGTCGGCATGGAGCTCTCTCTGATCGAGGAACAGCACATCAGCATCACGTTTCTTGCAAAGCTAGGAAAGAATGGTCGTGAGATTTTTTAGTGTTTGGAACAAGTTCACGCGCGGAGACAATTCTCTGAAGGAACCAACCGTCAACAAGTGGTGGAAAAGGTTTCGGGAAGGACGAGAAGTTGTGAAAAATGAAAAAAGGCTCAGAACGACCCTCCACATCGAGCTCCGAGGGAAATGTTGAAAAAATTCGGGGCTGTGTTCTTAAAGACCGTCAATCAATGACCTCCTGCACGATCAACCCAATCCACAGCTTCGCTGATAACAGCACTCTACATGCAGGAATTCAGAGTGACAAGCCGATCTCTGTCTCTGACCTGGAAAAAAGAAGACTAGTGACGACTGCCTCTCTGACGAGAGACCTGGAGGTTATCACTGCTTGGGGACGCAACAATCTTGTACAGTTTAATGCTTCCAAAACACAGTACTGCACTTTGACGAACAAAAAGCGTCCTAACGCTCACCCGGTTTCGATGGATGGTCGAGTTCTGCCAAAAAGCCATTCATTTCGGCTGGTCGGAGTCCAGATCACCGAGGACCTGATCCGGCACGAGCACATCTCGTCAATAGCGGCAGCTGCTGGGAAAACGCTAGGCTATTTGTTTAGAGTTAAGAAGTAGTTTTCTCCGCATGACCTTCTCACTCTATACAATTCCCAGATAAGGCTTAGCCTCGAGTATTGTTCACACGTTTGGGATGCTGCCGCCCCGACTACATTATTTATGCTCGATGCAGATGAGGAGGGTCCGACTGATAGATGACTCTTCTCTAACAGACAGTCTCGGGTCTCTTTCGCACCAGCGGGCTGTCTGCGATCTAGCTCTTTTCTACCGCTACACCTACGGGCTTTGCTTTACAGAGCTCTCTTCCATGATGCCGCCGCGCGATGTGCCTGCCAGACAGACCCGCCTGACTTTGGCGTCCCATCCTAACCGTGTCGATCTTCGTACATCCAGAACTGGCCGATACGACCGCTCCTTTGTCCCGAGGGTGTCGAGATTGTGGAACAATTTGCAAGGGGAAGCTTTTCCCATTTCTACTAACCTTAGTCAGTTCAAAAATCGTATTAACAAAATTTCTTTGGGATCATCATAGCAGCCGCGGTGTCCCGGCATTTAAGCTTCTGCCTGCGGGGCTGCTTTGGTATAAAAAAAATGACAGTTAGAATGATAGTTGAGGAACTGTCAATCCCAAAAACAATCGTTCACAAAATTCTGACAGAAAAACTTAAAATCAAAAAATTATACGCGACTATCGTTTCGCAGCTCTTGGAAGGGGTCATCACTGGAGACGAGTCTTGGTTGTACGAATTCGATGTGGAGCTGAAATCTTAAAGCATGGAGCGGAAGCAAGCAGGGGAACGCAGAGCAAAAAGGTCGAAAAAATCAAAGTCCAATGTGAAAACAATGTCGACTGTTTTCTTTGATTCTCGGAGCATTGTTCACCAGGAATTTGTCTCACCCGGCCTGACAGTGAACGGAAACTTTGCGTCGTCTCAGAGCTTGTGTGGCTTGTTCGTCCGAGTTTGGCGCAAGAGGGCAGGTGGATCCCTCATCACGACTCCGCGTCTGCTCACATGTCTCTCGTTGTGCGTGAGTTTTTGGCCCGAAGCTCAATCGCCGTGACAGAACACCCGCCTTATTCACCCGATTTAGCCCCTTGCGACTTTTTCCTGTTCCCAAAATGCAAAATGGTGCTTCGAGGGCGGCACTTGGGTTGATGTGGAAGCCACCAAAGCAGAAATGACACGGCAAATGCAGAGTCTCACAATTGCAGTCTTCCAGCGGTCGTATCAACAGTAGAAACGGCGTTGGCAGAAGTGCATCTTGTCTCAGAGCGAGTACTTTGAAGGAGACCATATTGAAATACCTGAACAATTGTAAATTAAAGCTATTATTCCGTTTTTATACACGTATTTTCCGGACAAACCTCGTACATGCATACCATATAGGTCTTTTCATCATTTTGGTGGTTAAATATTAATGTAACAGGAAAAACGAACGATTAACGAACTGGCCGTAGTTTGAGCTGAACCTTCCTGAAGGAAATTGCACACTACATGTATGTAGGCAGTACAACACAGCTACAAAGGAACGTTGTTTTCATTTGCTTTCTGGGGAATATATTCAGCATAAACTATCGGTACTGCCCATTAATTATGTTTCCAGGTACCATAATAACAATTATTGGACTCAAATCGTACGTACTTGTCAAGTGAGCCGCTATACTGATAGTGACAAGCATAGATGTAGAACATTCATACGTAACGAGAAAACAAAAAAAAAAAACGTGAGCTGAGACGAATACGCGTCCTCACAATTGATTGCATGTGGTTGTGTGATGAGATGGAGGTAGACAAATGATCCCAGAAGTTACTGGTTTTACATGGAACCGCCCAAAAGGATGAAGAGACATGTATTTGATTAAAGTAGAATATTCCAAGTTGATTGATGATAAACTTACAGATAATCTACTCTCAGCGAGTGCACTGATAAACGCGTTCACCCTTTCTATCGGTTCTTGACAAGATGTGATCGATCTTTGAGAAACATTTGCTCTTGGTTCAGTTGGAGTATTTTCGGCCGTAGAATTGGTGCTTCTTCCACCATCTCCTTTTTCTTCTTCGTAAGGACTGGGGGGTTGATCCGCGTGTGGCCCACCTCGTAAGAATCCAGCTTCTAGCCATCTAAAATGAAACATTATACGACGTGCTGATATTCCAGGATTCCTCAAATAACACTGGTGAACAAGATTAAAATAATTTTTTGGGACATGGACAAAACAAGGTGGTTATCATGTAAAACGTACCCAAATTTGCTGCTTATACTCGTAAAATATAAGGAGATGTGTGTAAGAATACTAATAAACACTCGAATAATCATTAATGTCAGAATGGTGTTGTCGATGTTTTACGGCGATATGTTGCTCCTGAAGTATCTCTTAACAATGACCAGCAATAATCAGCAAGCAAATTGACACTTAATTTGCCTTGATACCGTTTTTCCATAGTAAAAATGTATTGGCGGAACCAGTCACCATGTTCATCACTTACCGCACCTAAATTTTCCGGAAAAAATCTAGATGAGAATCCAAAAAGTGAATTTTTAAGACATGTTACATCCCATTCCTTTATAAGCATTAATTAGTTCACTCACAATATCTTTATAATTGTCCGCCTTCACATTGACTAACAAATTTGCAGTAACTGATTTAAAAGCATTCCAAGCTCGTAATTCAGTTTTATTTAGAGCACTTTCAAATACATTATCCTTCATGATTTTCCGTATATGCCCTCTTTAATTTTTGCCTCACTAAGTCTCGGAAGTGTTTGTTTTAAATGCAGAAACCCTCTTCCATTTCGATCCATAGCTATCACAAAATTTTTGATCAGTCCCAACTTAACACGTTTTTGGGATCAACTAGTGATGCATGATCAATGTTTTTGAGGCCCGGGGTTAATACCTGACGTAGTGGGTACTCCTTCTGTTCATAATGACGGTATCGCGCACGAATGTCCCATTCACAAAGAAAACAACAATATTTGGTATATCCCAGTTGCATTCCAAGAAGAAGGGCTATTACCTTTAAATCTGCACATATGGCCCATACATATTCATTATAACGGATATGCTCTAACAGAACTCGTATATTTTCATTAGATTCCTTCATATGAACTGCGTGCGCTATAGGTACAGATGTTTACTTATTACCGTTGTGTACCAATACCGCTTTTAAACTAAGCTTAGAGGAATCAATGAACAGGCGCCAATCATTTGGATCATGTTTCTGTCCTAACGCGTCAAACAAATTGTTGACATCGGAGCAATATATCAACTCCCTTTCTTGACGGAAACAGTGTGATACGTCTTGTTGGCGTTTTCGGTAAAAAGTAATGTCAACATCACCGTGGAGGAGATTCCATCCTTTTAATCTTGTCGCTAAAAGTTCTGACTGGGATTTTGACAGCTTTCTGTACCATCACTTTCAGAATCGGTGGATTCGACTTTTTCATCCAAAGACCAAGATTCTGGTGGAACTGGGACAGAAAGTTCATCACTATGCTTAACGGGACGCAAAGCTGATGATAAATTAAAATACGTATGTATCGATTTTGGTCCAATACCTTTAATATTTGTGAGGCAAAAATGGCAATCAGTAGTATCGTCTCTCGGTTCTCTCCAAACGATTGGTACCGCAAAGGGCATTTACGATTGTCGCCTCTTAACCAACATGTTAACAACGTTACACAAGTGTTACAACATATATGAGGGGCCCATAGTTTATCTAAGGAGTAAAAGTACGTTTTTGGGATTTAAAAGTTAGCTCTCCGCACACATAACAAAAACTGTTCGCACTATTTACACAATTTCTAAGCATTGTCCATAAAGCTAGTCTCGATCACAATAAACTAAAAACAACACAATGTTTTAACAAAAATTAACAGTACTCGGAACATCTCAGTACTCTTCAACACCGAAAACGTAACTGACTCGGCTGCTATTAGTCTACTAATAAACGCAATATGAGCTCTAAACATAGAGCTCGCATATAATAAACAGGAACAGACAGGTCTTAACATTATATATGTGCGTCATCGCATAAACGCCGAGAAATGCAGCAATACGAGATGTTACGTATTGTAATTCATAAAAGTAGATATTACCGAATATCTGTGGATGATAGAAAAATTCTGTTTTTAGATTTGATTTAATAATAATAATAATAAATCGTCTTTATTTAGGGGACGAAGTTTAGCATAATGCTACTTTGCCCCTTTAAGGGTCTCAAAATACATAAGACACACCCAAAAATTGTCATGTCACAAATCCTGTGTTTATCAGTGTAATTTTATGAAGAAACATTTATATGAATGTATTTCTTCAATTTTTTACTACAGGGTGTTCGGTTTTTAAAAACAAAATCGCATCAAGAAGGTTGACTCTGCACTTCCTACACAACGCCCATATCAGTAAATAAAGATACGTTCAGCACAAACTAGATCCCTCTGAGAAAAAAGTCAGTCAATCAGCTAGATCCCTCTGAGAAAAAAGTGAGTCAAACAGGTCCATAGACATTCTTTCTCTGACCTACCGATTGTTCATCTGGAAACGTCGCCTCTTCCCGATACCTAACTCGTTCAGATGTGGCATCGTGGTTGCACGGTCAGCGCATAGAAAACACTATGCTGTTGCGCGGTGTGATTTCATGTCAGATTACTCATCATGGTTCCCGAAAATATTTTTGTCCCCCTGAGGCGAATAGCTACAGGCGCAAACGTAAGGAAACATCTACAATGACAAAGAAATTGGGATATAGCCTCCCCTACTTCCTGCAACCCGTAACCCCCAATTTTTGAACCCTCACAAAAAAAATTCCGAATATGATCAGCATACTCTGAAAAGTCAAAAACGAAGTTTTACGGTTTTTTAGTTTTGGCCTTTTTCTTTGCCACCACTGAACCGATTTTGCGTCCTTGGCATAGTAGTAACCCTGTGTAAGAATTTCATCGAAATCCGAGCGATACTTCTCAAGTTATACGCTTTTATAAGATTAGCGGACAGACCGACGGCAATGAAATAAAAAAATATCTCATTTTTTTAAGATTTTCGCGATTACAGTACTTCGTCTTCAGTAGGCGTGGGAATTAACCAGACAAACAGCAAGCCCAATGGCAAGGATCTAGACTCACCTGCCCGCCTCCACCTCTTCTACGGTAGCGCCCACGCTCTGTCTCAGATGGAACGCATGCAGGCCCAGCAAGTAGCCGAGGTTCCTCTCCGCATCCAACAGCACCGTACACATCTGCAACGGTTCGGCATCCGCATGACAGATGGCGTCACCGCTCGCGGAAACAGTCGTCGCTGCCATCGCCACCGAGGCGTCCTCCCATTGGCAAAAGCTGCCCACTAGGTAGTTGTTCATCAGAGCAAGTAAGTGAGGGTTGAATGGTTCCTTATCGCCGGCGCCGCTGTGTAACTTTTGCAGGTGTTCGGTGACTGCCGGGTTGTCGCATCTGGAGCGGATAAGTCCAATAAGGAAGTTTCGGATTTTGTAAAATTTATAACAATTTTAGAAAGCATAGGATTTATGAAAAACAACAAAGTAATACTATAAATCTTCACAGAAGCGAAATGTTTTTCCTTTCAACTTAGTAAACGAGCTAGGAAAAGGATGGCACATGAATGAGCACATTACTGATTTTATGTGTAAATGTGGTTAGCCAATGGTGTGGGGGTAGTTCCGGCTGTTACTGAATGTTGTTAGGGAAATTGAAGGGTAGATTTAGCACGTTAAAATATGAAAAAGTTATATATTATACAAGAACAGCACCAGAAATGCTTTGATTTCGTACGTGCAAAGATAACATTAACATGTACAAAATTGTTACTTAAAGCACTTATATCAGTTGCGTTTTAACAGCAAAAACAATATGCTTTTAGTTTTTTACAAAAAAATAGTATTTTAATTCCAGATATTTTCTATTTAAAAACGATCTCTTTGAATGTTTTGTTGGTTACCCGTTTTTGAAATACATTAATCTGTTTATCATTATAAAAAATTGTATTTGAGCTGGCACATTTTTCAAGCAGAATCTGGTTTTTAGAAAACGATTCTTAAAAGCTTTAGTTCTAAAAAATACTAATTTCAAATCCATTTGTTATTAGTTACTGCCCGTATTCGATAGGTTCTCGGACATTTCCCTGTAGAACTGGTAGAACTCGAATGAAGCTATTTATTTGCAAAAGCCAGTGGCATACAACATTTCGTATCACGAAAGTGGCAATTTTCGTGACCCATATATGTACGGACCATATTTTCACGTGCTAACCTATCTTTAAATTCTCCCAACAGTATTCTGTAACACACTGTATATTAGCTACTGCATACGCAATTAGACAATGCAGAACGAAATGGAACTTGCCTAAAGTCCTGGATATCATACACCTTTCCATTGATGACCACCCACTTTCCCCCGTCCAAATTATGATTTTCCAAGTCTGCTTTTCTTATTAATGGCAGATCGTCGTGAGATTTCTGCGTTCCATTTGAAGGTCGCACCTGCGTCACTCCTGGCCACGCTGTATCATCAGCATCCAATGCTTCGATATCAGGCATCAGTCGGCATAGCTTGTCGATAGACCTAACAAATTTGGTAGAATGCTATTGTTAACTAGAATTTTTTGCGGTGGATGTGTGTAATTAATAACACAAATCAATTATAAAAATCTGGATACAAGATACAAAAAACGTATGTCACGCAGCCAGTCATTCACCTCAGTAATCTACAGATTGTCCACAGGCGTCTAGGGAGGGCTCAATAATGAGAAAAATTAGCATTTCAGCAAAAAAAATGATAGCCGAAAAAATGATGAGGAAAAATCGCGATTAACAACTACAATCTGCATTCATTTACAAAATTTTGAGGTAAATGTCTCAGTTGCGTCAAAAATCGGAAAAAATCAAGAGTTGAACTGCAGAGGTTACCTTAGGAGATCATTGAACACAGCCAACCAATTCATTATAGTCAAAAAATTGGGGAGATCTCTTTCCAGCAAGATGAGGCTAACGATCAGTTCCGGCAGAAGAATACCTAGAAGAAAACGACTTCAGAGATTGCCATAAAAACACAGCAGGATGATAAATTGTGCTGGAATTTTAAATATAAAAATGGTGCGACACACCAAATTATTAATAATCGTACTATTTGAGCGATGTCCAACATTTACATCACTACGTTTTTATATACATGAACCATATTTACTATAACATCTATAATGGTGAACACCGTTTGAGCTAGCATTTGTGCATGTGATTAATACATAAAAAAACATTTATGCCAAACCATTTTGTGGTCAATATCAAACGATCAGTATTTACGGTGATTCGCTACTATTCATCATGGAATGTGATATTTATTGACCGTGTAGCCAGCAGCGATTATCAATATACCATATATTAAGTTCTGGAGGACAAGATACTTTTAAAATAAGTTTTTCCAATACCAGATACAAAATATTTTCTGATATGGTATCTGACATACTAGATACTCGTACGTATCTTTTAAATACTTTTTAAATATAAAATCTCGTACATTTGTCAGACAGCGATATCTTATTGAGTTTATTCTATTACATAAATTATTGCATTTGTCGTGCAAATGTGACAAAATATACAGGGTGTCCAAGAAGTCGATGTCAAGCCGGAAACGGGGGATATGCCAAGTAACATAGTTATTAGAAAAATATACAAAAACGTGTATTTTTCAAATTATCGGTTTAAAAAATCAGGAAATCAGGAATATCTACACCCTGTGATAATCTTTTAGTTCCCATTACTACAAATTTCAAATGTTTGTTAGGCGAAGTTACAGATAGTCTCATTCTACGTAGTGACAGCAAGGCAGTAACGCCTCTTTTATTAATTCGTGAACGTATTTATTAAATACACAATAACTGTTCCAAATGCCTTACTTCAGCAGCAATACAAGCTTTACATCTTAAAAATGATCGGGTTATCAGACGGGCGAATCTTCCGTTATTAACATATTCAGTTGCTTCCATTATTCTGTCCCGTTGCACTATTCATGTGCTCGGATATTCCACATCAAGATATTCTCTAACTGAACGGGCATAGTGCGGCAGGTAGCCGTCCTGCTGCTACCACATGCACCTGTAAATGCTTAGTGGCTCGTCTTCCAATAAATAAATAAATAAATTTCGCCATTCAAGAGTTCTGGAAGCTCAAAAGGTACAATGGTTCTCCCATTTAGAGCCCCGGTCTACGTGTTTAAAACGATACTGTGATCTATCATGTCTCATCAAATGTGGATTTTCTATATGCGACTCGTGTAAGTTGTGTAGATGCATGTAACCTTTTTTAAATGTCGTCCATAAAATTTTGTCTAAAAATTGCGGATCTTACCGGTGTCTCTGTAACATTGTTTGACAAAACTTAACTCTTGGAAGATAATTCCGGAGTTGTAGAGATTTTACTCGCTGTATGTGGTACGGGAGGACCTCGTTCTTTCGCAATATTCGGTGGGGTGTAATTTTTTCTCGGTAATCGGGATGACGAGCAACATTTGGGTACCTCTCAAGATAAAGCTTAGCTGCAGCACTAGCATTGCATCTACACTCTTCATAAATGAGGTATATGTTGGCGTATTCCAATGTTGTACACAGACATGGTGGCACTACACAATCATAAATTAATAAAAGTGGCGTTACTATTCGTCTCGGTGTCACTACGTAGACTTAGATTTTTTCTAATATTTTTCTGATAACTATTCTGGTTTGACGTCGACATTGGGTCACTATGTAAGTATAATACCGGGCAGCCTTAGAAGACGGTCTTTGTAGTTACCAACATTGCCAGGATTTCTGTTGTTGTTGTTGAAGATTTATTTAGCATTAATGCTACAATGTCAATTTTGTATTATTATTCGGTTACATATTTTTTTACAATCCATTTTCTGTAATTTTTTCATTCTTGTCTATTAAAATTACGTCACTATGTAATTTGATTATTCAGAAAGTGATTGTTTAATTTCACCTTAAACATTTTTAAATTAGAACTGTTTAATATCATTATTCAATTTACTAAATTCAAATACTCCTTTTAAAATATAGATATACTAGTTATGCTACTATTATAATTTTGCAGATGAAAATCTATACTGCCTCTAGTTTTGTAGTTATGATAATGACTATTTAATTTTGTTAAGTTTTATAAATGTGGTGGTAATAAATTATTTTTTAATTTGAATATGAAAATGAGAACTAAATAATATATGAAATTTTGCTCATCCAACCACTGCAATTCTTCTAACATAGACTTAATCCTAGCATATTTGTTTTTATTTAAAATGGTTCTCATAGCTTTATTTTGTAGAATTTGTAATTTTAAAAATATGTTTTCATTTGCTGTAAACAAGATGGTTGAACAATATAAAAAATGGGGAAGAATTATAGTTTTATACACCATTTTTTGGAATATATACTAAGATTACGGGAAACTCTATAGAAGTAATTTATCTTTTTCGATATTTTTGAAATAATGTATTCATAATGTTCGTGAAACAGTAGCTTACTATCCAAATATATACCAAGATATTTAAATGTCTCGACTACTTCAATTTTTTCATCATTAATTATGAGCCTAATTGTATTGTCACATAAATGTTTCCCTATTGACATACATTTTGTTTTATTAGTGTTTAAATAGTTTATTGACATTTAACCAATTCATAATTTTTTCAATATCACTCTTGCCAAATGTGCTGAATAAATCTTTCTACTACTACTACTATTTATCAGTTCTAAAACAGTGTCCAAATGCTTATGTGCTATATATATATATATAAGTGTATCGTCCGCAAATATTTGAATTTTGCAGTGTTCTAAAATGTTCTATAATATTTCCAACTTTAGTTTTTTGACTTCTATTTACTAAAATATGTAATACTGATCCTTTAAAGCCATAATGACGGAATTTCATTAACAATTTTTCCCTATCTATAGTCTTAAATGTCCCTTTGAAGTCTAAAAATACTGTTACAATATATTCTTTCTCATCTATACTTCTTCTCGAGTCTTCCACTACCATTTGGATTGCTCTTTCTGTGGAATATTTCCAGCTTGATTTTTTGTCAAAATTTTGGTTTCTTCAATGAATTATATGATTTGTTCGTATATTATCCCTTCGAACAGCTTCTCGACATCGGGCAAGACATTAATCGGTCGCATATTTGTATACAGCTGAGAATTTTGAACTTTTGGCACAGGAGTAATGGTGGAACACTTTAATTTTGATGGGAATTCACCATGTACTAAACAATATATAATATTGAATTGAACATTTTACATCAAAACGTTCAGTGTTTAAATAATGTCAGATTTAGCAGTTTTATTAGATGATAACAAGTGTGATTTTTTGTGTAAGCGAACAATTGTGAAGGCGCGAATTTCTTTTGCAGACGAAATTTTATTCACGGTGGAGTAAGAATTTTTGTCAAACAAGGAATTTATTATAATAATATAGATGTTATTGTGAAGACAAAGTTTTCGAATGTGTTGCAGATTATTTTATTATATACGCAATTCAATTTTCTTGATATTTACCAAATATTTTTTACTATAAGAAAAAGCAAAATGTGGAATCCATCATTCTTCTTGTATATATCGGTGTATAGACTTTGGATTTGAAAGTGCAAAGCTTGTACTTTTCTCAACGTTTGAAGATATGCGCGATTTTTTCCGTACTAAAGCATTGAGTTGATTATGCCATGAACCTGCTATTTTCTTAATACTTTGAAGAGTGTGGAAGAAAACGATTTAGATTTATGAAGGATATGAAAAGATACTGAGTATGGAAAATTTTAATGTAATATCTGAGTCACTGTCTCGCACATCCGTATGTGGTTTCATTTATTACCCAAGACAATCAGGAGATGGCATTTTTTGTTGCTATGGGTTTTATTCAAATATTTCTTACGGTTTATACCTGTACCATGGGAACGTCATAATTTTGCATATTGACAAGTAGACTGTAACTGCATGACTCACAGCAATATATTTTTTGAGCGTATTAAAGTGATAACTAATGCCCAATGTATCATTCCCTTCATAATAATGTTGTAGTATTGTCATTTTGACTAAATACAAACAATGCAACTCATTTTTAAATACATAAGTATCAGTTTTATACAAATGATTAAGTCACTTTTCAATTATACAAGATAGAGCTTTTGATAAAGGCGAAAATGTTTTGTTGATTTTTCTAATAACACCCTATTCAGCTCACCAACGTCAACTCCTTATCACTCTGCGACAGCTATTGCTACTAATTACAGGTATATGATAAGAACTGCCATCACCATATTAGTATTAGCATTAAGTTGTAGCAAGCATTCAATATATTAGTTCTTGAACTGAAGCTTTGAAACAACAAAATTTTTCGCGAACGCAAATCTACGCCGACGATATGACATTCATATAAAATCGTTAACCAAAATATTCGATTGAAAGGCTTGAATACAGGTATGCTTATCATTGCTTCCAGCTTTTTTTTTCTCTTTTCTTTCGAGAAACACGTTAACTCAAATTTGGTTCCAGACTATTTTAACCAACCAAAAAAAAGATCTATACCAAATCTTCGAAGATGTTCATCAATATAATACCAGAAATAAGAGAAATTTGATCTCTGTACATTGGCGACTGCGAAAGTGCCACTAAATATACAACCACTACCTTTAAATGATTTTAAAACTCGTATTAGAAATATTTTGATCCAAAATGCTTTTTAGAAAATTGCTGATTTTCTATATATTGATTTTAACGTGTTGTGATAGTTCAAAACTTTTAAGTGCGATGTAAATGGCTTTCATGCTTCATGATTTTTTTTCAGACTGTGTTATGACGACTGTAAACAATTTTTGTATTCGCATGAATAAATAATTGAAACGAAATGAAATTGAAGCATAAAATGCATATGATAGTCTTATGAATGGAACATTAAATCGGAAAATGGCCTCTTCAGTTTTCCTGGCATAAAATCATTTTTCTGTCGTAATCTTCCATGACTATTTTGCATAAATGTAGTTGAATTTCGTTGATATAGCGTTTGCTATCATGCTTCAATGTACAAAAGTATGCTGGCTTATTTCTGTCTAACTTGATAATACCATTGATTAACGTATTCTACCTAAGATAGCCAACCTAATACTATATTCGCGCGTCCAAAAAATATCTGAGATAAAATAAGACACCGTAGCAACATCTATAAGAATTTGTCACAGCTGTTTCTTGATTTATACTTTGGAAAGGTTAGTGTCTCATAGATGGCGCTGCCTATGAGCATATACAACTTTAGGTGCACTACAGCGCCATCTATGAGACACTAACTTTTTCAAAGGACACATTAATAAATAGAAAAACAGCTGTGACCTCGGATATTTTTTAGAACGTGTGGATATAGCAGAAGGTTGGCTAAGTTTAGGTAGATTTCGTTAATCATTGATAATACTGCACTCATATGTTTCGGCGCCAGAATTTTTATGGGGTTATTTGAAGCCAAAGGACTGTGCAAGGACTTTTGCAAAATGAACATGAGAAGTTTCGTCTAAAAAGTGCGTAAGTGTCAGCAAAGCCAAGAAGGCAGTTTGCTTGATGTGCTATTGCATACAAAACCGTATTTTTGTACTTTAAGATCCAATCTACAACAACTTAAGAAGAGCTGTGTTTTTTATTAAATTCAAATTCTGTGCTAATCTTGGGACATACTTCATTTTCAAGCGCTACAAATACATCGATAGTGATAAGATGTTGTTAGTTGAGTCCACGAGCGGATTAGTGTGACAAAATCGATGAATTAAATGATTGTTATTACAATAATACCTTTGCTCCCATAAATGGTATTTAGAAAATATGCATTTACACTTATTTTTATTCGCAGCTTCCACAGCAAGATGACAAGCCTTATGATGCTCCCAATCACACTGCCCATCAAGCTTGCCAAAATACCGCCTCATCTAATAATGGGAGCAGTAGTGATTATAATTCGAGGAGTCAAGATGTCGTTCAATTTTATGTTCAAGATCCTGCCAAGATTCATCAAAAAAATCGGATTCACCTGGCCAATGCGCGGAATTAAAGATACGCTGAAAGGTATAAAGAAAGTAGGATACAACTGGCCACTACGGGCAATCAAAGACATATTGAGAGTAATCATCTTTCCCGTTAAAGTACCTTTTAAACTCATTGGTTGATGTACTCAATAGTAAAAATGATTTGTTGAAAATAAACCTATAGCAAATTGAGATATTATTTAGATTTTTTATCCTAGATTATAATCGCGCTTCTCTAGATATTATCTCGATGTTCCTCCCTCTTATTTTCCTCCCAGGGAATCCCAAGAAATCGGAGATTTGGAAGCAATTCAATGAAGTCTGTGGTAATTCAAGAGAATCCAGAAACATCCAAGGAAATTTCCTACCCTAGTAGTAGGAGATTCCAAGCAATCCCAGATTTTCTAGCACACTATCATCATTGACTAACGTAGTAGAGAGTAGAGTTGAGTTGACACGTAATAAAACGTCTTTATAACGACGAAATTTGTTCATCGCGTACTGATGATGATATAAACTAGTCACATCTTACGTATTTTAATGCTAAACAACAATCTTGCCGAGTTTGCAGTTCAGCATTTAATTACTTAAGATTTGACTAGTTTTAACATTCCATATCAGTACGCAACCAAGATTGCGGTTGGTTCTTGGACTATTTCTGGTTTACAAATAAAAACAGCGATCTATGTGCGGGCCGTTCTTGTTTTGGCGATTCGCTCATAGATAACTCTGCACCGAAGCGGTGTTGTCAACCTGCCATAAAATATTGAGAAAAAGCTACATTTATGCCGAACGAAATAAGTGAACATATCGTCTTAAGGCCAGGCAGTCTACACTAGCAACGAAGACAAATAGACCGACGATTGGTCAAGTAAGCAATTAGAGGTTAGACATCTTTTGAATCTCAAGCTGACCCACCTCTTTTGTTACTAAACTAAATCGTGTAATATTCCGCTAAAAATTAAATAGTTAGTGATAACTTACAGGTTTAACTTCTCTCGCGAAAAGTGATATTTTTGAATGAATACTATTTCGTAGGTTGCAAATGGATGATAAATATCCCCACCATGAATGAATGTTCAAACAAAAGTCAATTTGAACAAAAAATGCGTTCGCTGCAAGTGATGCCCAATGTATATCCATCCAAAAAGGATTATCTACCTAACGCCATCAGCTATTTTGTGCACGCCATGTTTTTGGAGTAATCTTTTATCTCTTTCTGATTTTATTCACCTTATCTTCTCTTTATATAACTACTCTTTGCTAATACTATAGCGCGTTCGAAAAATTACAAATATCGTTCTCCTCTCCGCTATAATTAAAAACCTATTTTGAAAACGTTAGTGTCTCATAGATGGCGCTGCAGCCAAATATGCATGAGCACCTAGCTACAGCGCAATCTACTAGATACTAACCTTTTTAAAATATACTTCTAATTGGTGCAGAGAGGAAGAAAAGTTGAGACAAATCCTCTTAGATGACGCTACGGCATCTCATTTCATTTGGGTAATTTTTCGTATTTGGTTGCCTATCTTCTGGCAAAATAAGTTAATCAATGCTATCATGAAATGATATTGAGCGACGCCAGTAATTAAAGTTACATAGACATATGGTTGGAGTACAAAGAGATTCGAGGATATCAAACGAAATCTGATCAGTGTATTTTTTCCGAATCATTATATATAATATAGTATTTTGATATTGCTCTGTTTATGTAACTATATTATGACTCACTTTTTGGAGGCTATAACTTTGTGAAACGAGTATGGAACCCAGGTAAACGGAATTTAATTTCTGAAAGTGTTTTATGAAACATTTTTTGAAAAAGATATAGGCCGTCGCGTCACAATTTCATCATCTTAGGATCCATCAGGAGATATTTTAGGCCCAACGGCGTTAGCGGAGGCACTGAATCCTCTTCAGAAGATACGTCTTAGGCTCCACATAGCACATTAGCGGAAGCCTCCGAGGTGGCGCATTGCACACCACTGGAGCTCCTATGTCATATTAAAGACCTCGAGGTGTGAAAAGCACCTGGGGGATCAAATCACCAAGAAGGCGTTGAAGCTGCTCTCGCCGAAAGCACTGACATATTTGGTGACAATAATCAATGCGATGCTCAGAATCCAGTACCTCCCTGCTGGGTGGAATACTTGAGATCATGATTCCATAGAAGGTGGATTCCTCAGGATTACCGTCCCATTAGGCTGCTGACAGCTCCTTCTAAGCTTGTCAAAAAGGTGATTTAATCACCATGTGATTCCTGACGTTGAATTCAGTTTTGGGTCCGAGTATAGCACCGAGCTACAGGCAGTCAGGCTGGTGAAACATGTAACCAGAGTGTTCACCCTCAGCATGAGTACTGGCTTCTTGCTTTTGGATGTCTCGAAAGCCTTTGACAAGGTGTGGCACGCGGGCCTCTTCTATAAACTAATCCAAAAGGGTTTTCCTTTTTGGCTTCTAAAACTAATGAAATCCTTTCTTGTAGGGAAGTAAGTTTCGGATCAAAATTAACAACGTTCTGTCAACAACAAGGCCAGTACGCGCCGGGTTTTCCTCAGGGCTCGGTCCTAAGACCAATCCTTTATTCGCTTTTTATCCATAGTGTCCCTTGCCCCAGCAAGTCTACCTCTATGCTGACTTGTCGCCCACTCGTGTACTGGTGATCTGCTTGCAGAGTGCGGTGGATGAAGTACTAGAGTAGGCGAAACGGTGTCTGATTAAAATTAATCATTCGAAAACGCAGGCTATTTGTAGCACCAAAAAAACGTCGCGGCCCACCAGCAGAGGTTTCTGTAGACGGCAATCGTGTATCATGGACAAGTTCTGCCTGGTATCTCGGTGTCACCCTTGGCATGACAACGGCATGACCTGGCAGAAACATTCAGCAGCCTTGAAAACAAAATTCTAAATTGCGTTTCGGCAACTATATCCTTTGTTATGTAGATCCTCCAAATTGAGTTTGACAATATAAAATGGTTATTAGACCAGCCATTACTCATGCATGTGCGGCTTGATGTTTTCTTGCCAAGACACACATGCAAAGTCTTCAAGTACTGCAAAGCAAAACTTTGCGAACAATTTGCAACGCTCCATGGTATGTCTAAAATGAGACACTACACAGAGACCTCGACATTCCTTACTTGAAGGATTATGTCAAGCTTCAGGCGCAGCGACGTTATAGTCAAGCGGAATCGCACAGCAACACTCGGTTGCGTGACTCAGTGGACTACACAGTGGAGCAAGTTCCTAAACATTCAAGGCCACGGCTAGCACTGTAATAAAAAATTAGCGCGACCTTTTAGTAAACTCAAAATTACACTCTAAAAAAACATGAATCAAAATTTATTAGTTCACCTCAAAATTAATACGCGTGCAAGTCAAAAAGCCTAGGTGTTTCCTCTTAAACTAAACACTTCTGTTTTTATGTGCTCTTCTCCGTTTTTCTTCTCTTTCCCTTACTCTTTTTCTTTGACATTGTCTGGTTTCTGGATAACCAGGACTGACAGATTTGACTAACGTAGATTAGACAGTGACTAATGGGCAAATGTCCTACAGACCGCTCAGGCAAACGAATGACAAATAGTATAAATGATGACCATTCTTGTCCGGTATTGTAGTCTGTCTGATTACAAATTTTGATACTTATGTATATGTGTCTACACATTGCAGACAATATTGCCAAGATATAGACGGGCCATATGCTGTGACATGTTCAATGTTCATGATGGCTCAGCATGAGCGCCTGCAGAGGACTGCCAAGCGGTCCTTGGCCCTCCTGAGAATCCAGTTATATCTCAGAATTTGCATATTTAGCATGATTTTGTGTACAATTTTAAGGATTTTTGGATTTGATGTTTCCTGAGAAAATTTGCTACCCTCCGCTTTTCAAAAATTTTGGGAGCAGGTACACCTTCACAAAAAGTTTTCCGTTGTCGTTGTCCTGCGGGCGCACATGTAGGCTGGGCGATAGCTAAGCTAGTTATAGCCAAATATTTCAATAAAACAAAAAATCACTTTATGGATACCCAAATGGTACAGCGCTATAATTTTAATAGATAAGAATGTAAAATTACAGAAAATTGATTCAAAAAATGTGTAAAAGGATAATTATACAAAAAAAAACAGTGTAGTGTAGCATTAATGCCAAGTAAATCTTCAACAAACAAATATTGCTGGTTTAGAGGCTCCATAACATGCAAACTCACCTATAACATCCTTCCTCAGAACTTGTAAAACCCAATAAAAATGTCGAGATCCTTGCAGCGCCACATCATACGCCGAATCCAAGATGACGGTTGCATGGTAGGTAAAATACATCAAATACTTCGCCAGCAAAGTTTCTGCTGCATCTCGAGAGTCGTTACTTTCAGAGTAAATCTTTCCAATTAGTAAACGTTGAAAACGTTGCAACAGCTCCAAGCTTGGTGATGGTGACGATTTTTGCGATGATTTGCTCATCGAGTTCAGTTGCTTCAAAGCTACTGTGCTGCTGTTGCTGGTGAATAAATATGAAAGAATTAACAACATAAACTTCTACTTTGACGGCACAACCTACAGTAGCCGAAAAAAGTTTGCAAACATTGTTAGTAATTTTTAAAAAGTGTGCTAATTTTTTATTCTTTATTATTAAGGACTATTTTTTCTCGTCTAGTTGTCTTGGCATAAAAATGACAATTTGTGCTTGCTGTGGTACTACAGACTAGCATTAAAATACCTTCATGTTATTTTACGACCGAAAATGAGACGAAAAAAATATGGAATGATTATAAAATTAAATACAATAACTCTACAAAAAGATTTAGCAAATATTAGGTAGCCTGGCCTTTAGCATTGAACACTGCCTGACATCTTCTGCTCATAGAAGACACCAAATTTTTACAGACGTCTGTTGGGATATTTTGACAAATATTTTTTACATAATCAAATAAATCGTTCCCATTTTAAAAGTTTTTTTGTCAGTTGTCTTTTAAAACGCTCCCAGAGATGTTCTACGAAGGCCATGTAAAAACATTAACATTTTTTAGTCTTAACCAGTGCTTTACGAATTTTGAGGTATGCTTGGTAACTTGCTGGAATGTCCATCTTAAAGGCATTTCTTCTTCAGCAGAAGGGAGCATGTCTTTACTAAGAATATCTTTGTAAAGTTTTTGATCCATTTTCCCAACAATTTTAACAATTTGATCCATTGCAGAATCTTTTTGTACTGGACGTCTCACATATGCCGTATCGTCAGACCCAAACCCAACAAGTTAAGTTTGTTTTCATCGCTCCATAAAACTGTATTCCATTGTGGTTCTGTTCAAGTTAGATGAGTTTTAGCAAATTCAAGCCGAGCAATACGATTTTTTTTAAATGAAAGGCTTTTGCACTGGACGCCTACCAAAAAGTCCAAAATACACCACGCGCCTCTCTCCTGTTCTGACAGAAAGATTCTCGGTACCCTCTTCTACGATACTTTTGAAACTCTGTGGGGCTGGCATTCGAGGATCTTCATGGAACAAAAGTTTAATGAAGCGATCCAAAACATAATCGTTTTTTTTTCGTCTTCCGCACCTAGGCCGCGTTGCTGTTGAGCCGTATTCTTGATAGTCACTAATAATTTTCGAAATCGTCACTTTGTTCATTTTTAATTTTTGAGAAATGTCAACATTTCTGACACCACTTCTAAGTAATTCAATTACTTTGTCTCTTAAATCTTTTGAAAATTCTTTTACTTTTGCCATTGTCACTGATGTTATATTATTTACCGCACGCAATATCAGAGTATCGCAGAACGAATAAATACCGCAAAACTGAAATGTTTCCATATAATTTGAATATTGATACGATAAACCTTGTATTAGTACGGGAGCCAATGGTAGACTTTAATATTTATATTATCTGCTCCTTCACAATTTCAATTTAGGTATATGGAATAGTTCATAATAATGTTTAACAATTTGTTTCCAAGCTTTTGTCCGCTACTGTATGTTGTCGGGACCGGCTTCAGAGTTGTGTGTGCCGTGAACCAAAGGATAACATATGCACCTTTCTCCCATAATGGAAAAATTGCCTTGCATGCAAGGCTTTCAAAATTCATCAAATGACAAAATCATTTACCAGTGAAACACTAACACTTCAGGAGATATGATAACCAAGATACAGAGTCAAATGGATGATAATAAAATGGATGGAATTCAATTATTAATTTTAACCAAAGTCTTTGTTACTGTCAACTATTCTGTGGAATAGGATAGGAATCATTTTCTAATCACTAATGGTAACGAAAGTTCCTCTAGACAAAACACTTATGTAGTTCTCCAGGAATCAGTTTTTTGGCCATTGTTATTCCTGATGTATGTCAATGCAAAAGATACTAAAATAATTTACTTTTGTAAAAATATTGATCATTTATTTATTTAAAAAACAGACTTCTGTGCACATAACATAGGACTTCAAAAATAAATTGATAGAAGTGGTTAATGTTTGTAAATTTTTGAAGTGATTTCTGCACGTGGATCAATAACTGGTATTTGTAATTTTTCTCAAAGCCATTTTTTGTAGAATAATTTTTTTTTAGATGTTTCTGAGTTTCCACAGAGTATTGTGTCATAATTATGTAATGTGACTACGGAACATGCTGAAATACACTTCCCGCAAAGTATGGTTACCGAGGCATTTTGCTAGCTGCCGAAGACCACATAATTGTGTAGACAGTCTAGAATATAAATAATTAATGTGGGATGTCCAGTTTAGTCTGGTTCCGAGAGATATAGAAAATTTACTGGTTCAGATATCACAAAAGGATGAATTTACTTTAGCAGTAGCTTGTCAATTTCTCTTCCACAATGGTCTCAAATATTTTCGGCGTTGTCTCCGCCCCTTTTTCATGAATATTGATAATTTTATAAATTTCGAATACATCCGGCTAAATACCCTTGAGTCCATAACAATCCATCGAAGGTGAATCTTTCGTAAATAATATCGCCCTTCTGACATCGTGGGGAAGTATTGGAGACATACAGAAGGAAACATATGGTTTGGGAATTTTATTCAGGAAAACTTCAGAATCAACATTGGACACCGAAAGCATGCTCAAGATTATATCCGAAATTGTCGTAAAAAGTGATCAAGCTCATCGGGAGATAAATTCTTTAAAAATATGTCTTACCGCATAAGTTGTCTAATAAGGTATAAAAGAGGAATAGACACATGTGAAGAAGATTGCTCATAGTTTATATCAGCATTAGCTAATTCCGAGATATCTGCAACTAGGGCTTCGTTCAAAGCAGTTTCTAGTCCACCATCTGCCATTAGGCTCCATACTAGAAGATCTATCATGAATCTGTCCCCAGAATGGCACATTTTGGGTTCCAGATCTAAAATAAAATAGGAAATTAGGTGAATGCAAATTATGAAACAACAATAAAACTCACCAGCATTCATCAACAATGACGATAGTGCTCCAGCTCTACCATTGGCTGTTGGTAGTAAAACTGACCAACCAGTTTGCAGAACTGCTTGAGCTGCCGCTTGGACCATAGGTAATACGTTGGAGGCACTGGCAAGGTGGACAGTCTGTACTTTTAAATTGGCTAAAAGCTTACTTGAAGGAGGAAGGCCTATTTTACTTGGATCCATTTGGTTAGCTACGATACTATGTAGCTGGAATTTAACAAAATAAGACGATATATCAACTAATCCTTTAATTGTCAAATATATCAAACTGGAGGGGCGGCAGCATAACGGTTGTTGATGTAGCGGAGCACTATAGGCAGAACTATGAAGTTTTGTCCCGACACAACGATGGAACAGCGAGGAGCGTGCTTATGCCATTGAAGCCTACTTTTTGAGTGGAGTGATCGCAACCGAGCGCGCCTTTCGGAATCGCTTCAATTTAGCCCAGTTGACACATGCCCCGGACCTTAAATCAATTGTTATGTGGGTCACTACGTTCAGACAAACTGCACGCGAAGAACTGACGTCCCTTGGCCCATTAGGTCACCTGAAAATATTTAGGCAGTGATCTCCTTGGTGTTCTGCGCGCAAACATGCGTCTGCCCTTGGACTTTCCCATCGTTCTGAGAGGAGAATTCTTCATGATGATCGTGATGAACGTGACTTCAATTCTCGTTAAAACGCATGTGAGCGTCTTCTCGATGTTCCTTAGGACGCTATTGTTGTTTTTAGTGATGAAGCCCATTTTAATTTGTATGGATTTGTCAACAAGCAAAACATACTAACATCAAAAAATTGAGATACGCCCTCCCCACCTCTCTACAACCCCCACTACCAAAATATGTATCACGAGATTTTTTAAAAAATGATCGAGATCCTCCGGAATGTGAAAAAACGTTTGAGCGATTTTTACTTATTTCGTTTTTGGGCTTGTTCTTCACCGCCACGGGACCGATTTTCAAAAACTACAAAGCTTTTTCGTCCTTGGCATAGAATTAGGTAGTTCGGAAAGTTCTAGCGGTTTTTGTTATTTATATTTTAAAAGATGTATTTTACACTAACATTTACTTATAATACTTTGACTTTATATGTATATCATTTTAAAGCGCGTTTTTCGCTCTATCTAGTCCTTCCTCGTCTTCGTTTTGTTTTACGATAAAATGTTTTTTTCTCGACTTCAAATATAGAATGGACAAGAGGCAAATTCGCACGATTTTCTTATTTTAGTTTAAATCAGGTCGAAAACCTGCCGCGACATCTCGCGATTTCAGCGATGCATTTGGCCGAGGAACCACTAACAAACGTACGGCACAACGGTGGTTCAAGAAAATCCGCAGCGGTGACGAGAGCCTTGAAGATGCAGTGGTCGGCCACATGATGTCGACGACGACGAATTAAAGTCACTGGTGGAAGCAAACCAGCACACTACTGTTCGTTAGCTTGCGGAGGAGCTTGGTGTGGGTATTGCGACCATCTCCGACCACTTGAAGCGGATCGGAAAGTCAAAAAAGGTCGATAAATGGATACCGCACGAATTGAGCGAAGATAATCGTCGTTTTGAGGTGGCATTTGCCCTTGTTTTACGCAACAAAAACGACCCGTTTCGACCATAGGCGACGTTATGCGCGATGGTTGGATAGAGACGAGGCTCCACAACACTCTCCGAAGCCGAAACTCCATCCAAAGAAAGGTTATGGTGACTGTTCGGTGGTCTGCAGCCGGTCTCAATCGACGAAATGCATCAGAATCTCCGACGTATGTGCCTTAGATAGGTCAATATGAAGGGGCCAATTCTCTTCCATGACACCGCCCGGCCACACGTCGCACAACCGACCCTGCAAAAGCTGAACGAATTGGCCTATGAAACTCTGCCTCATCCACCATATTCGCCGGACCTCTCGCCTACCGACTACCACTTTTTCAAATACCTCTACAACTTCCTTCGCGAGAAATGCTTCAATAACCATGACGATGCCAAAAATGCCTTTAATGAGTTCATCGCCTCCAGAGCTCCGGATTTCTACGTTAGCGACATAAATAAACTTGTTCATCGTTGGCAAAAGTGTACTGATTCTAAATGTTTTTATTTTGAGTAATAAAGTGTTGTTAAAGCTGAGATATGCTCCTTTGAATTTGAAAGTTAAAAACAGCAAGAACTTTCCGAACAACCTAAAAGTAATCTTGTGTGTAAATTACAACCAAATGCAAGCAGTACCTACTTTCCAAATTAAAGTAAATATTTAATAATAACTACATTTACCTGAAGTTGCAACAAGTTCAAAGCAGCTACTGCTAAGCATTCCGTATCTTGGGTGGAAGGAGTATTATTTGCTATTACCGATTGTAAAAGTTGGTCAATATACCTAAAAAGGACACTTGTAATAAATTATGAATAATACATCTAACATAGACATTAGTAACTATCATTTACGTATCCTCACCTAAAAGTATGTTCGTTGAGATCAATAACAAAAGGCAAGGACGTCTTTGGCTTGAAGGAATTAATGTCGGTCCATGCAAAGCTCTGAGTGGGTCCGCATGAGATTCCAATAATTTTTTGACCATTCAAAGGCTCAATCAGTCTTGGTGTGTGAATATACAGTTCGGTACTGTCACAAATTTGTCTGTTTTCATTTTTACCCCAACCATATACCTCTCCAGTGTCAGTCAGTGCCAGTACATGGGCAGTACCAAGGCACACAGATACCACATTTTTGTCTTGCAATGCTTCAACTATTTCAGGTACCCTTACGTGTTCTTCCGTGGGGTGTCCTAACCTCCAACCTTCTCCCTAGAAATATTGTTGGCTTAAACATAGTGTCAACTAGGTGAACCTGTTACTGTACACGTATTAATCTATATTTCAATTATTAGTTTAATTTTTTGAGGTATCATGAAATGTTTAAAACGTAATAATGGGTCGAGTTCGCAATTACTATACCTTACCAGTGTGATTAAACAAAAACGATGATTTAGGAGCTAGATGATGAAATTTCACTCACCTTTCCCCATGAATATAATTTGCCCTCTTTACTAATGGCAACAGTGAATTGGACACCACAGTAAACTTCTTTAATTTCGACATTTTGTAACTTCTCTATCAGTCTTGGAACTTTTGAACCCTCAGATCCGCCCCTACCTACGAAACATATTTTGATTAAAATTAAGCTGATAATAATGATGACAATGACACCATAAAATCCTTGAACTGAGTCACAAAACGTCATTTTGGTATTCATTGATTGCACCAGTGGAGTTCGTACTGAATTTTTCACCTGCCTATTTTGACTGACATTTATGGTACGCCACTGATTTCTCTCAAAATAAAAATTATTCTTGAAATCCTAAATCATTTCTAAGAAAATTTGATCATGCGATTTTTTCCACCTGATGCATGGTTTCCGCTTAAAAAAATCATCATCATCGTCCCATTAGAGCAGAACTAAATATGCAGCAGCGGACAAAAGTTTGGAAACAAATATTAACATTATTATGAGCTATTTCACATACCTAAATTAAAATTGTGAAGAAACAGATAATATAAATATTAAAGTCTACCTTTGGCTCCCGTATTATTACAAGGTTTGTCTTATCAATATTCAAATTATCTGAAAATAAAAACACGCGTTTTCTTAAATACCACAGTTTTTGTAACGGCAGAAGTATGGAAACATTTCAATTTTGCCCCTTTTATTCGTTCTGCGATACTCTGATATTGCGTGCGGAAAATATTAACATCAGTGAAAATGGCAAAAGTAAAAGAATTTTCAAAAGAGGGACAAAATGATTGAATTATTCAGAAGTGGTGCCAGAAATGTTGACATTTCTCAAAGATTAAAAATGAACAAAGGGACGATTTCGGAAATTATTAGTAAATATCAAGAATACGGATCAACAGCAACACGGCCCAGGGTCGGAAGACTGAAAAAAAAAAAGATTATGTTTTGGATCGCTACATTAAACTTTTGTCCCATGAAGATCCTCGAATGCCAGCCGCAAAAGAATCGTAGAAGAGGGTGCAGATAATCTTTCTGTCAGAACAGGGCAGAGACGCTTGGTGGATTTTGGGCTTTTTGGTAAGCTTCCAGGGCAAAAGCCTCTCATTTAAAAAAACAATGGAATACAGTTTTATTGAGCGATGAAACCAAAAGTAACTTGTTTGGATCTGACGGTACGGCATATGTAAGACGTCCAACACAAAAAAGATTCGACAAAAAGTATCAGTTGCCAACAGTTAAGCACGGTGAAGGCAACATCATGGTTTAAGGATGTTTTTCTAGTTCTGGAACGGGTCCAACTGTTAAAATTGTAAGACGTCCAACACAAAAAAGATTCGACAAAAAGTATCAGTTGCCAACAGTTAAGCACGGTGAAGGCAACATCATGGTTTGAGGATGTTTTTCTAGTTCTGGAACGGGTCCAACAGTTAAAATTGTTGTGAAAACGGATCAAAAACTTTACAAAGATATTCTTAGTGAACAAATGTTTCCTTCTACTGAAGAAGAAATGTCTTTACGATGGACATTCCAGCAAGATAATGACGTCAAGTATACCTCAAAATTCATCAAGGACTGGTTAAGACTAAAAAATGTTAATGTTCTTACATGGCCTTCGCAATCCTCGGACCTAAGCCCCACTATAGAACACCTCTGAGAGCATGTTAAAATACAACTGACAAGAAAAACTTTCAAAAAGAGGAACGATTTATTTGATTATGTAAAAAATATTTGGCAAAATATCCCAACAGACTATATGAGCAGCAGATGTCAGGCAGTGTTGAATGCTAAAGGCTATGCTACCAGATATTAGTTAAAAGCATTTTTTAAATATTTTTGTATTGTATTTAGTTTTGTAATAAAAAATATGTTTCCATACTTTTGTCGTCTCATTTTGTAGCACCACAGGAAACACAAATTGTCATTTGTATCCTCAAGACTGTAAGCAAACTATATGAGAAAGAAAATAGTCCTTAATAATAAAGAATAAAAAATTAGCGCACTTTTTAAATATTACTAAGAATGTTACCAAGCTTTTGTCCGCTATTGTAGATATACCACGGCCAAAAACAGCAATTGCATCATTCCGCAGATAAAATAGTTCGACGCAACAGGGTTAGCAGCGTAGAACATAAACTAAATTTTTAATCGGCCATTTTCAGAATTCTCCGCCAGGGTATACATGGGATACTTCTACAACGCGAGGTTACCTTCAATACGCCATATAAGATATAAAAACAAATTTGTAAATTTTTAATATCGTTAATCACCAGATATCTTTTGTTTTTTTAGGTGAAAACTGTGCGTTGGACAAAAAAACAAGGATGATGAACAGATTTAGTTTTTCTTTATTTTAAAAAAGTCAGCGGCGTACTGACTTTCTATATTGAAAACTTGTATCCGAAAAATTAAGACGGTGATGACATACTTTCATATGAAGTTTTCTTAAAATGGATACAAAAATCGCCCCCTTAATGATTGTTATTCAATTAATAATAAAGATGTTCCATTACAGGAAAAAATAATTTCGCTGGCATAAAGTACCCAAAGAGCTAAGCATAATATATTGTTTACCAAGTTTTCCATAGTCTCCATCGCCCCAGCTGTATACTTTTCCGCTAGCGTTGACGCATAAGGTATGTGCGTCACCAGATCCACAAGCTACCTTCACAATATGCTGTCCAGTCAGAGCAGCCACAACAGTAGGCACTAGACAGTCGTCGAAAGTGCCGTGCCCCAGTCTTCCGTAGTTACCTCTACCCCAAGTATACAAGTGACCATTTGCTGATATGGCAGCACTAGAAAATTAGAAATATGAATACCAGTTCACATAAACGACGCATCTAACTATGTGTTCATACCTGTACGTAGCTCCACACTCAATATCAACAATATCCTTCGCTTCTAAAGCCTGTATTAGCGTGGGTTCGTCTTTGAAAGATGTATCTCCATGACCAAGTCTTCCGCCATCTCCATTACCCCAAGAATATACTTCATGGTCTGCAGTCAAGGCCATGAAGTGTTTTCCTTCAGTATATGCTGCTATCTTTACTACTTCCTTATCTCTCAAAGCTGAAACGGTAATTCTTATTAAGGTACCGAAATTGCTACTGACGAGGAAGCCGAAACGTTAACCAAATTATCCCCCCAATGTTTTAATTATTGCCCAAAATAAATGGGGAAAATAGAACGATAAAAGCAGAAGTTATATAATAAGGTATGTCAAGAAGATTCTTATTTCAACATCGGCCATAGCAATTTTGGGCTCTAAATGGTATCTAAGCACACCAATGTCGTAGTCCAATAAAAGAGGGTCGAACCTGTAATATACCTGGATTATAGTAATATTTACCTTCGATAATTTGAGGACACTGCGTTTCTGAAGTATAGTACATGTAATAGACCTTTCCAGCACATGTTAGAATCAAGATGCCTCTTTCTGAACATCGAATTTGCTTAACTGTCAGTTCTGATAGAGCTTCACAATTCTGGGGGCCATTACCAACTAATCTGTAAAACCATCCCCAACCGAACACTCTCTGGCCATTGTAAAATTGTGATGACTGAAAGAATACATGCTGTCAGTTCCTAGTAAATATGATTAATATCTCCAACACTATACTTCAAGAGAAAATTGCTTGTTCTTGAAAACGACATCAACCTTTTTTAGGAACATCAACATCAACGTCCCGCGTAATTACTAAGATTTCGTATTCTCGAAATTCCACGACTACAGGAAAGGAAGACCCATAATGTACGGCAACACCCCGAGAGATGGCGACGCTGAGACGGTGTTCGATGGATATATACAGGGTGTCCAGTGGGAAAGTTCACATTTCAAATTTCAGATAGTAGAGCGCAACTTGCTTTTGCTATCGAGGCTTACTTTAAGAGTACCAAGAGATGCCCCAAGTAAGAACCTATTGAAAAATTGGATCATTGAAAATCCTCGGCGTTATGTACGGAAGCATTCCGCTTCTTTGCGAATCCCTAGGTCAACACTGCATGGCATAAAGAAAAAAAAAATGGGCTTTCACCCTTATAAAATCCAATCAGTCGATGCTTTAAAGGAACGGATGTTGAATTTGTTTAATACGCAGCGCAGACACGAGAACGTTGTTTTCAGTGACAAGGCCCATTTTCACTTAGACGGATATGTGAACAAGCAAAAGTGCAAATATTGGGCACCAACGAACCCAAAAGAGAAACATCAACTACAGCTACATAGTTCAAAGGTGACCGGTGCGCCATATCCTCTAGCGCTATTATTGGGCCGTATTTCTTTGAAGATGAAAACGGTCATGCATTGACAGTCAATTCCAAGCGATACAAGGACATGATTGACACTTTTTTGCTCTGTAAGAACAGAACTTCGATTTAACAGAAACACAAGGTTTCCACAGGATGGGACCACTGCCCATACTTCCAGAGAATCGATGTACACGGTGAAAGCACTTTTTCCTCAAAAAGTTATATTGAAGTTTGGAGACATTCTCTGGCCTCCTAGGTCACCCGTAGTGATGTAAAATAATTAAGTAACGCTTACCTAATAATAGTTACAAATGAGTAACTAAATGTAACGAGTCCTACTTTTTGAAAAGACTCGTTACTTTTTATTTGAATTCGTTACTTTGAATGCGATACGGTCTTTTTCAATGTATACTTTTTAATTACTGTTAGTTTCTACACTATACATTACTTTAGATACAAACGTTACTGGGATCTAATGTAGCCAGTACTGCCAGCGCCAGCAGCAAGTGACTTGGTTCTTGGATGTAAACTGGGTGGAAATAAAATGATGCGAATATCGTTAGGCTTAGGCAACTTTAGATACTCTTCTACCAAACGAGTTGCGGACTGCGGAGCTTTAGGTTGGCAATGTTTGTGTACACCTGTACACTTTTCATTTGACTTTGAGAGCTAGCGGTTGGCGGGTTGTTACTGATTTGGACGTTGCCGTACAAGCTCGAGCAATAATATAATTATTATTTGTACAAAAATATGGAATCATCCGCGTCCGGTTCAGGAGAATCGCAAACTCAAAAAAGAAGTGTTATTTGGATGCATTTCACCAATATATCGGAAGCTAATGCAAAGTCTAATCTTTGTAAAAATATTTATTCGCATAAAAATGGAAACATTAGCAATTTAAGGAAGCATTTGAAAACTAAACATGCGACTCTTTCATTGGAAGGAGAAAGGGCAAAACGGCGGGTGGAAGACGAAAATATGCCTAGGTGCAAAAGGAACTTAGTTTCAGGTATGTTTTATTATTATAAGTATTTTGTTGAACACCATTTACAGTGGAGTAACCAGACTGTTAAGTAGGACAGCGGAGTAACCAGACTGTTAGGGCAGGGGACGCTACTCAACTAAATTAAAGAGTGAGGAGAGTGGTTCCTCCACGGTACCCATCTGGTTATGCCACTTGTTAAATACTATTTGCAGCGTACAGCCAACGAACGAGACGTCACACAACGACGAGTTTAAAATATAAGTACCTTCTACGTTTTTTTTTTTTATACTCCAACTACCACGAAGGCCTAAGGCCTAAGCACCCATTGGGTACCGTGGGGCTATGGGGGATACATGGGAAAGGGGGGACGCCACACGGACTCTGGCGAGGGAACACGTGTGCATGCAACATGCACACATTCTGGCTCCGCCTACGAGAACCGCCGGGTGGTACCTCCGCGTTCGACAGTCAGAGACCATCTACCACCTACGGACAATCACAACATCCATGGCCAAGAGAAACATTTCTCCTGGGACGGGACTCGAACCCGCACAGCGCACGGCGGCTGATCAGGAGACCGAAGAGTCTACTACTGCGGCCACCGCTGCTGCCTAAAACAAACACACAACATCCATGGCGAAGGCGAGATTCGAACTCGCGGCCCGGCCGGCCGGCTGATCAGTAGCACGGCACTCTGACCCACGCGGTCAACCGAGGTCCCAACGTATCAAATATCAAAAAAATTAATAGGCAAGGCATTAGGCAAAAAATAATAATTGGATCAATCCCAAAGTAATAATTTCATATAATATATAGAATGTAGGTTCTAAACGAAATGTTCAAAGAGTAACTAAACTAACGAGTCCAAAGTTCGAAAGTAACGAGTCCTTACAGGTCCTAAAAAGTAACGAAACTTTGCATCACTAGTCACCCGACCTCACGTCATGCGATTATTTTTTGTGGGGTTATCCAAAGTCAAAACACTGGAGGAGCTTAAAGACAACATTCGACGAGAAATAAACATCTCTCTGGAACTCTGCAAGAGATTGTTTCAGAATTTGCGCGCGCGATTAGAAGAGTGTGTCTGAAGGGATGGCAAACATTTGGACGGAATATTTAAGAAGTAAAACCCGACAATTTACGATTATGTTGATAAATAAATATTTTCTTTTCATGAAGTTTGTATTTTTTTTTCTTAAATCAAAAAGTGAACTTTGCCACTGCACACACTGCACCATACCATCTCATTAATGTATATATATATACGTAATGTACATGTGAGGTCTTACAAACTAATTTATTATCTCTTCGATCGACGACATAGTTTCAACGTACTCATCAACTATAAATAGAAACAGTGGTTAATTATTATTTTTTAGCAAACTTTGAGAAGTAGAGTAGCGATTAGATATATTTTCAAAATTATGTTCTTAATTTGTATTGACGAATAAATTACACAATTGAACGTTAGGACTATTATTTTTAGTTGTAATCAAACGCGAGTATGGATTGCTAGGTAATTAATATTATGTATATGAGCGCGTATTTCTGCTTATTTATATTTCTTGGCACATAACAGGACTAAAACTATAACTTGATGGAAGTGGTAATATTTGTAGATTTTTGAAGAGATTTCTACGATTTTTTAAGAATACATATACAGTGGAATCCACTTATAATGAACTTGCTTATAATGGAAACCCGTATAGTATAAAGGACACAGTTTAAGGTCCTATAAATAATTGCATGTAAAATCCTCGGACATTATAGACTCGTTTAAAATAGACCCTCGCTTATAGCAGACTATTTTAATCTATTATATGCGAGCTACTTTCGTAGTTCCCCGAAGCAGATTTAGCTGATGCTATCGTTTACGGCGGTTTGGCTTCGCAGTTTGCATTCGAACTTGGCCACCAGTGTTATACTGTATTCATTAGAGTTATAAACATGTCGAAAAATGCGAAACATGCATTCACTTTACACGAAAAGTTCACTATAATTAGTGAGCTTGAGCAGGGTGCATCTCAAGCAAATATATGTGCTTGTATGGCTATAAAAAAATCCACTGTGTCAAATATTTGGAAAAACCGTGACAAAATCAAAAATGACTGGAAATCAAATAGTCAAAAAAAAAAATGCGGCTATCGCTGCATCCCCAAGTCGATGATATGTTGTTTAAATGGTTTTAACAAAAGTGTGCTAATAATTTTCCAATAAGTGGACCTATGCTACAAATAAAGGGTGAAGAATTTGGGAAATTGTTTGGAGATTGTTTAAGAAAAGACATAACATTGTTTTTGGGAAAATGTGTGGTGAGTCAGCTTCAGTTGACAAGAATGTTACCAATGACTGGATTTCTCAAGTTTGGCCCGTAATATCCAGTGATTATTAACGATAACATATTCAATGCAGATGAAACCGGGGTATTTTATAGAATGCTGCCAGATAAAACTCATAAATTAAAAGGTGAAACTTGCAATGGAGGGAAACTATCAAAAGAGCGAATAACTGGAATGATTTGTGGTAAGTGAATGAATAGAAATTCATGTTCTAATTTTTTTGATATTCAACGGCAGGGCTGCAAAACATGTATGACCTTTTTCTTATTTCAGGGAAATTTCAGAATCCCAGGTGTTTCAAAAATGTTAAAACAATTCCCGTCGATTGTGTTGGAAATAATAAAGCTTGGATGACTTCATGAATTTTTGAGAAATATTTAAAAAAGTGGGACGCTTAACTTGTTAAGAAAAATCGTAAAATTTTGCTCTCGGTCGATAACTGCCCCACTCATCCAAATATTTCACTTAATACTCGTAACATCAACCTTCAATTTTTTCCACCCAATGTGACATCAGTTCTGCAACCAATGGACCAGGGTGTCATTTGGAGTCTCAAACAAATGTATCGGAAACATATGTTGAAATTATGGAGCTTCAAGAAGATGTCAACATTACCAAAGCTGTCACCATTTTAGATGCTATAAATATGCTTACTATTGCATGGGAATTGATTACTCCAAAAACGATTCGTAATGGTAAACGATTTTAATCCAGAAGATGAAATTCCAATAAATTATTTACTGAAAATTAATGGTTTACTGAATATAGACAAATTTAATGAGTATGTAAATGTTGACAATAATTCAATAGCAACACAGGAATTGCCAGATTCCAATTTGGTTAATGAAGGATCCGTTGATAACGAACAGGAAAACGAACTAGAAAACAACGATGAAGAAGAGCCTCCAGTGACAACTAAGGAGGCATTAGACTGCATGAAAAAGTTGCAACGTTATTTTCAGCAAGAAGAAGACAGTACAGTCTCACTTACCAAATTAAATAAAATTCAACTTGCTGTTCTAAATAATTATACAAAAAACAATCTGTTCAAACTAGCTTTTTTACCAAATAATTTACGGTTTTTACACATACCTACACAGTACGTACGTACGCCTGTAATATGTGTATCAGATTCTGAAAAAATTCAGATTTCAAAATTACGTATAACTTTTTTGTATGTAACTTTATTTATGTAATACATGTTAAACAAACACATTCTAAGCTTTTAACATGCTATTTGTGCTGCTTTTTTCATTAAAAAAAAGCGTTTCTTTTAAGATGGTCATCCGCCTATAATAGACTATTTGTCACAATCCTGACGAGTCCATTATAAGCGGGTTGCACTGTAGTTGTAAGCATTAATGGTTGGGAAGCCACGACACATATGCTTATTGTCGCGTAGACACGGGCTTCAATTAGATTGGGTATTTTCTGATGAAATATGCATAACGCATAGTAAACAAACAAAAAAGAAACAGTACACTGAAATGTATATTTTTACCTTATTGAAAGATAGTGGTGGAATGTGGGGACTAGCAAGTCTATCTAAGTGAGCCATTATACAAACAGCAGCTTGTCTGAGATCAACTTCATAGGTGTTATCTTCTGGCAGCTCAAGCAGATCCAAGAATACTTTTGTACTGCAAGCACGATCGTCATTTTCACTTTTATTTGAGTTAATTGATTTTTCTGGTGCTATTCCGGCAAAACGACTTATAAAAGGCAGAAGTGGTGCACTGGCATCTTCCATCGGTGATCTAGAAATATTGGTAATTTTAAACTGCATCCATTACACAACCCAAATTCTGCATCATCTAGCAAACATTCTCAATCAATTTATTATCATTATCATCTGTTTTAATTATACACTTTCATACCTGTTATCATTGATATGCGTTCTTTTGTCCCACAATGACAAAAGTAGTAGGACCATATCCAAAGTACTACTCAATGTTCCCTTCTGTAATCCAAACTCTAATAACAGATTCAATGATGTGTGTTGGTCCTCAATGGGCACATTGCAGTACTGTCTACCACTTGTCACATCACTGAAAACGATAGAACAACTATATCACTACAGGATCAAATTAAGAGTGAACCAATAGTAACTATTAGCATTGATCAACATATCCCACCACAATATACAAAATCCAACTGATAGTCGTGACTTCGCGAAAATAAGCATACATACAATGGCGCCGTCAACCACTTACTAATCGTTGTTGTATATACAGGTTGTTCTCAAAGTTGTGACTTGCCTTTAAAAATGAGCAGGTTTTTCTAGTAACATATACAGAAAAGTCTTAGGTTTACCGAGATATTAGGATCCGCAACATAAACCAAACCTAATCTGGTAGTACACCTCGGTCAGTTCAAACATGGATACATACGATGCACGTCAGTACCCAATCCGCGTTGGTAAAGACAAACTTTACACATCGGCTCAAAAAAAATGGCACACTCATACAGAAATATCGGAGTGGTCAGTATCATTTTAATGTAGGGTGAGTGTCTTCAAAATGATACCGAGGCTTCGCGATTGCATGCAGATCATTTTTCAAGATCCTTCGTGATTTCTTTTTTCGACATAAAATCTTTAGTGTATATAACAGGTGAGCTCGGTTGATGAACTAAGTGTGCGAATTTAGCAATCTCTTGTATTCATTCGGGAAAGCCTGCCTACACTGACGCTTGGCTACGTCTATACATAAATGATTTACCTGCCATAGTCAAAAAATGCAAAATTCAGATTTTTGCTCATGACACTATGATTTATATAAGTACTAAAAATATTCAGACTGGTAACTCTTATATAAATGAAGACTTGAAACTTGTCTCAAAATCTAACAGACTAAAATTAAATACAAGTAAAACGAAAGCCTTGTTAATCGGAAAAAACAATGTACAAATGTTCAACTGAATATTGATGGTGAAGATATTGAATTCGTAGAAAATTTTAAATACCTGGGGGTTTTTGTTGACTCTCGAATAATTTTTGATATCCATTATGAAAAAGTTATAAATGAGATTAGTAGTAAAGATATTTATCTAGAGTTTCTGGATATCTGAGTTCATATAGCAGAAAAAATATCTATAATACCATCATTCTTCCAAATTTATTGTACTATTCGACTATTCTATATTTAGCAAATAATTCCATTTTTCAAAGACCGCAAATTTTAAAAAATAAGTGCATGAGAATAATACTGAATAAAGATAAATTTACTCCAATTAGGCAAATGCTTAGCAAATTAAAATGGCTCAAAGTAAAAAATTTTATCAAATATCTTGTAATGATATTCATTTATAAAGTAAAAAATAATATATTTCCATCAAGTCTAACTAATTTAACATCATCAAATTTCGACCATCATTTACATAATACCAGAAATAAAGATGACTTCCATTTAATGACCAAAAATTATAACAATATGCTACAAATCTGTATTCCATCAAGGGTTGATTGAATATAATAAATTATACTCGGAGATAAAAGACCAGAAAACTTTGACAAAATTTAAAGTAAAATTGAGAAATCACTTGTTAAATCTACAATTATAGGTTGCCCAGCATTTACATCATACATCATATGGCTTGAATTTACTGGTTCTAAGTTGTTTACAATTATTCTGTTTATGTAGCCAAATGTGCTAAATAAATCTTTCTACTACTACTACTACATACATGTGTATTTGAATCTAATGCAAACAACTTTAAACAATACTGAAAAGTGACAGAGCTGTACTTGAAATTTCTTTCCAATGAACAGTGAGTACTTTCTCATTATTTCTCTTTACTTTTTCACTGTTGTTTCACCACAAATTAGCTTTGTCATTACAAATGTAATTGTTTTTCAAAAGGAATGTTCCAACTTTCGGAGCACCTTGTAAGTTCACATACGTGTCCACCACCGCCTTTGGAATACAGCCCAGTAAATGAACACCTAACAAAAAATTGTATTTAGGTTAATGATGAATTATTGCGGGATTTTTGAAGCATCAGATTGATAAAATAATTCTTTGAGCCATTTACAAAGCTCCAAAGTTGATGAAAATAACAAAAGATGCACAGAAGCAGCTAAATGTTAACGTGATTGTATTAAAATTCAGTTTTGTGGCTTCTAAGGGAATTACTGCGATCCGATTTGACAGAAATGCCTGTGAAGATGGGAATTGAGTAAGTGAACGTCCAAGTACAACATAGGACATCTTCTTGGAGATCACGTTGATAAATGCTACTGGTAACCAACAGAAATCCTTACCCATTAACAACCTGTCTCAAGAATTTTGAGGATCTCTCAACAACTTCAAGCCACACGGGTGAGACGTCATTTTTTTCGAAAAGTGTGGCTGGTGGTAACATTCGCATCGCATCCAAAGATTCGTTTAGCAACTCGTTGCATAAGTCAACGTCTTCGCCCATTCTCCAAGCACGTCGCAAAAATGCAAAAGAAAAATTGAGAGCTGCTCTTGAACCAACCCTCGCTAGACCTGAAAAAAGCATAGACCATTACATATAAGCATCAAGAAACAAGAATATAATACTCCAAGGTACAATAAAATATGGACTTATGCGGGACCTGTAAATTAAGTGATGAGACTGAACTGTTTTAATTTTTTTATTCGAATAAACATACAATTTTATACTGTCACTCTCAAAATAACTTCCTTCTGAATCCACACAGCGCTGAAGACGGTTCTTCCACTCCTCAAAGCAGTCCTGGAACTTCGATACTGGAAACTGGAATAGCCTTCACCTGGTCAGTTACAGCCATTTGAATGTTTTCAACTGTCCCAAAATGAGTTCCCAGGTAATTATTCAACTTCGGGAAGAGAAAAGAAGCACACTGACTCAAGTCAGGCGAATAAGCAGGCTGAGGAATCCCAGGTCACAGGAATGTTTTTACTGGCCAACAACTCGTTTATTGACATTGCTGTGTGACAAGGAGCATTATCGTGATGCAACACCCAGTTGCTCTTGTTCTGATGTAAGTCAAATTTAACTCCCGGTCATTCTGACTGTCAACCGACGATCTTAAAGCACAACATCCCAGATTCTGTCGAAATTTTCGTTGGAAGATGAAGGCCTTCCGCTTCGTGGATCATCTTCAATCGACTCTCTCCCTGAAAATGCCTTAACCACCGAAAAACCTGGGATATTGACAAAACACTATATCCATAGGCCTGCTGAAGTTTAGCAAGAGTTTCCGTTGCACTCTTTCCAAGTCTAAAGCAAATCCTGATAGCACATCGTTGCTCCAAATTGATGTCACGCATTTTTAGAGCACAATAGAAAAAAACTGTTTCAAAAGTATAATATAGTAGCTACGGACAACCAAATGACTCGCGCGAGTTCATACTTGTACTGAAGGCGGATCAGATGTTCCCTTGCCTCCCCTTCAAGCCCGGCTCCTCCAGTGTTGCCAGATCGAAGGCTACGTTGCCAATCTCATCACTTAATTTGCAGATCTTGTATAAGTAGTAGCCTTTATAAAGGAGTTCTGAAACATCAATGATAAGGAGTCCGTCAACAGCCAGTCAGTCGCAGTGGCGAAGACTACATTTTAACTTGAATTGCGATTTATTTATCACCGCCAAATATCGTCTACCGTCATTTGTTAAAACAATCCCCTGAAGTCACTTTTAATGATTAATGATTATGCTGCAAGATACGTAAGTATTTTGTGTTGCTCATTAAATGTATCGAGGAAATCGCGATTACAGATGCCACGTGATTTTGCGTAATACGAGTACCGAATATCCGTTTTCCATTTCCAAGCTCGATTTGTAGTTAGGCATTTCACAGTAATGGCTTGACTCGTTTCATTGCAGTGTAGTCCACTTCACAAGAAAAGAAAAACAGCGAAAAACATGTGGAGCTGTTTTGAGGAAGTCACTATAGAAAATGTGAACAAATATGGACATGTGATAAAGAGCAAAGTAATCGCAAATGAGATTTTTATCTAAAAACGGTTCTCTTAATCGGATAGCAGACCTTTACAAATGGGCATTGAGCATACAACCATATCCAAAATTGACAGAATTCGGTAAAAAATATCCATCATTGTGAAGAGATGCTTTTTTGAGAAGTTTCTGAGGAAAAGCGGAATCAATTGCTATCAAGAAATGCTGAATAAAAATTTTTCATTCTTCACAAGCCACGGTTGGTAATGTTAAAGTATTAATTATAACGATTGTTTTTGAACCGAATAGTTCCCAATATTCGGTCGAATACTGAATAGGTTAAATAATGAATAGTAACCAAACATAGTGTCACCACTAATCAAGAACACTCAGAATAAAAATTGATACACTCAGAACACTTATATTTTCACAGCATATCTTATGACGCGAAAATATTAACTTAAATGTAATGTATACATTTGGCAGTGATGTACAAAATACCAAACATTACGTAGTCGTGCCATAAGTTCTGTCCCATGATAATCTCATGATAAAAATGAAACAAGATAAGATATATTTATATGAAAGATATTATTTATTCGACAACATTTTTAGAATTCATAATCAAACAGTTTTATTCAAAATGTCCCCCCTTGGCCTTCACACACTGCTTCAATCTCGCGGGCCACTCATCTATCACTGCACGCACAGCTTCCAAAGGAATAGCTGCCGCTGATCGGATCAAATCCGCTTTCAGGGACTCGATATTACGGTGGGCTTTGGAGCCGGCCAACTGCTCTAGCAGGTCCCACAACTTGTAGTCTAAAGGATTGAGGTCCGGACTCCCTGAGGGCCAATCTTCCGCAGCAATGAACTCTGGCACATTGCTTTCCAGCCAGCGCTGCGTACTCTTAGCCTTGTGAGCGGGGGCGGAATCCTGCTGGTAGACCCAGTGTTGGTTGGCAAACAATGTACCACTTAAAGGCTTGACGATAGGATCCAGTATGTCGCTCTGATAGTTTGCCGCTTTTGTTTTCACGCCCTGTTTACAGAAATGGAGCTGAGTGACCCCTTCGTAGGACACCCCCCACCAAACCATGACTGACGCAGGGTGGTGGCCTCTCTCAACTCTCGGAATGATCTCCGAAGCTTCCTGTGAACTCCTTGCATACACTTTGTCATTTTGTCGGTTGAATTTTTCTTCTATGGTGAAGATTTTCTCATCCGTGAACAAAATCTTTCGGAATCCCCCAGCTGCGTACCTCTCCAAGAGCTTCTTGGATCTTGTCGCCCTGATGTGTCGCAAGGTGGCCGTAAGTCGCTGGCCCGTACGTCTCCGGTAAGCCCCTAGCCCTAGGTCTTGTTTAATGATGCGCGACATCGTCCGGACAGGAATCTTCATTTCCCTGGATAGGATCTTCTGCTTCCGGAGTGGATTCCTTTGAATCCTGGCTTTTACGGCTTTGATGGCTGCTGGAGTCCTTACTTGACGAGGTCTTCCGCTTCTTGGCCTGTCATCAACAGAGGACGTCTCATTGTACCGCTGAATGGTCCTAGACACAAATTTACGCGATATTTGAAGGCCGCGTAAGAGTTCAAAAATCTGACTAGCACTGTGATTACACTTATGTAAAGCTATCACTGCAATACGGTTCTCTGCCTTGCCCCACTCCATCGTTATGCTTCGAGAGATCAATACAAACTGAGGTATATGTAATTACCCGAAAAGCGCTTAATCAACTGACACCACAATGTAAACAATCGGACAAGTATTAACAGGTCTACACTTGTTTGAAAACGAGGGACAGAACTTATGGCATGACTACGTATAAATGGCCGCCAAAAAATAATGATCTGATTCAAAATCATCATCATACTCACCAGCAGTGGGATCAAGGGGTTGATTCATTGTCTGTGGTTTTACCAGTGCCTTTCCTTCCACAGCAGTGTTCTTAGACCCCAAACTATGTTCATAGTGTATTGTAGACGGTATTCTATTTAGTGCAATGAAATAACGCTTCAAAATTGTCAAACGGTAATGTAAACGGGTTAATGACAATGTTGAATTTGCTGCCTCACAACAAAGCTGTTTCACTTCATGATTTAGACTGAAGATGCCTTGGGATAGTTGCTCTGAATCTAAAAAAAAATATGAGGCATATTGAAATAAACCAGTGGTCAGTAATACATTACACTGTTCTCGTCAATACCTTCTATAAAATCTTTAATTTTTCCATTTATCAGCTGTTCACGTCAATAGAAGTCAAAACGTGAATTGTGAAAAATGGGTTAATTTTCCATCAAATCTGTTTTTTTCCTACCTACTTTTGTGCCACATTTTCTTAAATATATGTAGTATACTCACTTGGTTGTGGTTCCCATGCCCACTTCTCTAATAAGGCATCCATACTAGGTACTGACTCTTTAGGTGCATTTTGTGTGGGTTCTTCTGCATCTAGTTTCTGACATGGTTGGCAATTACAGCCACTGTGAGGACCACAAATCCCATCACAACAAGTACATGTCAATACCTAACAAAGGAATATTTCAGATATTTGGCTTGAATAAAAAAGCATATCAACAAGCAACAAATGCAATATCATGAAAAGATGTAATAAGTGATAACTGCTTGCAAAAAATCAATATAAAAAAACAATAACTTCTATAAAATCAATTACTTCATGAATTCAAATCTAGATGTTACATTTACTAACTTAGGAAAAAGGATTGATTATTAAAGTTTTGTATATCAAAAAGAATAAAATAGTCATTGTATTTATTTATGTTTGGTTTGAGTAAGATCAATATCAGGAGTCATATATTAGTTACCAACCAATAGATGCACATAAGTTTTGAAATCTACTGATTTTTTTTTCATGAATACTATTAATCAGTAACAGATTTGGAATCATTTGGGTTTAAAATGTAGTAGGTAAGTACCATATACAAATAATCTGTATTTACAAATTTTTAAAACAGCATGGGACTGAGCAAGGGTGTATAGTAGGGCTTAACAGGGTGCTCGCGCGGGTACAGTGCACGGTGCTCGCGCGGGTACAGTGCACGGTGCTCGGTGCAAACCAGCCGCCGCCCAGTACGAATCTCTCTCCACATTTTCGCGCCGCTGTCTCCTCGCAATCCGTTTTCTGCTCCCCTCCGCACTACCTCGTACTACTTGCCCTGCAGCGCGCGGAGAAACGGATTCGCGTCGCGTCTCCGAGCGGGACCCTAACCGACCGCACCCGAGCCGACACGGCGCACAGCGCTGTTGCACCAGGCTTTGCACGGGTGCGGCGGATCGCTTTTGTTAAGCCCTGGTGTATAGATAAGTTTTGAAAAATATTCTTTTTATATCTTTTTATTATTACTCATAATCATTCTGATTTCTGAATGGGAAGGCTAAGGCTCCCTAGATTTACCACTATTATGGAGGGAGCCTCGGTAGCTCGGTGGTTAGCGCGTGGAGCTGACAACCAGAGGTTCGCGGGTTCGAATATCCGTCTCGGAAGTTAATTCCGAGCCATGGATGTTGGGTGGTGTATTGTCTCTATCATGCCCGTGGGTGCAGTATTAACGATATTTACATCTATTTACTGGGGTTGGTTTATTATATCAGTTACCAGTAGATGGCTAGTGGAGTAGTACAGCGTCGTACTACAGAGTCAGCAAAAAAGTTCAAAGGTAGCCTAGTTGCGAGGCTTTACCTCCCCACCACAACCACTACCACTGATATCTAAGGAACTAAGTACCTTTTTGATTTAAAAGGTACTCAATACATCTATTGACAAAAATCAACAAATGCAGACTAGGAAGAAGAAGCGAATCTATGATTTGTTTGCCTCCAAAATCTGATAGTCTGTACACAGGATGAAAGTTCATACTACAAGACGATCAGGCTCAAGTGGGCAGTTTCACAGTTGTTGACATTTTACATGAAATACGGATTTTTCTAAGAAAATGATATAAAAGTGAGTATGTTCCATACAGCCCTAGTGTTTCAGACAATTGTCGAAAATGGTGAAGGTTTCTGTGGAATGCAAAAACCAATTTAAAAATAATCCATTGATAAGTGTTATAGACTTCAGTGTTGTGAGAAGGCATGTACCTCAAAGTGGGGCTTCTACCTCAAAAGTTGTGACGTAATTTTACTTTATTCCAGTCCACTTCTGTAGTGCTCAGTCTTAATCCAATGGGACTGTATATTTAACAACATTGAAAAATGAAAAGTAGACAAACCAAAATTTTTGATGGATACTGAAAAGGTCTAATTAACTTTAACTATGAGTCTTATCTACTCAAAATTTTAATCTGAAAGGAAGGGTATTTACTTTCACATTATAAATATTAATATTGCATACTCATTTGTTGCCACAAGATTCTAGTGAGAAAGCTCAGTAGGGCCCAAAAAACTATGAATATCAAATTAATTTTATTGTATAAATATAGAGTGATAAAATGACAGTAATTTTCATATTATGCTCAACAGCACAAGTAGATATTTGCTTTCAGCTAAGAATCTGCTTGCATGACAACAAGCACGAGGGACATCTTTTAAGTTTTGCATATGGAAATAAAACAACACGGTAGGTAGTTTTAAATGACATTATTGTTTTTCAAAGTATTCTCCATGAAGATTAATACACATCTGCATGCGCACGAACCAATTTTCAAATCACTTATTCCACTCGTTTGCTGGCAGATCCAAAACGGCATTTTTGAATGCGTCAACTGCTTCTTCTGGTGACTGGAACCTTTGACCACGCAGTCTGTTTTTAATTTTCGGGAAAGTAAAGAAATCGTTAGGAGTTAGATTGGGACTATATGGAGGATGGTCCAATAATTGCACGTTTTCTTCCGTTAAATACTGCCTTGTTGTTTGGGCTGTGTGCGAGCTTGCATTATCTTGGAGGAGGATGATTGTTCTTTCAGGGTTGATTTTTCGAAGCTCGGTGATGACTTTTGGCAAACAAATGGTGGTATACCAATCCGCAGTAACAGTTCTTTACTCATTAAGAGGAACTGTTGCAATATAATCCACTTTCGACACAAATGTCGCGACCATCTTTTTCGAAACACTTCGAGAACGGATGACTTTTCTTCACTTTGGAACACCCAACCCGACTGTCGTTTATTTTCTGGTTCATAACAGTAAATCCACGATTCATCCGGAATTGTAACAGTCAAGCGTTTTTTCACACCAATTAACCCTGGCTGCTTTCTGCTCTTCAGTCAACAGGAGGGGTATCCAATGAGAAACTAATTTTCTTACTCCTAATCCTTCATGTAAAATTTTTTGAATTAAGGTATTTGAGATATTCAATGATGAGTTTGCGCACAGCATCGACGTTTTCCTGGGTGACTGCCGTTTTTGGTGCATCCACCCTGGGATCGTCGCTAAAACTCACCCGTCCACGTTTGAATTCTCCATACCAATGGGAAATTGTCGACTGATGTGGCGCTTCGTTACCGAAAACAGATAGTAACTCAGCAAGGCATTCTTGTTGCGATAATTGTCTCTGAAAGTTGTAATAAATTATGGCCCGAAAATGTTCTAGGTTGAGTTCCATTTTTCTAATGTCTTGGTGACACTTAAAAATTCACTGTAGTGAGAACACTGCACGTATTGTTGTGAAACTTTGAATTTAAGTTTACTAAAGAGTGAGGTTAAGATTCAGTACTGACGTTCGATCCGCGCGGCACAATGTTTCTATATGCAAAACTTAAAAGACATCCCTCGTATTTAGACATATGACGCAGAATTAAGCAAGATGTCCCACTATTTCCAATATAAGATATTCTGCCATTGCTGCTGTTTGAAAAGACAAATTTTCATATTTTTCACTGTCCAAAATCACAGCAGAATTGTTCATGTGCTAGACAGTTAATAAACATTTACTTTCATTAGCAACTTTCAGATAGTATTTGCACTAAAACTACATATTTTTTTTCAACAAACAATGCAATGTGAACGTGTACACTATACACTTCCCTCTAACCTATACAAATTTGTTGACAAAAATAGATTGAATTAGCAATTTTAGGCTATCTTGTTTTTAACAGTAGCTTCCAGAGTCTGGCTTAATGCTCCATTTATACTACACAGTTACTAAAACATAAATGATAAAAAAGTTAGAATTCTTGACACTTCTAAATGGGCAATATTTTTACATTACTTAGCTGAAGCCTGCTAGGCTGTGCACAATTTTGTCTGATTGCAAAGACATGGCCAATATATAGCTGATATGGCTAAGATATATTACCTGGCCATATGGTGCAATATAGCCTTAATGGCTAGGCTATAGTCGCCATAGTCATAGGTCAATATTGGTACAAAATATTGCTCATCTAGTGCTTGAATGTTTTAAAGACTCTAATGATTCTAGTACAGTTGTGACAGGTCCTGAATATGCATACCCTTTGTCCACAATAATATTTTCCAAACTCTCCTTGTTTTGCTGTAACTCCAGCACTATTCAAAAGACCCACAGAGAAATATCCAGTCAATTCACCATCTGTGATAAGGTTGTTCCAAGTGTTGATCAATGTGTCTTGGTTATGGAAGAGGGTTTCTAGATTTGTCTTCAGCCACTTGATGTCTAAACGAGGCTGGGGCCTCAACGAGGCTTCCATATAAGACATTTTTTTGTAAATATCTACAAAATAATTGACAAATTTTAATAATTTTTGAATGCAAGCAAAATCGATTATTGCGAAAATACTTGTAGTTAGGAAGGCTGAATGATTAAAATATACTTTTCAGTTATGGCATTGCTAAAATGAAAAATGAAAATTCTACAATGTACCTCTATTATCTCATCATTTTTCCATTCTACTTGCAAATAAATAATTGTTGGGGAGCCATATTGATTAGCGAATTGATATGAAAAATGAAAAGTCAAATGTATGGTAGTTTGAGAGAACATACCTTCTCGTTCCGGAACGAGCTACTGAATTATGTTATAGTACAGTGAGTTTAGGACCGTATCGTCAGTCGTTCCCGGAAAACACATAAGACTGAAAGTGAGAGCTGCACGTTAAGCAATGGCAGCACCGTCGACGTTTGTCAGATGATTGCGCCACCTACTTGTCCCGAGATCTGGAACTATCGAAAGAATGCTAAGAATGAGCCTGGAATAAGGAATGCTAAGAATGTTCCTGGGATTTCGTTTGTTCATAATTTAAAATCTGCTGTAAATGATATTTCCGATATTGAAGTATTATTTCATGAACATATATTCAAAAAAAAACAACAATAAGGATAATATCTCCTTCAGCAGTTTTGCTGAGAAAAAGATTCGAAATAATCAAATCCAACCATAATTATGAGGCACCAAATTTATTTAGTCTCAAAAAATATTCATATGTTGTTGACAATGGTATAAAAATTTTATTACATGAAACTATAGATAGGTTTATTTCAAATTCATCTTGAGTGTTGTAAAACACAAGTGTCTCACTTCAGTGTACCGCTTCTTGGTAATTCTGATACAATACTGAAAACACTAACATAATTATTTGTAAATAAACTAGTCACTTTTAATTAGTTTGCTCAGTTCTATGCCTTTAATTTGTTGACCTTTCATACTTTATATAACGGTGCCAACTACAAAGATTATAACGAGGCTGAATCCAGGCAATTTTAAATAATCTACAAAATACATCATGCCGATATGTTAAGTTCACAGCCTACATCTATTGACAAGCGGTGGGTGAGGAAGGGGGTTGTTAGATACGTGTAATAGGTGTATTACTGTAACTATAACTTCGCTCACAGGGCGTGGATCCAGAGGGACATTTTGAGGTGGCGGAACTCCTGGGGAATGTTCTTGTGATATTGTGACAACTGGAAAGCGGGGAGGAGGGTTACCGACTATTGAAAATTGAAGAGTGGGGAGATAATAATTTTCTGCGTATTTACCTTTCCCCAGTGATTTTTTGTTGCGGGGGGGGGGGGAACTCTCGCTCTTCTCACGGTTGTTGTACAAAAATTGTAATAATCGTACATCAAGCAACACTGTGTCAAAAGTGTTAGGATGGTATGTCGTTGATATGCTCGGAACACAACACCTTGACATGACATTTGACCATAAGCGTCATTGTGATTAGAGAACAGAACTTCCGCTGGTCCTCGTTTCATTTTTCATTAATCTCCACTGAAAACCAAATTTGTCTGACGGCTTAAGTTCAATGGGTTCGAGTGAGAAGTGTCTATATCTAAGAAAGAGATAGAAGCCGGCTGGATAGCGAAGCTCATCACCGCATTACCTATCAACGCTGACGCGGCAATCCGCCATTATGTTACATCAGTTCCTTGAATTAAGGTGCATGTTCAAAAAATGCGTTAGTTCACTTTCTACGCCTAAGTAATGGTGTTATTTTGAGCGTGAATTGTGTCGAATCTGTTTAGGATCGATTCCCAATCGGCCCAAATTGCGCTGCATTTAAGGTCGGAATGAAAGATCAGGATCGTCATAAATCCTGCAACATTGCATCATTGGTTCGTTTGATAACCCCGGATCTTGTGCATTCCAAGGCAAGGTTTCCATCTCCATGACCATAGATGAGCGATTTTAGTCAGTACCCAACTCATTGGAGAGTCTCGCCCTGCTTCGAGTAGGCCTCCTTAGGTTTGACAGTAACCTAACCTATTGTAGAAGCATCAGCGAACATTTTCTGGTGTAACATTTTGGCAACGCGGAGGCATGCACGAGCTTCTGAGCAACCGTTGCTAGGAAATGTGGTGATGACCGCTTTTCAGCCGGTTTCTATCTCTTTCTAACATGTGTTGATACACACTTCCCGCGCTTCTCTCTCGTACACATTGAACTCAAGCCTTCAGACAAATTTGGTTTTCCCTGTATACACATGTCAGCAAAAATTGATTACAAATTAATTGGCATCAGAAATGTTAAAAATCTCCAGATATCGCCAGTTTGTTGGATACTGAGCGCCATTAAAGTAGTCAATCGCCCAGCTATCCATTTGAAGCCATCAAATCGGCACTTTGAAGAAAAATCGCCACGCGTGGCAAACCCTGAATCCCGGCCAGCAGCACGTCACGTGATGCCGGTAGAGTTACCTCGATTTTGCCTGGAGAGGATGACCTTGGTGTTGCCAGTTCGCCCATAAGACGTTTCACCCCCTGACCCCCCCTGGGTCGTTCCTATAATTATAGAACGCCTTTATGGCCTCATTGATTTACATTGTTTTTCCTGTTCTCCAGAAATCAGGGGAATTTCTAGATTTCTATTTTTCCGTGTCAGAGTTCTATTTTGAGGTAATGTTTTCTTTTTGAATTTTAATAAATTTTAGGCTAATGAATTTATAGTATAAATCTAGAAATAGCCCGGACTTTCTGAAGGAGAGAAAATACTATGAAAGTCAAGGAGGCTATCATAGACCTGTTCGGACAGGAGGAGGAGAAGGAGAGAGATAGGGATAGACAGAGGGGGAGAGAGAGACAGTGGCAATGGGGACATGAGCCTTGTTAATCCGGTTGAGCCTTTGAATTTTGGTTGTAGCCGTGATCTAGGTTTAGTATCCGTTTAAACTGTATTATGAACGATGTTGGTGCGACACACGTATACATTGTATAATATACAGATATGACGATTATAGTTTCTATGTCAGAAATACTTATTTTTATTGATGGTAAATGTTTAAGCGAGATCACATACATCCGTCCAAGTATACCGTAGTCACAGCACAGCACACGATTAGAAATACAGCTTGCAGAATCTATATGTGGTCATGTACCATAAACTGTATTCAAACGTTATTTACTCCCCGCTAAAACCAACTATAGCGCGCAACGATTAAACTCACGCGCTTGTCACAAATCTCAGGTTTTAAATTTTTGTCTCTAGCAACTATCTTTTGCTGAAGACAACATGCGCTGGAAAGCAACGACATTGATAGTTTTCAAAGCACAAGTTTTCTCAAATATGGAGCCCTGAAGCTATGTTCTGGGAGTTGAAACCCGTCTATATTTTACCAATAAGTAATCATGAATGACTGGACTATAATACCAGTCTCGGTCCGTACCGAAGAAAGGCCGATCTTGAAACTGTTGTATCTCATAGAACAAAAAAGAATGATTAGTGTCTTGCCATCAACAGCTGGATATCTGACAGCTGTCAAATAAAACCTTAAACCTAACCACAATTTTTGTTGCTTGAAATGTAAACATGATGTGATAAACATGATAAAATTTTTAAAATTTTTCAATTTATCAGCAATTCTAATTTCTTTGTTGGGGCTTACTGCCGTTGTCGGAGATTATCTGGTTCTGCATACGAATCTTGACTTGTTCCAAGCTGTCTTCGATAACGCAACCCATGCAATAATTGGTGGTTTAACTTGGTTTATATTCTGTTTGCGTTACAAAAACTCAAATACATTTCAAAATTTAGCGGAAGTAGCAGTATGTGCAACAATATCTTCCGTGATAGATCTGGACCATTTTGTAGCTGCGAGGTCTTTGCGTCTAGAGGTACGTCGGTTTGGTAATGGACGATTTTGATTACAGTTTTAAAATCGTTTCATATTTGCATAATCCAACTTCAACACATATGATCCGTTTCTCCAACAACTTCTTGGTAATGGAATTCTGGAAGGCTGTCAAAATAATCATCTACTGCTCTCTCAACGTGTTCATTTCTTTCGGATGAGCCAGCAAATCATATTGCCTAATCTACAGTTTTTCAATTATTAGCATACTTTTGAGATCAGCTGCATTGTCCTGATAAAAAATTAACATTTTCTTCTTCAAGCCAAGGCCAATTCTCATGAATTTCGGCATCCAGTTGATCAAGGATTTTGAAATAGGATTCACCTATAATTGTTCTACCCTTTTCAACATGATCAATTAAAAGAAATCCTTTTATATCCCAGAGCACACTACCCACAACCTTTCTTGCAGATGCAATTGACTTTTCTTCTTTGGCAATGAACTCTCTCCTCCGCTCCTACTGTTGTTTTGTTCCTGGCATTTAGTAGTTGACTTATAAAAATGAATAAATCGCCTCATAAAGTTGCCCTATTGAATTGGCCCAAACATTACTGTGAAAGTCATTTGCACATCCAAGTTTGATTGGTATTCAATTTCCTTAAGCACTGATCCATTCCATATAAAGAATTTGATGTCAGGCTGGTGTAGACAAATTCCTTGAGAGAACAAGGTGAAACAAATAACATGTGCACTGATGCATTAATAACAAATTTTCGCTGATTTGTCCATGAGGTCCATGTTAGGGACAGAATTTATCATGTTGCCCACATACCTGCATTAAAGAAAAATAAAATTTCTGTTAAATGAAAGGCATTTTTTTGTTGCAGGATGCAACAAATCTAAAACATAGACCACCACTTCATTGTTCAACATTTCCACTCCTCACATGTTTCATACTTCTCCTAGCAAGTTACCATCTAGAAATGATAGAGTTGAAACGCAGCACACTCATCCTATTTGCAGCTTTTTTCACTCACCATGTTAGAGATGGTACCAGAAGAGGGTTGTGGATCTACCCTTATGGTTCAACTCCACCAATTCCATATGCTGTTTATGTTGCATTGATATGTTTAGCACCTTATGGTTTATTTTTCTTACATGACTTGTTCAAAATTAGGATAAGTGGAAATGAAATTCAGCTGTGATATTGATTCTAGTTTACATATTTATTAAACAAAAAAAAGAAACCAGTTTTGACAGTCTAACAAATAATCATTATTCAAATTTTGCATTATGACTTAAGGAAATTTATCTGAGAAATTTCACGTAAGGCAAAAATAACAGGCATAATAATAGGCATCTAGAAATAAATGAGAAAAATAAAAATCCATGTGATTCAAATATCTAAGTTGATTTCCAGACTATTTTAGGGTAATTTCAAAGTAAGCATAAAGTCATGATTAAACTTATCAATATTTGTTCTTAGATCATTACATTCTCTAGATTTGAAAACTCTCCCGAACAATAATGATATCATAAAATATATTCTTATAGTGTAGACAACATGAACAATAATTGATGTTGATATAATATGTTAGTATGTTCGCTTATTATAAACCTGTTTTATATTTTTTACTGCATAATAAATATGTTATTATTAACACAAATTGTTTATATTTACCACCTCCAGAAACTGGCACTAACAGTTCCTGCAACATCAATTCTGAATCTTCTTTCATAGTATTTTCAAAACATGCCTTGCTATAAGGAGAGTAGCCAGTACTGTAGATAATATTTTTATTCCTGACAAAATTACGTATTTAAGTGGAAAATGCTATTCTAATGCGCCACCCTGAAACTATCTTTTGATATTTTTCACGGAAAAACTGGTACGCCACTGATTTTTTCAAAGTGAATACCTTTTCTAGTTAACTTAATAATTTCTACATAAAAACTCTTATTATTTTCTTCTTAGAGGCACATTTTCGGTTAAAACGACAAAATGGTTATAAACACATTGAAAAATATCAGTGGCGTACCATTTTTTTCTTCGTAAAAGATATCACAAGATTTGTTTGCGGGACCACCAGTGGTGGCGCAATAGAATAATTCTTCATACTAAAATATGTCATAATATACTAAAATAAAAACAATATTTAACGTACTTCCAAAGTTGAACCATTAAAACTATTTTTTTCTTAAAAATTCAACATCCTGTAGTGAAAAAATTAGGCTATCGCGACGTATGTTCAAACAAACTTTTCTTAATAAAATTGTCTTAGGAATCCTATCCTGGAATATTGCCACGTGAATGAGCACTACCCTGTATGTATACATTAGATACATTTTTCGAGATTATCCACAACCTAAAAGAGGATTTTCATTTTTCATCATCTATAAGTGCATTATTGATTAACGTTAATCTAATGATAGTACAGCTTACCGATTAGTAATAGGTACCTCCAGATATAATCTGATGTTTTATCAACCGAATTCTTGAACTTTGTTGCCACATGATAAAGCTATACTTCCTAGAATCCGTTTTGCCAATATTCAGCGTAACCCAAGTTCGTACAGGGTGCGGCAGAGAGGATGGACGGTTTTAAAAAAATCATAAAATAGTTAATTTTTACTCGAAAACAAATTTATTGATGGAATCAGGTTCACAACGAAATAGCATTTGAGACAGTCAAGTGTGGAAAATCACATCAGGCATGTGGTGGCCGAAATCGTTGATGCAGTGCTGGAGGCGTTCTTGGAAGTTCGCGTAGACTCTCTCCAACATCGCTCTCTCAACTTGGGCGACTTCCACGTGAATTTCGCCCTTCAATTCGTCCAGAGTTCGGAGCTTGTTCGCGTATACTCTAGCCTTGAGGTATCCCCATAAGAAAAAATCGCGTATGGATAAATCTGGGGACCGAGGAGGCCAATGAACATCGCCAAACCTGGAAATAATGCGACCAGGGAAGAGAGGGCGAATAACGTCCATGGATGCTTGGGCTGTGTGGGCGGTCGCCCCATCCTGCTGGAACCACACATGTCGGATTGGAACACATCGCCGTCGTAATTCAGGGAGAAAAAAGTTGGTGATCATGTCGACGTAGCGCTCTGAGTTCACGGTAACATCACGACCATTACCGTCTTCGAAGAAGTAAGAGCCAATGATGCAAGTTTGCGATACAGCGCACCAAACCGTTACTTTTGGGCTGTGCAGCGGTCTTTCGTGTAACTGTTGCGGATTTTCATTAGCCCAATAACGACAATTCTGCTGGTTAACCATGCTGTTTAGGTGAAAGTGGGCTTCGTCACTCATAGGCGAAAACGCGGTGCGCCACCGTCCAAGGCTCCATAACGATAACTGGTAAAATAATGCTAGGATCTCACGAGTCAAACGGCACCCTCCCCACCTCTCTCGTAGACGGAGACGGAGAGTACTACCCATCCCATAAACGTCCGTCCTCTCTGCCGCACCCTGTATAAATATCTATACCTTAAAGACTCAGACCTTTATGTTCAGCCAGAATAGGTGTATTTAGTTATGCATATCGAATCTGTGAGACCCTCGGATTCGGTATATGCAAACACGTCGTATTAATACACCGAGAAACAACAATAAAAAAAATGGCGTCAAGTAGATTAGCTCTGCACTTCTTACGCAACGCCGTCGTCAGATCATATAGGATTAAATTCAGCTCAATTTAAATCCTCTGAGAAAAAAATGTACAAAAGAGAAATTAAACGTATCAAGTCAGTCAAACAGGCCCAAACAAGTGGTCTGGCAGTTCTCGATCATGTGGCAACATTGTCCCTTTACACATCTACGCGACACCGCTGCGGTGAGTTATCTTTCGTTTCGTGCAAGGTCCGATTGTTTTTTGCGCTTCAGTATATATACGGTGCACTGGTTCGTCAGGCGGTGCGCTTAGGGCCGTATCGTCAGTCGTTCCTACAATTGTAGGACACCTCCTTGATTTTTCATAGTTTTCTACTTTTCCGTGTCAGCGCTCTATTTTGAGGTTATGTCACGAATATCTATTTGCATCAAATTGTTCATGCTTTTGATTTATACCATGTTTTATCAGCCTGAAATTTCCTACAATTCAGAAAGAAAACATAACTTGACAATAGGAGAGCGCTGACGCTGACATGGAACAGGTGCAATCTAGAAATTTTTGAAGGAGAGAAAAGACTATGGCAATCAAGGTAGCCATAAAGGCGTCCTACAATTATAGGAACGACTGGCGATACGGCCCTTAGATAGGTTTTTCGTGACGTACATGCCCAGCGGCGTAGAAAGTAAAATATCCAAAGTAGGCCTTAACATTTTTGAAAAAGATTTTCTCTTTTTGTAAGGAGAATGTGCAAAAAGCTCAAAAAATTGTATATAATTTTAAAGTTTTAAGCAGTAAACGTGATCCATTATTTTTTCAAAATATTGTTCAGAAAAAATAACGTCTGGGTACATAAAAGTGAAATTTCACAGGGTTATTGTGGGTACATGGAGCTGTAAAACTCACGCTCAATATTAGCCATTTCATCAATATTTACAATGTAGATCTTGGTTAAAAAAAAATGATCTATTTTTCCGGTTCAGGGGCAGCGGAGAAAAATGAAAAAATGAAAAAAAAGATAAAATTGCTCAAACTTTTGTTTTTGTCGTTTCAGAGGATCCGTGGGGTTATTACAGAAAAAATCCATAGAATGTCAAAGAAAAACGACAAAATGTCATCTTGTTGACGAAGTAGGCTAGTGTGCAAGTAGTACATTCCTAGCTTGCTACAAGTGAGCCTGAAGTGCACAACAGCTAGTTCGAAGTTGATGTCTTTACAGAAAAACCTACTTCATTTGAAAAAAATCGACATAATGTCAAAAAAGACATAATGCCAGTTTTCATTCATAACAAAAATTTGGGGGTAAAAATTTATTTTTTGATGTTACTATAGTCACACGCTCCCAGCACCGGTGAATGTATATATGTACTTCTTAGCCATATTTTACACATCACAGGTTTCCCCATGCGTAGAATGATACAACAATGTTTTCGATACGCGTCTCCTTCTGCTGTCTGGGCTCGGCGCCCGCCGTGACGGTCTGCTTGATTCTTCTGCTCGTACTGCGGCGGTGTGCGTCGGGAAGGGACAAAATTGCCAGATGGACGTTAGGGAAATAATGTCCATGCACTAGTTGTATGGGCTTGTTTGACTGACTTGATCCGTTTAATTTCTCTATTATGCATGTTAGTAACTATTTTTTGAGACGGTTTAACTTAAGCTGAAGTTCTTCATTTATGAACTGATGACGGCGTTGCGTAGAAACTACAGAGTGAACTTACTTGACGCCATTTTTTGTTTTCAATATTTGAACGTTTGAATGAGATGAATCAAAGTATACCAAATGTACAGATCTACTCAGATATCGTGGAAGGTGCTGATATACTTAGCGATATTGGAAAAATTCTTTATCAAAGGAGATAAATTATATTGTGGATTAAATACTTATGAACATACGCGGTTATCATATCGTCAATTTGTCACATACACTTGGTGTTTTATTTGATCAGAGCAAACATTAGTTAGTAACACACTGGTGCGAAATTTATCAATAAGAGAAACGCCCAAGTCCTTTGTTCCTGAAAATGTCGAGTAATATGTTTGGGATTGATATTATATTCGGTGTAAGTATTCTCTGCGTTTTGGTTTCCAGAGAATTTGCATGTATATTCCAAAAGTTGCCTTCATTCGTCCTTTTTCACCAAGCAGCGCTTTTAAACCCTTTTAGGGATCATTAGTTAGGTATAAAGTTGCAACGAATAAAAGCGTGAGTTTTTGTGTCTATCTGCTGTAATGATGTTAACAGTACTTAGGTGAATCAAATTTAAATGAACCTTAAAAAAAAACATTTATTATTGGAATCAATTCTTGTTCATATTTGTACTTTTTTCTATAATGACATCCTCTTATCTATACGTTTTTCTGAAATTGTGTGTTTTTTAAACCCACTATAATAGCAAAAATGTTGGACGCCCATCGTACCAACTAACTGCATACGGTGTTTCTTGATACTCTGTAAGCTGGCAGCTCTGTCCACCAATCCTTTCCTTGAGTGTTGAAGAAGCACTAATATTGTTATCGACGCTATCTATGTTTACATATCCCATGCCACACACACACCCTCCTACCCTGTGCGGTCCCTTCACTTACCCCATGCCATTGTAAAAGACTCGTTTATATTTGATCCACCTACGTATGAATCTGTGCAGAGGCGTAACCATATTTTTTTTTTTTTTGGTAGGGGTACAAGTAATCTTGTATCGACTATGTTGAATGCAGCTGTTGTGTGTGAATGTAAGCTTAAAATTAAAAAAAAAAATTGAAATTCGAACTATTATCATTCGAGTTCAGCACGTGCATTACGTATCTTTAAAAGTGATATTTTGTCGTTTTTGTTTTTTGACATTTTATAGGTTTTTTGTGACATAACGTAGGTTTTTCCACAAGATGTCAACTTAGCACTAGTATACTTATTGTGAACTCTTCTGTAGCTGTACGTGTTGCCTAAACGTCATGATGCTTGGCTCTGAGACGGCAATATCTGCTGTTTAAGCTCTAAGTCGCATACTATAGCTGGAAGCTGTGGGCTAATGATCTGAGTTGCTGATAATTCCATTTGTTTTTTGTCTCAAATACACTTACTTGAGATTCAAAGCTGGAAATTAGCTGCGCATCTACTTTTTCTTATCCATTCTAGAAATTACATATGCAAATTTGCTGAATTTCAAATTTCAAACCCGTCAGGCACAGCTGATAGAGGTACTTCATTGGCAGCATACTCAGTAATCATTTTCTCATATAGCAAATATCCTGATTTTATTCAATATACATAACAACCAATTTTCTTTCATTCACATTTTCTCAGAGATAAACACTACTTGGCTTTCTGCAACCAACAATGCATGATTGAGCGTGTCGGGGCATTGAGCCATTCCTCCATAGATGGACGCTTTTGATGACGCTCAAAGTGATCATAGCGAACAATCGTGCAATGAATTATTTGCAACTAAAAACTACCTAGCCTGCAAGATGTCATTTTATAGTTTTTTTTTAGGTTTTTTACATAATTGCTGCCTAGACAGTTCCTAGTGTGCTTGCTATGAGCAAAAGCCTCCATTTATGGCGGAATGACTAACCACATGACACGCTCCATGACCATGCTGCAGAGTGTAGTATGAGAAGATGTGTGGTTGAGTAGCAGAGTATCAAGATCACATCTGGATTATTGTGTGCATTGGTCTGCATTTGTATAAAATCAGTGATGCTTGCTATGTGAGAAAATTATTACTAAATATGCTGCCTAGACGGGTTATTTGTGTTGCCCTTTCTGAAGAGAGTTTGTGTTCAAAGATATACATTAGGATTCTCCCCATTTTTCTACGTTTTCAAAAACTTTGAGAAGTATCTCGGGAAATCAGCACCGCACCCGCATTGTGTGTAACTAAGCCACATCACAGACATGACGCATCACATACCAAACATTTTCACACTGCCTTACATCTATGCGCTGATTTGTATTTTCTACCCGAGATCGTGATGTAAATTTATATAAAATTTACATGACTGGAAATAAAAATTACTGTATGTAATAACTTTTTTACGTTTCATAAATATTTCTGTAGGTATCATATTTTCTCACCTGTTAGTTTTAAGTTACTCCACCAACCAAGGATGTTCTTTTCTTATCGATCTCTTTCTTGAAATTCAGCAAATTTGCATATGTAATTTCCAGGTATCTCAAGTAAGTGTATTTGAGACAAGAAGCCAAAGGCATAATAGCAAATGCTAAGTTGACATCTTGTAGTAAACCTACATAATATCACAAAAACCTATATAATGTCAAAAAGATCGACAAAAGATACGTAACACCCCTGCGGACTCCCAGCGAACCTCCCTTGGGTTCATCCCTGAATGTATGAATATTTGTATATTGTAGGATAGTTGGGTCAACGTAGTTGGAAGTCTTGTTCTAATTACCGCGGTATTCACAACGGTTCTGGTTTGTGCAGTTGGTTATATGTACAAAATGCTCCATAAAATCCAAAGATCACTTGATGAGATGACACATACAACGATGGATCCATCACGAAGAAGGACAAGCCCGTTCGCGTAAGTCTTTTAACATTCGGTATTTATTTTTCAATGTAGTAGAAGGCGGTATCAACTATAATCAAGTTATAAAATGGAAGACAATAGCGTCACGCATCGTACGCCGCTGTTGACGCGATGCGACTTTTTAGTATGGTAAGATCCAGCACACGTACACAAAAACACACCGTGTTAGTAGCAGTGGTGTACGATAAACTAACGGACGATTTTGATGGAATTTTGGTGTCAGGTTAAATGATAAATGTTTTTTTTAAACAGTCTCAGTAAAAAAAATCCTAGACTATAATAGGATATACAGGGTGTTTCACAACTTATCCGACAAATTTAAACCACATGCACTGTTACGAAATAAGTTGATTTCTCAAAAAAAAAGTGTAAAGCTGGGCGGGTTAAATCTCCACCAGCACGTGCTCGTAAAACAATTGAACTAAATGTTTCGTGATGTGGAGTGTGCCTATTCGGAAATCGGTGTGCATACAAACGAGAAGCCGCTCCCGAATTTTGCCCTGCTTCTCCGTAAGCTAAAACAATGTCCACTAACTCCTCATTAGTGTACACATGTGTCATTTTTATTAATAAACAACTAAAAATATAAGCTCGTAAAATACTTTCTTATTTAACTTCAGAAAAATGGACCGTTCTTCATTCAGATCACCCACGATACAGATTAAACCTTATTTACACGATATTATCAGTATGAAAAAACAAACAATTCCTGGTATTTTGTTTTCGTCAGGTGTTTGGTACAACATTTGCTACAATAAATTATTAATGCGTGTTCTAATATCACGACGGTTAACGCAAAATACAGATATATATTTTTCAATTTATTCTTGAAACTCAGGTTTATAACTTATTAGGACTTTCATTACATTTTTTTTGAGTAATCAACCTCTTTCGTAACAGTGCATATGTGGTTAAAATTGGTCGGATAAGTTGTGTATACGTGTTGTGGTACGCTCCTCTCGAAAGTCAAAAATTGTGGAGTGAAAGTGCGTAAAAAATATTGAACTGTCACATATCGATTATATTAACCTCGTGTGCACGACTAACATCTGATCAAGGTATTAGAGTACGATAATAACAAAGAGCGATTCCAGAGAAAGAAATTGCTTTATAGTCCAGTCGACAAATCAAGTGAGATAGAACAGAGCACATATATAATAAATAAGCAAATCTACAAACTCTTACAGAGTGTCTTGAAAAACATACAAATCGAACAGCAACTAAAAAATAACAAAGAGGAAATCAAACAAGGAATCCAAAATCTAAAAGAAAATTTTCCGAGAGAGCTAAACATCTTACAACAAGAGAATAAAGAGTTGAAGGAATAACTTTCTGAGCTATTAAATAGCTTAGAGCGCCAAACCAAAAAAAAATCTTATACGGAGTGAAAGAAGAAGACAACTCAGTATTATATATATATATATATAACTTGAGACGTGGTCATTGTCGTCTAGACCAGTTAGGTGAAAAATTAAAGCTTCCGCCTTTTGTTGGGTACTTCGACAAAATTTAAGCAAAGAGGACTCTTTATACTTTTTTAATTCTCTCTAGCTTTCAATGGACTTTGCCATCATCATCAGGAGTTGCAATTACAATGATAACAGTAGCAACAAAAGTGTAAAATGAATTTAAATTGACTCAACTTACAGTAGTATGTGAGGATGTTGCTAATTGTTGTTTACGTATAGGATGAGGGAAACGTTCAGTAACATGGTGAGAGCTGGATAGATTGTACAATGGTCAAAATTATATAAAATATGACAAGAACAAGTTAAAAATAGATTAAAAATTATTTAAAAAAACATTAGAGCATTACATCGTTAAGCCACTTGATGATTGCACAAATTAGTGGTCATGGAATAATGAGTGAGATGACACCCTTTTGACAGAAGGCCGAAGGATGTTAATGTCTGTGTTGAAAGATGGAACGAATTGTGGGCGTGTGCCAAACGTTGCCAAATCACTTCAGATGATGTGATTTTCAGAATTTTATGTAAGAATTTGTTAAACCGACCAGAGGCAGTTGAATAAACTATATTTTAATTAATGGGAATTTAAATTAACAATTATTAATAAATCGTGAGAAGAGAATTATTATATTTTGAGTGGAATGAAATTTACTGGTGGAATCGGCCAAAACACAGATTCTAATTATGGTTGTGAAGAGTCGAAATTTGGGGAGATATGTAAGTTCTCCAATTTTTCGCAGTTTAGCAAATATGAGTAAATGACACTCAGTTGTTTAACATCTGTCTTTTTGTTGATACAGTTGTTATTCATGAAGATGTGGGACATTTCCAGGAATAAACGTTTGGAAAGGTGTTTTTCTTTATCAAGAACTTTGATACTTGTGTAATTCATAGAATGCCCTGTTGTGTTAACATGAGATGCTAGAGCGCATCTTTCAGGATGAAGCCTAGCATCACTTTTGTGTGATGTAATCCTTCCTTTAAGAGATCTGGAGGTCTGACCTATGTATATTTGGTTGCAGTTGTTGCAATTGATGGAGTAGACTGTGTTGGTTAAGCCAAGCAGCGGGACTTTGTCTTTCATTTTAGAAAAAATGCAGTTTATAGTGAGGACGGATTTGCAAGCAATTCGAAAGTTCAAAGGACTGCACAATCTGATCAGCTTAGGGGTCAGTTCCTTGATATAGGGCAGGACAGCAAAACCAGGTCTGGAGTCCGGGTTGGTGCTTGTACTGTTAGGATTGATGTTATTATTGGGAATTACATCAGTTCCGTTATTAGGGGTTGTGCGACTATTACCTGCATCACCAGAGTTCGGCAAAATATTGGAAGGTGAACTAAATAAGATCTTGTTAATCAGACACTTCGGATAACCATTATTGATGAACAGTTTTGATAGTTTACGTAAATTTGAGGTGTGGAAGGTATTATCTGAGATGCTGATTACCCTTGTTTTCATCTGTTTTACAAAAATTGATTTTAATCCCTAGCTTATGGTATGACCTAAAATTGAGAAGCCGACCTGAGGCCATAGGAATGAGATAAGTCAACACTGCAACATATCTCTAGAATCTTTCACCAACATTATAACATTCCTTTTTCATAACAATTATTTCTCTTTCAACAACAAAATATATTCTCAAACACATGGTTGTCCTATGGGATCTGTTCTGTCACCAATTTTGGCAGAATATGTCATGGATGATCTGCTTGATACTGTTATTCCGACACTACCCTATAACCTCTTCTTCATAAAAAAATATGTAGATGACATTATTGTATGCCTCCCTTCCATAGGTCTGGATGGTATTGTCAGAGAATTCAACAGCTATGACCCCTACATCCAATTTACCATTGAAAAAGAAGATGAGAACCTGTCTGTCCCCTTTCTAGACACAAGACTCATTCGCACCAACAACAACAGCTTATTGGTAGACTGGTACCAGAAACCTATGGCCTCAGGTCGGTTTCTCAATTTTAGGTCATACCATAAGCTAGGGATTAAAATCAATTTGGTAAAACAGATGAAAACAAGGGTAATCAGCATCTCAGATAATACCTTCCACACCTCAAATTTACGTAAACTATCAAAACTGTTCATCAATAATGGTTATCCGAAGTGTCTGATTAACAAGATCTTATTTAGTTCACCTTCCAATATTTTGCCGAACTCTGGTGATGCAGGTAATAGTCGCACAACCCCTAATAACGGAACTGATGTAATTCCCAATAATAACATCAATCCTAACAGTACAAGCACCAACCCGGACTCCAGACCTGGTTTTACTGTCCTGCCCTATATCAAGGAACTGACCCCTAAGCTGATCAGATTGTGCAGTCCTTTGAACTTTCGAATTGCTTGCAAATCCGTCCTCACTATAAACTGCATTTTTTCTAAAATGAAAGACAAAGTCCCGCTGCTTGGCTTAACCAACACAGTCTACTCCATCAATTGCAACAACTGCAACCAAATATACATAGGTCAGACCTCCAGATCTCTTAAAGGAAGGATTACATCACACAAAAGTGATGCTAGGCTTCATCCTGAAAGATGCGCTCTAGCATCTCATGTTAACACAACAGGGCATTCTATGAATTACACAAGTATCAAAGTTCTTGATAAAGAAAAACACCTTTCCAAACGTTTATTCCTGGAAATGTCCCACATCTTCATGAATAACAACTGTATCAACAAAAAGACAGATGTTAAACAACTGAGTGTCATTTACTCATATTTGCTAAACTGCGAAAAATTGGAGAACTTACATATCTCCCCAAATTTCGACTCTTCACAACCATAATTAGAATCTGTGTTTTGGCCGATTCCACCAGTAAATTTCATTCCACTCAAAATATAATAATTCTCTTCTCACGATTTATTAATAATTGTTAATTTAAATTCCCATTAATTAAAATATAGTTTATTCAACTGCCTCTGGTCGGTTTAACAAATTCTTACATAAAATTCTGAAAATCACATCATCTGAAGTGATTTGGCAACGTTTGGCACACGCCCACAATTCGTTCCATCTTTCAACACAGACATTGACATCCTTCGGCCTTCTGTCAAAAGGGTGTCATCTCACTCATTATTCCATGACCACTAATTTGTGCAATCATCAAGTGGCTTAACGATGTAATGCTCTAATGTTTTTTTAAATAATTTTTAATCTGTTTTTAACTTGTTCTTGTCATATTTTATATAATTTTGACCATTGTACAATCTATCCAGCTCTCACCATGTTACTGGACGTTTCCCTCATCCTATACGTAAACAACAATTAGCAACATCCTCACATACTACTGTAAGTTGAGTCAATTTAAATTCATTTTACACTTTTGTTGCTACTGTTATCATTGTAATTGCAACTCCTGATGATGATGGCAAAGTCCATTGAAAGCTAGAGAGAATTAAAAAAAGTATAAAGAGTCCTCTTTGCTTAAATTTTGTCGAAGTACCCAACAAAAGGCGGAAGCTTTAATTTTTCACCTAACTGGTCTAGACGACAATGACCACGTCTCAAGTTATATATATATATACATATATATATAATATATATATATATATAATTATGGTCAAACCATATAATTATATATATATATATATATATATATATATATAGGTTTAATTTTTCACCTAACTGGTCTAGACGACAATGACCACGTCTCAAGTTATATATATATATATAATTATGGTCAAACCATATAATTATATATATATATATATATATATATATAGGTGAAAAATTAAAGCTTCCGCCTTTTGTTGGGTACTTCGACAAAATTTAAGCAAAGAGGACTCTTTATACTTTTTTAATTCTCTCTAGCTTTCAATGGACTTTGCCATCATCATCAGGAGAGTAGTATGTGAGGATGTTGCTAATTGTTGTTTACGTATAGGATGAGGGAAACGTCCAGTAACATGGTGAGAGCTGGATAGATGGTACAATGGTCAAAATTATATAAAATATGACAAGAAAAAGTTAAAAACAGATTAAAAATAATTAAAAAAACATTAGAGCATTACATCGTGAAGCCACTTGATGATTCAATCATCATCCTATACGTAAACAACAATTAGCAACATCCTCACATACTACTCTCCTGATGATGATGGAAAAGTCCATTGAAAGCTAGAGAGAATTAAAAAAGTATAAAGAGTCCTCTTTGCTTAAATTTTGTCGAAGTACCCAACAAAAGGCGGAAGCTTTATATATATATACAATTACTTGTTAATTGGGATATATATATATATATATTTATGGTCATATATATATATAGTTATGGTCAAACCAACAAGAACGATGACGTTTTAGTATTCAAGCCATCCATACTCCCAGTTTGTCAGACAGTGTATGTTTTAAAATCCTATAAATCACGTGTGTAATTTTATTTCTAGTTCAAGTAGTTTAAAACAACTTAATGAGTGGTTTTGTTTTTTGTAGTTTTGCTTGTTTGTAGATTACTTGTGTAGTTTGTTATTTATGCCTTATTTTATTGAATTCGTTTATACATAATTTATTTCTTGCTTATATGTATATATTATTATAATGAGGCTTTTGACGAGTTCTATAGGTACATAAATATATGTATGTCAAAAAAGAAAACAATAAATAAATAATATATGGGTACTTTGGATATAGTGAATATATTTTGAAAAGTCGAAATTTAGTGGTAACTAGCTATGTTATGTCCATTTGCGGGGATTGTACAAAAGGTACAGAATGTACAAAAACGCTCTATGGTTTCCATAAAAACTATATTCCATTAAAAAAAATTCATTATAGCATACATCCCTTCATATCCCCGGCTGCTGCATCAGAAATGTACAAGGGGTAGCGAAAGTTTAATCTGTATTAGACCAAACCGCGAAATACAACTTGGGTTTACTTTTTTTAAAACCAACATCACTCTTGTTCACAAAAGTCAATGCTACAATATCTTGGATCCATTACATTACGTGGCCGGGGCATAGTAAGCGCATTAGGGGCACGAAACTTATACCAATCTGAAAAGCAAATGCGAAATTCAAAAAGGATTTTTTCATTTTTGTTCAAATCAACGCCAGTTTTTCTCACAAATTCAATGCTACAATATCTCCTTTATATCCTGGATCAATTACATTCCGTGGCCGGGGCATAGTAACCTACCTGGAGGCACGAAATTTACCTGTATGAAACGCAAATGCGAAATTCAAAATGGATTTTCTCAATTTTATTCTAAGCAACACCACTTTTTTTTACAAAAGCTAATGCTACAATATTTTTTTCATATCCCGGATCAATTACATTCCGTGGCTGGGATATTGTAAGCCTACCAGGGAACGCGGAAGCTAACTGTATGGCCCGCGGTGCACGTATTGTTAAGTCTTCTAGTCGCTTTGAAAATTTTACTGGAGGTTGTGATGACACTGCATTCAACTATGTGCTTACATATATGCTAATATAATTTGCTACAGCGCCATCTATGAGAAAATGATCTTTTCAATGTAGATTTCTAATTATTCCTGAGAGGGGAGAAAATCTCATAGACGACGTCAGGGTGTCTCATTACATCTCGGATAACGTTTTGGGTAACACCTTACAATGGGGAACTCACTATTATGTTTAGAAGTGTTAGACATCCAATCGGTGTGTATATTTGCATACTCACACCATATTTGGTTTGCTTATTAAGGAAAAAGAATCCTAACCTGTACGTCTACGACCACCAACAATTTGGCAAGATAGTACAACCTTTCTGCCTCAATGGAATCAAATTAGATGACTCTATAATATATATATTTTTATTTCAGACGTCCACATAATTTTAACACAGGATACGAAACGGAAATCCCCAGAGTAGGAGGATCATCGTTGTACGAGAGAACAAAACTTGGCCAGTTTGATACCGGATCATCAATGGGAAGGGAGAGAGATGACCCTTACAATGTACCGCGGGCATTAGGACCCAGAGACCGAGATAACGATTCTAGAGGAGGGTACCTGCATAAAGCGCATGATCAGAATCAATATAACAGACGTAACTGATTGCAATTTGTTTATGAAAAAAGTCAGGTCGTAGATAGAGATGCAATAATTGGACAAAACAAAAAAGAACATAACCATATCACGGTACAAATTGAGCGACTGTACTTATAGGTCTTTTCACGGTTAAGTCAAAATGTCAAATAAGTAAGCAGATCGGCTAATAACCATGTGCGGATTAACTCCCCTAAGACAAATTACACACTGCGCAAAACTAATCCTTAACGCAGCTGCTAGTCGCTCTTGCACACTCTCACACATGAACTGGGAGATAAAGGTGGGATGTTTTCATTCAGTTTTTGAAAAACTTTAATGAGTTTAACATAGACTGTCGCCATTGTAGTTGTATCTGCGAGCATGACCACCGTTTATATCGAAGATTAACAAGAGATAAATTCAAATTGCACGCCCATGACAAGCAAGTTGCCATACTGGCAGTGACAAGCATAAAGATAGAAGACTCAAGTCGATGAGAACATTTTTAAGGCGAGTTTGATATACGAATGCAGAGCCTATCATGACCCCATATCTCAAACTGTTCTGTTATATTTTTCTAGTTAGGTTTTTTTAGTACAAAACAGAATGTGACCGTCGTTGTTCAGGAAGGAAAAGCAAGGCTAACTTGTAATTTAAAAAAAGTTATTTTTTTACAATTTTAAACTGTGTGTGAATAGATTCATCTTGTATGCATATTCAGTACTTACTAATTAATGCACATTAAGTAATAAACAAGGTAGGAAAGAAAATAGTATACTTGAATTGGACGATAGTGTAATGATTTTTTGTCCAATATTTTGCATTTTGTCTCACTGTGTCTCTTTATTCTCATTAAACTTTTCTAGTATTGTCTCAATTTTTCTGTTCTCCTTTTACCAAAAGTTCATCATCTAGTTACTTACTTACTGTATTTACCTTTCAATTGGGACTAAGGCTTGAAATAAACCAGTTGAAGAAACAATTGCCATGGGCAGAGGAGAGGCGGTGCCGGTGGTACCCATGAGATTGAAAAAGAATCCTAACCTGTACGTCTACGACCAGCAACAATTTGACAAGATAGTACAACCTTTCTGCCTCAATGGAATCAAATTAGATGACTCTATAATATATATATTTTTATTTCAGACGTCCACATAATTTTAACACAGGATACGAAACGGAAATCCCCAGAGTAGGAGGATCATCGTTGTACGAGAGAACAAAACTTGGCCAGTTTGATACCGGATCATCAATGGGAAGGGAGAGAGATGACCCTTACAATGTACCGCGGGCATTAGGACCCAGAGACCGAGATAACGATTCTAGAGGAGGGTACCTGCATAAAGCGCATGATCAGAATCAATATAACAGACGTAACTGATTGCAATTTGTTTATGAAAAAAGTCAGGTCGTAGATAGAGATGCAATAATTGGACAAAACAAAAAAGAACATAACCATATCACGGTACAAATTGAGCGACTGTACTTATAGGTCTTTTCACGGTTAAGTCAAAATGTCAAATAAGTAAGCAGATCGGCTAATAACCATGTGCGGATTAACTTCCCTAAGACAAATTATACACTGCGCAAAACGAATCCTTAACGCAGCTGCTAGTCGCTCTTGCACACTCTCACACATGAACTGGGAGATAAAGGTGGGATGTTTTCATTCAGTTTTTGAAAAACTTTAATGAGTTTAACATAGACTGTCGCCATTGTAGTTGTATCTCCGAGCATGACCACCGTTTATATCGAAGATTAACAAAAGATAAATTCAAATTGCACGCCCATGACAAGCAAGTTGCCATACTGGCAGTGACAAGCATAAAGATAGAAGACTCAAGTCGATGAGAACATTTTTAAGGCGAGTTTGATATACGAATGCAGAGCCTATCATGACCCCATATCTCAAACTGTTCCGTTATATTTTTCTAGTTAGGTTTTTTTAGTACAAAACAGAATGTGACCGTCGTTGTTCAGGAAGGAAAAGCAAGGCTAACTTGTAATTTAAAAAAAGTTATTTTTTTACAATAATTTTAAACCGTGTGTGAATAGATTCATCTTGTATGCATATTCGGTACTTACTAATTAATGCACATTAAGTAATAAACAAGGTAGGAAAGAAAATAGTATACTTGAATTGGACGATAGTGTAATGATTTTTTGTCCAATATTTTGCATTTTGTCTCACTGTGTCTCTTTATTCTCATTAAACTTTTCTAGTATTGTCTCAATTTTTTTTTTCTCCTTTTACCAAAAGTTCATCATCTAGTTACTTACTTACTGTATTTACCTTTCAATTGGGACTAAGGCTTGAAATAAACCAGTTGAAGAAACAATTGCCATGGGCAGAGGAGAGGCGGTGCCGGTGGTACCCATGAGATTGTGGTCGTCTCCTGAGATTTGTGGGTATATATGATACGTTTTTATGCATATTTTGTCTATCTTAAATTACCTATTCTCCCATTTTAGCCTTTTGCTCCGCAAAACGTCAGCGGCGTTCCATGCATTTCAGTTGTGTGAAGTTTTCTAACGTTTCATGGGACGTGTACCAATAAAATCAAAATTTTGTGATTGCCCTTACCCCAAAAGCATTCTTAAGGGTGCGCTTGTTTTGTGCAATAGTAGAAATAAAATAGTTAATTCTGCTATACTTTTGCAGTGTAAGCTTGCCTGATTCTGTTACGAAACTGGATGGTCGTTTGAAAAAAACTATATTGATTCACCAAATTTTCCAGAAGAGAGAAAAAACTGTCGACAGCATATGAATTAAGACTCGACTCAAAAGAATTTGATCAATGATAATTTTTGAAAGATACAGCAATTGTTGTAAAGACGATGATTAATTTTATATCGTAAATTGCAGTTCTTCCAATGGTTCTACATCTCAAACTGTAAGAAATAAGCCTATTATTTTTTATTTCAATGGCAAATATATGAACAATACACTCGTATGTGAATATTATATTTAACAGGTGTGTAATATTACTGGAATCAGAAAAGAGAGCATATTTTCTGATACCGTAACAGTGATGTAACCTCCGGTTATTCCAAACGCCGCAACTGGAATTTTCACCGACCCGTTGTAAAATATACGCCGAACGACTTTGCCCTGCGCGGAGGTATGCCTGTACCTTTGGCGGCAATTGCGAATGAATTTAGTGGTGTCGTCGGGCAATCGCGAAGAGATCGAAACTCGAGATGTGTTCAGTGAACATATTGTTCAATTCTACTTACCTGAGTCTTAAGTATGATAGAAGCATAGTAGAAAGTAGAAACAGATCACAATACAATGGATCTAAAAACTTAAAGAGATGCTCTTTTAGCTCGTTGGATACTCCAATTGCAAGAATATGGTTTCGATATATAATTCAAAAAAGGCAAAGTTAATGTCTTCGTTAATGCCCTGTCCCGTATCCAAATCAATATACACGAAACCGAATCCGTCATTGCCGATCCTATTTCTGATTCTGCAGATGATGAATTTGATGTCGAATTTGCCAATCAAACTTTAGGCGAACAAACTGGTCGATTGCCTCAACATTCAGCAGTGGAGCAGTCCGATGCTTCAGTCCCATTTTCAGAAGATCCAAACTATTTTACCAACCAAATTATCATGAAATTCGGAGATGTTAGATATTCTTCGAAATTGAAGTCTAAACAGTAGCATTTCGTTACTTTAGTCAAACAATGTTGCAAATCTGAAGTCGAACAGTATCTTCAGGATATAGCTGCAAATCAGCGTTATTACATTCTTACTGATAATTTAGATGTCTAAGAATATATTTTACGATGGTGGTCCCAGAAGTACCCGGCCTGACCTAGAGATGGCGATAGTTGTTTGAAAAATATTGTATTAGAAAGTATGCAACCTATAAAGCATGTTTCAAGTTTGAAGACGCCACGTTGTTTAGTATTTGTTTGGCAGCCATCAATACTAAACGTTTTCAGTGAATTTGTGAAAATTGAGAAAATTGGTCATCGTTATGTGGTACAATACTTTTATTTCAAATGCCTCAGCCCAACCAATATAAAAGCTGAACTGGATTCTACTCTGGGTGAGTCTGCTCCTTCATTTACAACGGTAAAATATTGGGTAGCAGAGTTAAAACGAGGCCGTATGAGCTGCCAAGACGAGCACCGCAGTGGTCGACCAAATGAGGTGACGACTACAGAAATGGTGAGGAAAATTCACAAAGCGGTACAGAATGATCGTCGACTTAAAGTGGGCGAGCTAGCAGACATAGTAGGCATTTCAAAAAGTGCGGTTCATCGCATATTATCTGAAAATTTGGACACGAGAAAGCTGTGTGCAAGATGGGTGCCGCGAATGCTCAGAATCGAGCAAAAACAGTGTCGTGAAGATGTTTCAATTGAGTATGGCTATTTTGAGGAGCCAGACAGTTCTTATTATAAAAAGGGTATCGAACTTATTGAACATCGCTGGGAAAAGTGTATAGAGCTCAAAGGAGATTATGTTGAAAAATAAATACATGTTTTTTACAAAATTTTTGTTTTCTCGTTGGGTCGGGTACTTCTGGGACCACCCTTGTAGAATATGTCAAAAAGACATATAATGAAACTATCCAAATTTTCTTTTGTACCAAGCGTGGCATTGTTGAAACTTTGAATCAAGTGAAACTCAAATATTGTCGGCCAAATATGTGTTGTACTATATCGAATTTTATCATCCAGTGTGATATCTGTCTTCGTAACAAATATGTAAGATATATAAAATTCCTCTTCAAGGTCCATTTTTGGGTGAAAAACCCTTTGATATTGTACATATATTGGTTGTCGGAAAAGTCATGACGCTTTTTTTTGTTTATTTTAAGGCCATTTTATTCATATACAGCACAAACTTCAATCAATAATGTATTGCCCATTTTGATCGATGACCTTTCGCCATCTTTCAGGCAGCTTCATAATTCCTCGCTCGTAGAAGGATTTGTCTTTACCGGCAAAAAATTGAACAAGGTGCTGATGTACAGCTTCATCTGAAGTAAAGCGTATTTCTCGCAAGGAATTTTTAAGCGACCGAAACAAATGAAAATCAGATGGGGCAAGATCAGGCGAGTATGCTGGATGTGGTAACACATCCCATCCTAACTCCAATAACTTTTGACGAGTGAGCAAACTTGTGTGCGGTCTCGCGTTGTCATGGTGGAACACAACTCCTTTGCGATTAATGAGCTCCGGACGTTTTTGCATGATGGATTGTTGCAAACTGTCCAATTTCCGACAATACACAGTTGTATCGATGGTTTGGTTCTTTGGCAGGAGTTCGAAAAACACGATCCCTTTAAAATCCCACCAAACAGAGAGCATCACCTTTTCCTGATGACTCTCTGCTTTCGCGATCGTGTTACGCGTATCTACACTTCGGGACCAAGACCGTTTGCGAACCACATTGTTGTAAACAATCCACTTTTCATCTCCCGTTATCAAGCGCTTTAAGAAAGGATCGTTTTCCTCACGTTTAAGGAGCATATCGCAGATGTCTACACGCGCCGTCAAATGAACCTCTCTCAGTTCGTGTGGTACCCAACGATCGAGTTTGCTTACGTATCCCAGTTTCTTCAAATGGTCGTGAACGGTTGAATGATGGATTTTTAAGGTTTCTGCAATTTCCCGTGTGGTGTAATGTGGGTTTGCTCCTACCAATGCCTTTAATTCGTCACTATCCAACTCAGTAGGCCGCCCTGATCGAGGTGCGTCATGGATATTAAAATCCCCATCTCGGAATTTTTTAAACCATCTCTGGCATTGCCGTTCTTGTAGTGCATGTTCTCCATAAACCTTTCTCAACTTTTCACACGCTTGTCTTGCGTTCTTGCCTTTGCGGAAGTAATACAGCAAAATGTGACGAAAATGCACAGTTTGGTCGTCCATCTTCAACGTCCTCTAAAATCGACGAGACTCAAATAAATCACTTAATTTTTTGGTGCAAATGAAGCTTGAAGTGTCAACTGTCAAACTACACAATCGACATACAAATGTCATTGACTCACGTACTTCCGACCATGCAATTGCATACTTTGTTGCATATACGTCATGACTTTTCCGACAACCCAATAGATACATTTTCTGATGATTGTTGATTCTTTTTCCAAGTATGCCCTAGTCTATCAATTATCAGATAAAACTATCGTCACAATATTAAGCAACGACACTACTTTTCACATCACAATTACCCTACGGATATTATATATAACGAAGGCACGTAATTCTCTAATAATCTTTTCAACGAATTCATGAAACTTCGAAAATCGAAAATAACTTCAGTACATTAAACAGTCCAACGATTCCATACAAAACCTCCGAGTTATGCAAGATGAATGTCCCAAAGAATGTTTCCAAGATTTAATTAGTCATTGTGTTGCCGTCTATATTCAATCAATACATTATGCCACTGGCTAGTCTCCATTTTCAATTTTCTATGGTCCATGTAATGTGTATGAAAATTAACACCAACGTCATAAGGATGAGCTCCGACCTTTTATTAACTCTGTGTAGCGAAAACTTCATAATAAAGAAACTGAAATTCTAAATAACCGTAATGAAAAGCTTCAAGATTCTACCCCAGCCCCAGCTCCTAAGCTTGGAGATCCCACTTATCACATTCATAAAAATCCTGGAAACAAGCTCTCTGCACCCTATATAGCAGCTCCAATTACTTCAGCAAAACAAACTCAAATCGAGGCTGTAACTTCTAAAAACAGACCTCATACATACTCATCTCAGAAATATCAAACGTTTACGCAAGTCTCCCTTGTTTCAGGACAAGCCACCTGGGCCTTCAGCGCACCCTTTCCCAATGGATATTATCAGGATCTAGTGGGTAAAGCTCGAATGTTCGATCACTACCATCGACATATTTTAATCATTAATCTAACTCCTATTGATACTTCTCTTAAGTCCACCATGACTTATTAAATAAAATTTCTACTTCTTCCTAAACAAGTATAATCATTAATTATAGCAGGAGACGCTGAATAATTTTCATAAAATAATTCGTCCTCAAAGAAAACGTGGTTTAGTAAATCTTTTAGGTACTCTGATAAAACTGATCACTGGAAATCTCGATGAAGATGATCGGATATTGTTGTACTGTTATTAATAATTCTACTAGACATTATAAAAAGATATAATAACTTTATCATAACATTGAATAGAAATTATGCCAAAGTCGTGCAACAAATTAATTATTTGAAATATGTCATACAAAAATAGTTTATTCTGCATCGTCAAATCATCAGCATTAATACATCAAAACAATTTCTCAACAGCAATCTAATGAGAACTTTTCACTTTACCAGAAATTATTGGAGTTGAAAATCATTTAATTTGTTTTTATAA